TTGGCTGCATTTTCTGCAGGCGCGCTTGTGCTTCCTGAGCTTCCTCGATCAACTTTGACCATGAGGAACGCAGAAGAAGCCTCTGGTCTTGTTCGTCTTTGTCAATAAGTACCACATTGCTTGGAAGATAGCGGTCGATCATGCTGTACATCGTGAAGACCGGCTCGAACTGTGTCTCTATGTCTGGAATCAGTTGCGCACAAGCGTACAGATTAAGGGGCGGTGGAAAAATATGCAGTGAGTTACTGGGCAGGTAATCAAGCTTCTGCTTCACAGGAATAGTACGGATGCTTCCCTACCCGATTCCTGTTGAGTTATCGACGTGAGTGTGTCCATGACGTGCCGCAAGGCATCTATGTCGGCCACCGGACGATGGAGACCTTTATACCCCTGTCGAATTTGCTCCATTAGTCTCTCTAAGCGTTCTTTCGCGCTGACGTGTAATTGGCTAAGGTAGTATACGTTCCACTTTCTGGCAAGCTCTATTAGCTGATTACCACGCAACAAGGTCACACAAAATTTCAAACGGCCTACATTGGCACACGCCCTAAAACATACTGCAATTACTAGAGCCCCCTTTGTCTCTCTGCGATGCAGGAAAACAAACTGGTGTCTTGCAATCTCAGCACGCGAAGGCAAATCGCTATTACAAGTAATATTCGGGCGTAGGAACAAGGACGGTGGAGCTAGCAGTACCTGGGGGAAAAGCGCCGAACTGTTTATAAGAAGCATTCCAATCGGTTTTGCCTGCTCCATTGAGTTCAGTTGTGTTTCAACGTCTCGAAAGCTTTTCAGCTTTTTTTCAAAGTCTTCCAATGATGGATTCTGCTTCGCGAAGGCTAAGTAGTTCTCCTTGCAAGGCTCCATCCAGAGCCACTTGAAAGCCTATAAATAGAGAAGCAGAGCGGCACTTGTGCTGGCGTATTCTGGATTCGCCAGAGATTCTGACAAATGGTCTAATCAGTGTGCTAAGCAGCAGCGTAAACTACGCATCAACTTTATATACCGAAACACATTAACTGTACGTCGGTGACGTTGCGTCTCACGTCAAATTTAACGAGGTACTTGGCGACCTCGTCTCGGATATTTTGAATCGATCCGAGAAAGCACAGAAGAACTTTCTGGATGTCCCTTTCCCCTGTCATGCGGTCAATGAAGCCGTTACAGCGTGGGCCTGCTGCGGCCTCACTCCCGTCCCTTGTATCACTTGCACCCCACTGGCGAATACCTTTTGAACAATTTAAGATCGCCACTGCCGACCTGTTTATTGCCTCCTGAAAGTCGTCGATCGACGGCTGAAGCCTCACTCCCGTCCCGTCCAACTGAATATCAACCTCGAAAATGGCGTTAACGGCGCACCCTGATGAAACTGAGCCTGCAAAACATGAGGTTGGGTTACGGTCGGGAGTATTGCCCACTGCCTTTGGCCGGAATGCATTTAGTAGCCTCGGGCTGCAATGCATTTAGTCACTCTGCAATTATTCATATTTTCATACATGCAAAAGCATGGATGTGTACGATGCGTTTGCGTACACAGACGTATACACATGAGCACATATAAATACACACTATGTAAACACACGTAAATGCCGACGAAAAACCATACATATAGAGTATAGTGCGATTTTATATACATGCATGTACATACGTGCATACGCTAGTAGATCCACGCTATTCGTAGATCCATGTAGGAGCATATAGACACGTATATACGCGCATAAATGTATCTTTATGAATATATAATAAAAACGTATCATAGCCAAGCTGTGCGGATAAGATGCGGAAGGGCTGAAAGGATTACAGTTTGGCGCTGAATACATATGGCGCCTGAGGAAATCAAACGATCTTCGAGTGGCCAGTAGAATGGCCTTATACAGGTTCCATTCGTATTGTGAGTTAAGTTTCTCGGCTTCCTCTGTAAAAGACGCCTGCAGTGCCACTCAGACCGCTCAAGCTGCCACCACATTACACCGTTCACGTCTAAAGCCCTAAATTCCAAAAAACTGAGCTTTCTCGGTGTAAACAACAATTCCTACCAGCTTTGTAGATAAATGCACGCAACTCGCTGTTGCGTTGCTGCGAAATGCGCTATCTTACAGAGTTAGCCAGCTCCAAGGGCTGTTTCTGAATGACTTCAAGTAGGTCTCTAACAGCGTTTTCGATTTCTACAGAGCGAGCATTAAGCAGCTCTGTGCACTTCGCGACGTGGTGTTCTTGCATTTCCACGAAACGATTTAGAGATATCACTTCACCCGCAGCTGGGAGGTCTACTAGGAGTGTTTCTGCAAGTGACTGCATTAACGACATGCGCAGAAACAGTTCACAAGTTGGACGCAAACCCCGACCACTGTGCCTTAGACCTCCGTAAACAGTGGGCAAAATCCAGAAACATTTATCTTTTGACGACGCTCTAATCCCACCTTGATGTTGTTTTCTATTCTATTCTCTATAATGTCGTTGACTGTCACCACCAACAAATCCAGCTTTTCCAAAGCAGCGGTCGCAGACCGCAAGAACCCTTCTATATTAAGGGATGCCCAAGTCAGATTAGATAACCCGGGCGCCAGATGCTTCTCGAAGCCGTCGAGATGCATTTGTAGAAGGCCTGCAGTTACAGGACGAACTGCTGAGGATACTCTTTGGTACTCCTGAAGCGCAACGCAGCACACTGCAGCAACTTCAGTCTGTCGGCAACAGCCTCAGCAGCTAAGAAGCATTTCAGTGTGCAGAAATCGTCTGCTTCTGACAGCTTTGTTTTCTTGCAGAGGAGCACGTCTGGGCCCCATGGTACTGATGGAGTTTTCGTAGCAGGCTGTGCAAAAGGAGGCCGGAGCGGAACTTGCGCACATCAAGAACAAATTTGAGCTCGTCAAAGCATCCCTTCAGCTGTTTTTCTCTTAGGAACACGATGCGGCCGCTTTCGGGTATGTCAATGCTCATTCTTTCCAGTACTTTGGCTTCCCGAATAAGCCGTGCGATGTCGCCATCAAAGTTTATCGACAACTTGCCAGTGTTGGGGTTCCGGACGAGGATGTTGTTATTCAAGCCCGCAGCCGTGGCTTGGACGCATTCTGTCCAAGCTTGGTGCCACCTCAGTTCATATTCGACTAAAGTCTCAGCTACCTGAACAAAAGAGAGGAACTTCAGCGAGCTACTTTGTTAGGCCCCTTTCCTGCCTATGGTTGACACCAGCATAGGTCACTTAAACCAATGTATGTACTCATGAGGAGACACTTGCCGAATTCAAGCCTCTGGACTGCCAGGAAGGCTTTGTTGGTTGGTGTGCGCAATTGAAAGTACTTAATGAGCGGGGCATACTCTGTTGTATAGCTTGATTGTGCGTTTGCCCTCTTTCGTAGATAGTGCTGATGGATACAGTTGAAACTGTTTCATGGGGTCCTGCAAATTGAGCCGGTACATTTACGAACGCCACACAGCTCACGTAGCTATCCGTACCTCCAATCTAAGTACAGTGCGCCTGTGTGCCTGTGCATGTAGAGTTCGTATGCACGTTGAAGTACTTCTTGCGACAGCAACACCGGTTCTCGTACCGACAGAGGAGAGTTACCTCAATTTTTTTCAAGAGATCCCGAGCCCAAATTATGTTGTTGGGAATCGGTGGCATGTCTTTGCTCGGTGGGGGGTTCGTTTTGTGCCGTTCGTATTCCTCTTGGATCTAGGCGCACATTAAGCATGAACTAGCCACTACACTCAACACAATGGATGGCCGCGGAAAGTAGCGAGCTGTGGGCTGACATGCTTGCGTACCTGTACCAGCTCAATGCTGTACCGGTGGATGATGAGGCTTATTTTGCCCTTTAACTCCGCTTTCAAATTCTCACTGAATACAGTCTCTTGCAACTTCTGGAGCAGCCGCAGCGACTCGTCGATTGAAGACGTGGTCTCAAAAATCTGCAGTACAGTGCGCCACAGGCTGTTTACGCGCTAAGGAGGGCGAACCAATGATAACAAGCAACGCATTTGGAGTCGCTTAAGAGTGTACTTACTTCATTTATTTGCGGAATCATGCTGCTCTCCAAGTCTGAAACACGGACAGAAAATTCCACAAAGTCTCGGTCGAAGCGGTTGTTGTAAAAGTCTAGGAGATCGTGCCGCTTGACCTTGAAATCATTAAAAATACCCTGAAAGAGCAAGAACGGACGCCGTTACACAGGAAGCAATTGTAACCACTCCATTGAAAATATACAACTACGAACAAGGATGCAGTACTCTCGTAGCATTTAGGAACCTGGCTACAAGCAGCCGCAGCCACAAAGTGCAGCTAGTGTTTGGTCTTTCCCTTGAATCAACCATGGCAAAACAGACGGGCAGCTCACCTTGAAGCGGTCTACATATATATCCATTCCTTCAAACTTCTGATCAGCAATGTTGTTGAACTGCTGAATTGTCGAATACTGGCAACACCATCACAAGCAAGCAAACGCGATCGCTAGACCATCACAAACACAGAACCATACGTTGAGAACATTCACGCAAAACAGGCGCCAGATTTTGTGTCAAGGTACTGAGCCAAGTACACGTAAAAGCTTTACTGAAGCAGGAAGGATTCCACGTGAGCAGCATTTGCACATGAGGTCGCTGGCCCTACGCGGCGACAGAGTTGCGCTCATCCCTTCATCTGGTATAGGCCAGTGCACACCTACCATAGATATCAGCTTCTGAATTCGCCGACAGAAGAGGTCCATCCTGCTGAATATATCTTGATCGGAAACTTCAAGCTGCTTCCCTTTTGAAATGGCCATTAGCCGCTCCCTTGTTACGTGATACTGTTCATGGTAGGCGTCGTTCAACTTCAAGCAATACTGCAGCATTGGAATTATGACTTCAGGCTCTCTTTCCCACAATGTTTCATGGTGGTCGCCACCAGTGAGCCATGAACGGCAATTTTTAATCATCTGGAGGCAATCTACGCAGCAGCTAGGTTGAAACAGAGTCCGTCATCACAAGTTAGGTGCATACTACTGCATTATCTGCTTGCATTACGAATTTTCAGGCACTCTAAGGATTGAGGAGTAGCAACATGCCTGCTTGGTTATCTTCGTGAAGAATGAAACCATTCGTTCAGTCGTATTGTAGTACCGCGAGATGGAATGTATCATTGTTATTGCACTCATCAGCGCGCTGAGGCTTTCAAGGATGCTTGCCGGGTTTCCTGTAGGAAGGCGATCCAAATGCCGCTGCTATTCGAAGGTTACTTGAAGGCAATCAGTATGCGTGGCAAGAGGACCAAAAGCAACCAGGCAGGTATGAGTTGCAGCTGGGGGCGCAAACCTGAGTAAAGGGGGTCTATAAACCTTTCCAGTGTCGCCAAATACTTCACGTTGTCCTTGGCTTCGCTAAAGGCCTCTGTGATGGCCACGTCCAACTGCTTGCATCGTCTCATCGTGTGGAAAACGGATTGTCGAGACTTTGGCGACACACCTGAGGCTAACTGTGGTGCAGAAAAACACCGCGCATTGCCGCAGCGAACTTAACAAAAACAAGCATGGAGTGGCACTCCGTGAGAAAGAACGTGGAGTTCAAGGGAGAAGAGGCTCAGAGTTCGTCGTGTAGTACTAGCGTACCTTTGTAACAGCATGAAGCACCTGAAACACTGTGTGGCAGGTGTCGCTCTTTAGCTGCTGAATGATCGAGCTGAGCCTTCTCATTCTGCCCCTCCAGTTTTCAATCTACGATTCCGTTTCAACATGCACGTGGAAAACGGCTGCATTGTGTATCTGGAACTCTATTAATTCAGAGACGTTTGAATGTTTCAAAATAAGTGGGGCTGTCAAAACAAAAGGGGATATGCGTCAATGCTTACTTCGCTGCGGGGACCATTGTCGGCTATAGCTGCACCTTTGTCAAGTGATGCTTCTAAATACCGTTCGATCTCCTTGCACCAGTCATCTAGGAGCTCTTCAAAATGAGCCACAATGTCAGGGTTCTTGGCAGCTGCAATGTAGTCCATTCTTATGTCTGCCAGAGAGAACCTGTGAAGGATAACGGCGTGGCACCAGGGCTAGACGCGTCCGCTTCCATCACCGTAATAACAACTCTTTTAATCATAAGGCGGAAGAAACAGGACGCCAAATAACATAGAGAGAGAGGCGCAACTGCCTGCAAACCATGCTGCCTTATTTACCTCGGATCTGCTTGTTTCAGTTGAATTCCATGAGCTAGAGCATCAATCGCCTCTCCCAGCTCTTTGCAAAGTGTTCGCGTGCAGGCGAGAAACTCATTACGCTGCTCGTCTGTGCATTTTTTCCTGAGAAAAAGGTGAGCATTCACCTTTGCAAGCATACCCTCGCCTACAGATATTCATCTCCAATTCTTAGTGTATATTTTTGTCAATGCCGGCACTACTATGTGCTTGCATATTGTGCTTTGAACAAGTACAATTGGCGCCACTCGCATGCTCTGCAGCTCCGGAGAAATTAAACATAGAACAGTTATCGTTTCTCTGCACTATCGGAATGGATACTATCATGTTTAAAGCTCCTCTGGCTAAATGACCCTGTATGATTCTTTGCTTTTGGCTTGCTGCTTGCTTCCTACATCCTTAGCCTGGAACTTTTCGCTGCCGTGCTCTTGCCATCTTGCAGGCACTACAAGCTCAGTTCGCTCACCAGTCCGCTTTATCGAAGTGTTCTACAGTAGGAAGAAATATCCCTGACAATGTGGTGTGCAAAGCTTGAAGAGGCAACTCAGGAAGCTCTCCAAAGGCCAGCTCTGCATCGGCAGGTGTGCTCAAGTTCAAAGACTTCCCGAACGGAATTGTTCGAAGAAAGTAAACATATTTAGAGCCTGCCTCTTCCGAGACGCCCTCTGCAGCGCAGATGCAGCTAGTGACTACCGTTTGTGGTGGAACTGGCAGCCAGCACTTGCTACAATTGGTCTTTGTGATCACAGTTGTAAATTTGCAGCCTTGCGCACTGTTGCCTCTTCCTAAAGGGACCCAATAATGCCTTGCAGGAGAGTAGGCCGACTAATTTGTAAGTTCTTGCTGATGCTTTAACTCGGTTTCTACACAGACAGCGATAACCTAACCTGAGCATATGAGTTTGCCTGGAATATCCGCTCGTGGAGAAGCCGGATGAGTGCCGGCTTGATAAGAGAATAATAGATATTGCGTGGATGATGTGCCTTTGAGGAAAGGATCAATCTTAATTGCAAACTGGTCCCGAAATAGTGCCTCGACAAGGGGCTCATACTCTGCCAGTTTGAACGAAGATACCACCTGAGCCACCATCCACCGGTGGCGCGGAGTGAGGGCAGCCATCGTGTGAGAAGCAACTAATTGTTGAGCTCTTCAGTTGAGATGAGCAAAAACAGGAAGCGCTCTGTGCAGACTGCCTACACACTTCAACCCCCAGTGTGTTGCAGGGAATGCTAGGCAGTCATGGAGCGCAAATTGTTGGCTCTGTGTTTGTAATAACAATGAAAAAAGTACGGCCAGTTTACACCGATCTAGTAAAGAACCAGGCGGTAAAAGGATGCCTGTCAGCATGAAGGTCACCTACGTGACTACAGCGGCTGATGCGCAGAGGCAGTCCGTTTGCTGCTGCCGCTATTCGCAGGTCTTCTCGAATCACTACAACATTTTCTCCCTTCATCTGTTAAATAGATGATATTGAGCTAAGACAACTGCCGTGAAAACTACGCTACAGGACAGGGCTTCAGGTGCATTGACGTTGGCTCCTGGTTGTCGGTGGTCGATAGTCACAAGCCACCGTTGTGTTTCCAACGAAAATCTCTCTCTGAAGAGCCTGAAGAGATTTTAGGGAATTTTATAGAGAAAATATCACATTCAAAGAATTGTATTCACTGATCTTTCAAGCCCCAGTCGCATGTAGCAGCTGTAGGGCTCGTCTGGTGGCAGGCTGTTGCATTTCTCAGTTACGATCCCAGATATTTCTCTTACCAAGTCAGTTAGACACCCGGCAGCATAAACGTTTTAGCAACATTCATATCAGCCCAGCGGCCCTGGGCTTGCCGCCATCTTGCCCCGATTTTGCATATCACCGCTTTGCCTTCCCATGTGTCATTTTGGCCAGTGTGTACTTTAAGGTTCTGCGGCCACTCCAAAGATGCACCAGCCAGGTATGTAGGGCAAGCAGAAAAGGCAGCAGCACCTCTGAACTACAAACTTATTCACAGGGCGGTAGGCAAAAGTGCGACAAATCGCGTTTTTGCCTGGCAGGCCCTCATACTTGCCTGCTTTCAGCCAAGGCCAGAAAATGCGGAAAGCTCAAGTCAAAGACAACTTTAGGCTCCAAAATAAGGTACTTGCAACTGAATGTCTATTTAATGACATTCTAGTTTGGCTGCACACAGGTGCAAAAGCTGTATGAGCTCAGGCGCATGGCCCTACACAGTCATACTTGTATGCCTCAGTTCTCTGCAATTTTATGTGCCAACGCAAGTACTGCCCTGAATATCTGAACAACAGCTACCATTATCTTAGAAATGCCTATTCTACCCATTAAAGAGAAATGTTTAGGTCTTCAAGGACTGTTTTCACGTTTCCGCAAGCTGCAGACGCCGAAACCTTATCCCGAAGCCAAGGTTCTCCTTTCACTTGTATTGCTGCAGGGGAGGTTTCACTGCAGACTTGACAAACGAACTTAATTTGAAATTCATGAATTTCAGAACACTGGGTGCCACTGCAGCAGCAAAGACATGAAAACTGTATCCCACTGCAGTCCAAAGCACTTAGCTTGAAATTCATGAATTTCAGAACATTGGACAGCTCTGCATCAGCTAAAACACAGGGAATGCAGCCAGTAGCAGCATTCGTACATATTGCAGCACCTTGTTTCTTATCAAGAACAGTGGCGAAGCAAGAAAGCAGTTTGTAATTCAAGTTTTAGAGCTCGTAAACCGTTAAAGATATTGTAAGACGAGGGCTCACTGAGCTAATTGAAAGGCGACCGCGAAACCACTTTAAAGAGAGAAGCCAGCCCATTGAAACCCTAAACGTAAACAAGTACTGCACGGAGAAGTAAGAACCTAGGCCCCAAATCCTAAGGCAATTTGTCAAAAGAAAAAGTATATGAAAAGAACTGAAGGCCACTGAACTCCTCGGCCTCCAACGAACTCCGTAGCACTTCAGTTCCCGCAAGGCTGAACCCTAAACCCTAAACCCCAAACCCTAAACTCTAAATGGAACCTGAGGCGATTCTCTAGGTCTGCGATCTTTAAATGATTTAGATTACAGAAAACTGCCGCGTTTCAAGCTTCAAGTTCACAGTGCATAGTCTAGAAACTTAGCCGAAAATGCGAAACTGGCATGCGTTGCAGCAAGCACCCCGCAAAAATGTTCTGACAAAAGAGCAGGCCAAGATCTAACAGCATAAAACTAAAACCCTAGGGTTTGAGAATATTGCTAAAAGAGTATGAGTTGTAAAAAGTGAGAGCTTGCACTGGCAGATCTGGGGCGAGAAACAAAACGCCCAGAGCTGCTGTTGCTTCTGCTGCAGCCGCTGTTGCAGCAGCTGGTGCTCTCGCTACTGCTGTTGCCGCTGCTGCAGCAGCTGCAGATGCTGTCGCTACTGCATTTGTTGCTGCTGCAGCAGCTGCAGAGTCTTCCGCTTCTGCTTTTGCTGCTGCCGCAGCAGCTGCAGACGCTGTCGCTGCTGCTGCAGCCGCTGCAGCAACTACCGCTGCTGCTGTAGCTGCTGCTGCTGCAGCTGCTGCTGCAGCGGAACGGCACGTGCCGCTTTAGTTGTCGATGTCGATGTCTTCATCCTTGAGTTCGTCAGCGCCAGCTGTCTTGATAATTCCCAATTCTTTTAATTCTTTTTCATGTTTGTCTGTTATTTCTTTTATCAAACTTTTAATCTTCTTGTTTATTTCACGTTTTTCTGCTGCTTCTTTCGGGAACTTCTTCCGCAGCTTCTTCCGCCGCTGCTTCAAAACCGCGATTTTTTGCTTCACTGCTTTTCTCTCAGAAGCGTGGCGCTGAACCACAACACGCTCAGGGTTTGAGGGTTCAGAAAGGGTTTGGAGGCGAGGGTTTAGGGTTTACAGCTAAAATAGCTTTGTAAAAAGGGCAAAATTAGGGTTTAGGGTTTCAGGGAAGCCGAAATGGAACAAAGTACCCACCTTGAAGAGGGCATGGCTGCTTGTGCCTTCTGCTCCTTCCTCTTCGCCCTGCAGATTCCAAACCCTAAACCCTCGTCACCAGACCCTAAACCCCAGACTGAACCCTAAACCCTAGACGTAAACCCTCGCTGACCGCTAGACCCGCGGGCGCTAATCACAATCGAAGCAATGGATCTGCTGCTGCCTCGATAGGAGTGCTTAGAAAAAGGCGCCAAACCCTAAACCCTAGCATTTGAATTTGCTCACTTTCGCAGTTTCCGAAAGCTTTCCGCTGTTTTGGGGTTTGTCTTCGTCCATTGCGTCGGACTTCTGAGCCTGTTGGCGGCCCTTTCGCTTGCGGGCCTTCGACACCTTCCCCATTTTCCAAACCCTAAACCCTAAAACCCTGACCAGAAAAAAACTAAAATGAACTTTTTGAACTTTTGCTGAAACTTCTAAAGAGCGGGTCAAACTGCCAAACACTCACTGGGACGGAAGTAGCCCCAGCACCGGCAAAAGGGCCCCACAGGGGCCCTCCTGTCCCATCTGAATTGAAACCCTAAACCCTAAACCGTAAACCCTACCGCAGTTTTACTCCAAACAAAAATTGCCGCTGCAAAAACTGCGTTAAGCGCATGCTGCAGAAAGTGAACTTTCGCCAAACCCTACACCCCTTCTGCACACTTCTATCTGGGTCGAAGAGAACGCTGGATCTCCGCTAAACCCTAAACCCTAAACCGTACTTCCTAGATCCAAAACCTAAACTAGTCAACGCTAAAACAAAGTATTTGGGATTTTGAGTTCGTCTCGAAAGAGACATCATAATCGGCTCCCTCAGGAGCGGTAGAGTTTTTTCTGGGTTGCTGTATCACTGGCTGAAATTTCAGACCCTAAACCCTAAACCCTAAACCCTCAACAAATTTTCCGAAGCTTTACTCCGGCATATCCACAGCCATAGAACCGCCGTCGCCGCTAGATTCAGCGTTCTGCAGCCACACCGCAAGCACCAAACCCTAAACCCTAAACCCTCTAGGCCATGGCCTCATCAGTATGATGCCTTTGCAGAATACTGCATCCTCCAGTTTAAAATATAAACCCTAAACTCTAAACCCTAAATCACCACCGCACCGTGAGACGATCCACGAGGGTTTGCAGCTCCTCATGGTTGAGCTCTGCAGCACAGCCGTCAAGCCGCAAACACTAAACCCTAAACCCTCGGATTGGGGAGTGTGCTAATGTCCACATTCTGCTGCCGTGAAACTTGCGCGATCCTAGATCCCAAACCCTAAACCCTAAACCCTAAACCCTCACCGCGCCAAGGCTGCCCGCGGCCGACAATCCCGACGCACAGACACTCAGCTGTCAGCCTGCAGGCAGCACAAACCCTACAGTCTTTACACTAAACCCTAAACCCTAAACCCTAAACCCTAACCGCTCAACTCGAATGCCCATTCAACTCCGGCAACGGGCTTCCTAAGCCGTGTGTGGGCAGCCCTAAACCCTAAACCCTAAACCCTGAGCCTCAGCTCACTCGGTGTCCGCGGCCATAGACGCCTTTAGGGCCTTCGCGCCATGCAGGAGCAGGTCATCCAGCGAAGCTGCAAAAACCCCAAACCCTAAACCCTAGATGAGTGGCTCGCGGCCCACACAAGAGCCAGTGGGCCGTGGAGAGATCCCACTAGGCTCTGCCCAGGGCGTGGGCAGGCAGCAACTTGCAGGCTAGGGTTTAGGGTTTCCAAATTAGGGTTTACAACGGTTTATGGTTTATAAATTAGGGTTTACAAGGGTTTACGGTTTGCAAATTAGGGTTTACAAGGGTTTAGGGTTTGCAAAATAGGGTTTACAAGGGTTTACGGTTTTTAACTTGCCGGTGGGAAAAGTCTCGAAGTGTTTCTCGAGGTATGTCTTTGAAGCTTGGGACCTCGCGCCGAAGGCAACGGCCTGAACAAAACCCTAAACCCTAAACCCTCGACCCTAGAGGAAGCCCTCCGCAGCTGGCCTGCAGCTTGCTGCTGCCAACCACCTCCGAAAGTCCGGGCTGAAGAAGCGACGCCCGAGGGTTTGGGGGGGTTGAAGGGTTTAGGGGTTAGCTAGGGTTTAGGGTTTAGCTAGGGTTTAGGGTTAAGCTAGGGTTTAGGGTTTACGTTGTATTCGTAATAGTTTCCCGAGGGGCAATTCTGAAACAGCCGCGGCCCCGAAGCATCGCATGCAGCAATCAAAAGCCCCACGCCGTAGGGCCTTTTGCCGCTGCGCTGGGTGTTGCTTTGGCACTCTGCAGAAACCTCAAACGAGGGTTTAGGGTTTGGGCTAGGGCTTAGGGTTTGGACTAGGCTTTTGAGCACTTTGCTGCGCCACCACCCGGCGGTTTGGCGCGGCAGGCACGCCCAAGTCTCAGCAGAAACCCCAAACCCTAAACCCTAGAAACCAACGGGCAGGGTCTCTCTGCAGAACCCCCCGCCGGAGACAACAAACTCTAAACCCTAAACCCTAAACCCTAAGTAGTGGTTCGCGAAACTCACTGTCAGCCACAAGCAACGCAAGCCTTGCCGCTGGCTTCTCTGTGTCATAAGTAAATTTGTGCTGGAGGCAGGCGTTCCTCATAATTTCGCATAGGACCTCTGCAGCCCGCACCCAAACCCTAAACCTTAAACCCTAAATCCTAAACCCCAGACATCAGGCTCTAGGCTGCAAGCTGCGGGCTTTGGTGCTGGGGTTTACGCCTTAAGAGAACCAGAAATGCGGGAGATAGGTCACTGGGGACAGGCGTTACAGCTCGGCGAGGGTTTAGGGTTTGACAAGCTTAGGGTTTGGCGAGGGTTTAGGGTTTAGGGTTTACTGGCGTCAGCGGTAATGCCTGAGATTGCAACTCCAACATGTTCATCGATGCAGAAGAGCTTCTGCTGGTACCCAGCAAGTTTCGAGGGGCTCTTTTTCAAGGAACAGAGCACCTGCGCGCAAACCCTAAACTCTAAACCCTTAACCCTAAACCCTAACCGCCCAACTCGACCTCCTGAGGCAACGAGGGCTTAAGTTCACCCGAAACTCTCCAATAGCTAAACCCTGAAGCATTCAGTAGGAGGACCCTCGGGGAGTCGAGGGTTTGAAGGAGCGGCTGCGCGCAGCCAAGCTTTGCTAGGGTTTAGGGTTTAGGGTTTAGGGTTTACCACGTAGGAGTCCGACCGCAGCCCCACGCAGCAAGTCCCCTGAGTAACCGCCTGCTTTGCATATTCAACTTGAAACACTCGACCCTGGGGGGACCAGGTGATGCAGTCGGTGTCGTAGAGATTGCGGTACATCTTCAGCTGCTGCTGCTGCTGCTGCCGCTGCTGCTGCTGAGGCTCTGGCTGCAGCTAGGTGTGCAGTCGAGGGCGCCCCCGAGCCACGCCCGAGCCAGCTGCTGCCCTGGGAGCGACTAGTGGGGGCTTGCTGCTGCTGCTGTTGCGCAGCAGAAGGCGAGTTGCGGGTCGGCAGCTGCTGCTGCTGCTGCTGCCGGTGCTGCTGCTGCTGCGCTGTCTGCAGCAGCTGCTGTCTGCGTTCAGCCGCCGCAGCAAATGGGGGAACGACGCGAAGTGTACAGACACCCGAGGGCTCGCACCCAAGGAAACCAACTGTCGAACTTAAGGGAAAGGGGAGCGTCTTGGGGCTTCGGAGTTCCTACGACAACAGCTTGCTGCTGCTGCTGCTGCTAGGAGGCGGCAGCAGCAGCGGCGCAGTGGCCGCTGCTGCCGCTCCAGTGCCTTTCGCAGCAGTGGCGAGCTGCAGCAGCATCAGCAGCAGCAGCAGCACTGAAACTTTTGAGTTTCTTTATATTTAGCACTAAAACACCTTTTCAACTGCAGCAGAGCTGGCAGGAGCAGCAGCCGTGGCAGCAGCGGTATCTCCAGCCGGCGGAGTGAGGCATATGACGGGCAGCAGCAGCAGCAGCGGCAGCAGCAGCAGCAGCAACGGCAGCAACGGCGGAAATACATGATTGTAACACTTCCTTACATGTAGCGGGGACACTTAGATTTCCCCCCGCTGCTGTTCCTGTCGCCTGCTCGCAAGAACCGCAGCAGCAGCAGCAGCAGCAAGCAGCAGCAGCAAGCATAGCCATGTCTGTGCAGCCTGCAGCAGCGCAGCAGGCCTCACAGCTGAACACGCAGCAGCAGCAGCAGTGTAAACGCAACAGGTAGTCGCAGTGTCATCGGAAACGCCCCAGAAATCCGCTGCCTGCTGCTCAGCAGCAGCAGCAGCAACAACGCCGGCAGCTGCTGCTGCTGCAGCGGCAGGACTAGCGGCTGCAGCAGCAGCAACGGCAAAACCGCAGCAGCAGCTGCAGCAGCCATTATAGACTTGCAGCCAAGATGGGGATCTTCAGATCCGAGGTAGGAACCGCAAGGAGCAGATAGTGTGTGCAAATAGATAGCCGTTGAGCCGAGCGCGGTTTGGGGTTTAGGGTTTAGGGTTTAGGCTTTAGGGTTTGGGGTTCGTGGGTGCGTACAGCGAATGAGGTTAGGCACCCTGGTGCTGCCTCAGGAGGGGGCGAGGGATTTCATCACCGCCATCGGAACCGCCGTAAAAGTGCAAATTCAAGACGTAAGGGTTTAGAGTTTAGGGTTTAGGGTTTAGGGTTAGGGTTTAGGGTAAGGGTTTAGGGTTTAGAGTTGAAGGTTTCAATCAGCCTATCCTATGCGCGCACCACTAGGCGTTGCCCCTAGCACCTCGGGAGCTTGCCTTCGCAGCAGCAACAGCAGCAACAGCAGCAGCAACAGCAACAGCAACAGCAGCAACAGCAACAGCAGCAGCAGCAACAGCAGCAGCAGCAGCAGCAACAGCAACAACAACAGCAGCAACAGCAGCAGCAGCAATAGCAGCAGCAGCGGCAGCAACAACAGCAACAGCAGCAGCAGCAGTAGCAGCAGGGTTTGTGCGTGTGCTGCAGATGAACGGCCACAGCCTGTGCCGGGGGTACCGCCGGCAGCTGCAGCGGCTGGAAGAGCTGGAGAGGATGCTGCGTTATTTGAAAGAGAAAATAGAAGAAATATCTGGAGTTAAATTAATTCAGCTTTCTGAAAGAGAAAATAGAAGAAATATCTGGAGTTAAATTAATTCAGCTTTCTCATGACTTGGACAGAGCAGCAGACGCAGCAGCAGCAGCAGCAGCAGCAGCAGTCCACAGCAGCGCCGCTGCAGCAGACCCCCGCGACGTCGAGGCCGGCGGCGGACCCGCAGCAGCAGCAGCAGCAGCAGCAGCAGCAGCAGCAGCCAAGCCCCAGGTGTATGTACTCGACAAAGTAGAAGACATGCTCAATAAGGTGTACGGACAGTTCCTCAGATTTGCCCAAAACAATGAAGACCTCAAGAGGGAGAAAATCGCCGCTGTAAGCCCTAAACCCTAAACCCTAAACCGTACAAGCCCCAGCTCCTCTGCTCTTGCTTCCGCCCGTGCTGCTGCAGCTGCTGCTGTTGTTGCTGCTGCGCGCTGTCTTCGTGGGGTTTACATCAGCTGCAGCACTGCAAGAAACAGCAAAAGCAGCTGCCAGTCAGCCGAACATTTGGCTGTTGCTGCTGCTGCCCCTTGACGCTGCTGCTGCTGCTGCTGCTGCTGCTGTAGCTGCTGCTGCTGTAGCTGCTGCTGCTGCTGCTGTGCTGCGCTTCAGGAAGAGGAGCTGGCGGTGGTTTCATTTGCTGCCTCACAGCTGAGGTCTTCGCTTCGTTCCCCGTGGCGACTTGATCCCGGGTCAGCAGCAGCAGCAGCTGCAGCAGCAGCAGCAGCTGCTGCTGAGGATGTTGAAATAGCAGCTACTAGCGCCTGCAGCAGCAGCAACACGCTGCAGCAGCAGCAGCAGCAGCAGCAGCAAACCAACACTCCCAGAGCAGTCGCAGCTGACTCCCACGCGCGGTACACAGCCACTGTTGCTGCTGCTGCTCGTGCGCAACAGCTGCTGCTGCTGCTGCTGCAGGTGCACGCCGAGTCTTTTAGCCATCAGTTCCCCGGCTTGAGGCCGAGGGTTTAGGGTTTAGGGTTTAGGGTTTACGGTTCGGTGGCGTGAGCGGAAGCGAGCTAGAAACCAAACAAAATGCGCGCGGTCTATAGACAGCTGCTTGCTGCTGCTCTGCTGCTGCTCGCTTTGGGGTGTATGTACAGCTCGTCTTCAGCGCGCCGCCGGCGGCCGACGCAGCTGAGCAGCAGCAGCAGCAGCAGCAGCAGCTTGCAGACGGAGCTGCAGCAGCAGGAGCAGCAGCAAAACTTTCCCTACTCTGCTTCCAGGCGCCTTTTGGGCACTGGGGGTTTTCCTTTAGAAAACGCAGACATCAGCAACTTGGTCTTTTCTTCTGTCGCGGGAATCATCTTTGCAAAAGACCAGGTAAACCCTAAACCCTAAACCCTAGCTGCGGGCCCACGCCGCGGGGTCGGATGGCGGCGGTTGGGTGCAGCTTGGAGGCGCATGCAGAACTGTAGCACTCTCACGATGCAGGGGGTTTCGGGTTTAGGGTTTAGGGTTTAGGGTTTAGGGTTTAGGGTTTTCCGCAGGAGCGGTTTGCACGGGCCATGTTTCGCTCGACGCGTGGGAATGCATTTACACATTTCAAAAGATTAGATGAGGAAGAACTTGCGACCCACGTAAACCCTAAACCCTAATCCCTAAGCTATAAACCCTAAACCCTGAGCGCTTAATCCAACAGGGTGTAGGTCTGTGCATGGGCGCAGTGAAGGTCAGGAGCAAACGGCTCAGGCGCTAGGGTTTAGGGTTTAGGGTTTAGGGTTTAGGGTTTAGGGTTTGGGGCTTTGCTGAGCAGCCGAATTCGTCGGAGCCCAAGTCTTTATTCGTAACTTATTTCCAGGGTGCAGCAACTGGGTCTGCCTTTATGGAGAAGGTAAACCCTAAACGCCTGAAAACCCTAGAGCGTTGGAAACCCCAAACCCTCACAAACCCTAAACCCTCAAACGCGTAAACCCTTGCGACCCCTTTCCAGCCGCACAAACCCCACCCCGCGACAAAACAAGCACCAAACCCCAAGGGAACTTGAGAATTCTTCAAACCCCAGTTGTCCCTTAGGGCCTAGGGTTAGGGTTTAGGGTTTAGGGTTTAGGGTTTAGGGTTTAGGGTTTAGGGTTTTGCGCAGGTGAAGTGCGTGTGTTCGGCGATGGGGGCGCGCACGTACGCGTGGCCGCACAGCGGCGAAGAGGCGCAGCAGCGGCAGCTGCAGCTGCAGCAGTTGCTGCGGGACAAAGCAGCAGCAGCAGCAGCATATGAGCAGTACTTTTTGAACGAAGTAGGAGTGTTTTTGGAGTCCGTGCCTGCGGTAAACCTGCCGCTGGTTCCTGCTGCTGCTGCAGCAGCAGCAGCAGCAGCGGCGGCGCCCGGCGACCGCAGCGCAGCAGCAGCAGCAGCAGCAGCAGCAGCAGCAGGCCTCCGCCGCCGCCCCCTCATCACCGAGCTGCAGCGCTTCGTCTTTAGAGAACGAGCTGTATATACAACTCTCAATCTTTTTGCTTTTTCTGATGCAACTCTTCAAGCAGATTGTTGGTTTCCAGAAAGCCACGAGGCCGCCTTTCGACAGACCCTCGCGCAAGTCGCGGCCGAAAAGGTCCGAGGGTTTAGGGTTTAGGGTTTGGGGTTTAGGGTTTGGGGTTTGGGGTTTAGGGTGTGGGGTTTGGGGTTTAGGGTTTGGAGTTTAGGGTTTGGGGTTTAGGGTTTAGGGTTTGGGGTTTGGAGGCATTCGTCTTTTTTGTAGGTTAGTGGTGGTTTGTGAGTGGTAGTGGGGTTTGTTTCTGGTGTGAGTGCGCATTTGCCGCGCCTCAGGGTTTAGGGTTTAGGGTTTAGGGTTTGTAAGCCTTCGATTATGCCCCAAATCGTAGCTCCTGGTTGCTGATGACGCGTGAATGTGAGCAGCTGCTGCACACGGCTAAACCCTCGGGAGCGTTCCCGCTCCCGCGGGTTCAGGCTTAGGGTTTAGGGTTTAGGGTTTAGGGTTTGGGGTTTGCGCGCAGAGCACTTCGGCGTTTTTGCTGGTGCACGGGGGCTGCGTGGTTTCGGCTCCGACATATTTTCGAGTTTGCAGCTTCATGAGTCCTTTTCAAAACTTAGTTGAAACTTACGGAGTTGCAAACTACAGAGAGTTAAATGCTGCAGTGTTTGCTGCTGCTGTTTTTCCCTTTCTCTTTGGAATTATGTTTGGAGACGTGGGCCACGGGCTGCTGCTGCTGGCCCTTGCTGCTGCACTTTGCTGCTGCAGCAGCAGCAGCAGCAAAGTCTTCACCGACGAACTCCTGCGCCTCCTCTTCGACGCCCGGTCCGCCTTTTCTCTTTTATTTATTTCTTTTTTATTTTTTAATTTTGTTCCTTTTTTGTTTCTTTTTTGTCTTTTTTGTTTCTGTTTATTTCTTTTCTTTTTATTTCTTTTGTTTCCTTTTTGTTTCCTTTTTGCCCCCTTTTTGTTTCTTTTTTATTTCCCTTTTGTCTTCTTTAGTTCCTTTTATCTCTTTCTTGCTTCTTTTTTGTTTCCTTTTTTCTTTTTTGTTTCTTTTTTGTTTATTTTTTCATTCCTTTTCTCCTCTTAATTGTCCTCTCTCTATGTTTCTTTTTGTCTCTTTTTCAATTCTTTTAGACATTTTAGTAAACCCCTTTTTGTCTCCCCTTTGTCTCTTTTTAAGCTCCTTTTCGTCTCTTTTTAGATTCCTTTTCATCTCTTTTTTAATTCTTTTTTGTCTCCTTTTTGCCTCTTATGCGTCCCTTTTTTAATTCCCTCTTATCTCTTTTTGTTTTTTTTTGTCTCCTTTTTGGTATTTTTTGGATTCATTTTTCTCCCCTTTTTAGTTCCTTTTTGTCTTTTATTTGTCTCTTTTCAAATTTCTTTTTGACTTCTTTTTCATTTTCATGTTTCCCTGCCTTTCGAATTTAAATTCAAAAGGACAACTCTTTTAAAGTTCCTTTTAAGTTCTTTCTGAATTCGTTTTAAAGTACTTCAATTCTTTTAAATTCTTTTAAATTCTTCTAAATTCTGCCTGAATTCTATTTAAATTCTATTTAAATTCTTTTTAAATTCTTCTAATTTCTTTTTCTTTTCTGCAGCCACCTTTTGCTGCTAATGGCTTTACACTCCATCTTCGCCGGCTGTATGTACAACGAAGTCTTTAGCATGGGTCTAAATCTCTTTAATTCCCGTTGGTACCATTTGGGGGCCCCCCCTGGGGGCCCCCCTGGGAGCCCCTTGGGGGGCCCCCCCGGGGGCCCCCACGAGGGCCCCTTGGGGGCCCCCCAGGAGGGTCACCCGGGGGGTCACCTGGGGGGCCCCGTGGAGGGCCACCTGGGGGCCCCCTTAGGGGGATCCCCTGGGGGCCCCCCGGGGGTTCCCCCGGGGCCCCTTTTCCAGTCAAGAGAGGGGCCCTATCCGTTTGGGGTTGATCCTGCGTGGAGAGGAGCTTCGAATGAACTGCTGTTTCTAAATTCACTCAAGATGAAGTTTGCTGTTATCGTGAGCGCCTGCTGCTGCTGCCGCTGCTGCTGCTGCTGCTGCTTTGCTGCTGCTGCTGCTCTCTTTGCTGCTGCTAAATTTGTTGCTGACAACTGTGCTGCTGCAGTCTGCCTGTGCTGGTGTTGCTGCTGTCAATGCTGCTGCTGCTGCAGTCTGCTGCTGTTGCTGCTGCTGCTGCAGGTGGGGTTTCTGCACATGTGTCTGGGGCTGTTTCTGGCGGTGCTGAACTGCGTGGAGTTTCGGGACTGGCGGAATTTGCTGCTGGTGGTTTTGCCGCAGTTTTTGTTTTTTGTTTGCCTTGTGGGGTTTTTGTGTTTTTTAATTGTTTTAAAATGGATAGCTCCTTCGCAACTTTACAACAAACCCTCCCTCATTGCAGTCCTCATTGACTTCCTCCTCGCAGCAAACCCTAGCAGCAGCAGCGAGCTCAAACTCTTCGACCAACAGCCCCAAGTTGAACGCGTAAACCCTAAACCCTAAACCCTGCTTAGCAGCGAGCCGTGCTTTGCCGTGACGCACCAGGTTGCCCGCCAACGACAATCTCTTGTCTGCAGCCTGGGGTTCAACCCGCCGCTGCTGCTGCTATTGCTGCTGCTGCTGTTATTGCTGCTGCTGCTGCAGGTGCTGCGTCTGGTGATGCTGCTATGCCTCCCTGTGATGTTTTTGGGGAAGCCGCTGTTTGAGGTGTACGTACGGCGGAAGAAAAGACCGCCTCCAGGATTTCAGTCTTTGAATAGTTTGGAGTCGAGTTCGATTCAACTACAGCCGCTGCAGCAGCAGCCGCTGCAGCAGCAGCAGCAGCAGCAGCAGGTGGAGCTGGGCTGCGCTGCAGCGGCGCAGCGGGAGCTGGAGCTGCCGGGGTCGTTCTCGGGAACGCGGGCTCGTGGGCGCGTGGGACTTGGTGCAGCAGCAGCAGCAGCAGCGCCGCCCCCCCCCGCAGCAGCAGCAGCAGCAGCAGCAGAGGATGAGCTGGCGCAGCTGTGGCTGCACACTTTGGTGGAAGCTATTGAGTTCGTGCTCGGCACTGTCAGCAACACAGCTTCTTACTTAAGGCTCTGGGCCCTTTCTCTCGCCCACCAGCAGCTCGCCCTCGTCTTCTTCGACAAGACTGTGGGCGCGGCTTTTCTCCCGGGCCAAACCGTCACGCAAATGGCCTTCAAGGTCCGCAGTTAGCTAGCTAGCTAGCTAGCTGGCTAGCTGGCTAGCTGGGCAGCTAGCTGGCTAGCTAGCCAGCTGCCTGGCTGGATAGCTCGCTGCATGGCAAGGGCCAGGGAGCGCGCTGGCTCTGCAGCTAGCCAGCTAGATGGGTAGCTAGCCAGCTGGCTAGACACACAGCTATCTAGCCAGATGTTCTGCCCGCTAGCCAGACAGCTGGCTAGCTAGCCTGCTGGCGAGCGAGATAGCGATACAGATAGCTAGCGAGACAGACAGCTAGCGAGACAGTCAGCTAGCTAGCTAGCTAGCTAGCTGGCTAGCTCGCCAGCTAGCCAGGTAGCCAGCTAGGTCGCGAATAGCTCGCCAGCCAGCTAGCTGGCAGTTAGGCGGCTAGCTGAGAATTGACGTAGGCCGCCGGAGCTGCTGAGCCAGCTAACCAAGTCGGTAGCTAGCTAGCCAGCTAGCCAAGCAGTTAAATAACTGGCTAGCAAGCCCCCCAAGCAGGCTAGGGCCTCGCTAGCCAGGGACAGCTAATTAACTAACTAGCTCGCTAGCTAGCTAGCTAGCTAGCCAGGTAGCTAGCTAGGGGGCGCAAATGAGCTGTCCCTAAGTGAGAGGATAAAAAGGACTTGCTGCTGCTGCTTATGCTGCTGTGCTCCTGCTGCTGTGCTGCTGCAGCTGGTTTTCCTGTTTCCCATTTTCTTTTGCGTCACTGTTTTCGTCATGGTGGCAATGGAGGCCCTCGAGTGCTTCCTGCATGCGCTGAGGCTGCAGTGGTTCGTCAGGGTTTAGGGTTTAGGGTTTGGGGTTTGGGGTTTGCTGCCTGCGGGGGTGCAGGGCCTGCGGGGTTCGGGCTTGACTTGTGTGCTGCGCACTAGGGTTTAGGGTTTAGGGCCAAGCGTTTTGCTGCCAGTGATGCAGGCTCCACAGTGTTTCTGTGGTTGAAACGAGGGTTTAGGGTTTAGGGTTTAGGGTATAGGGTTTGGGGCGCATGTGGTTTCAGGGTGGAGTTCCAAAACAAGTTTTACAAAGGAGACGGAGTGGCGTTTCAGCCCTTAGATTTAAACAGCCTCCCTGAGGACTCGTAGAGCTAGCTAGCTGCCTAGCTAGCTAGCTAGCTAGCTAGCTGCTTAGCTACCCAGCTAGCTAGGTAGCTAGCTAGCTGCTTAGCTGGCTCAGCCAGCTACTGCCTAGCTAGCTCAGCTAGCTAGCTAGCTAGCTGCCTAGCTAGCTCAGCTAGCTAGCTAGCTAGCTAGCTGCTTAGCTGGCTGGCCATTTAGCTTGCTGGCTAGCTGGCCTGCACACACATTAGCGCGACAAGTGTTTCTGGGGGGCGCTGCGCCCTTTACCCAGGGCTGGCCAGCTAGCTAGACAGCTAGCTAGCCAGCCGGCTAGCCAGCTGGCTAGCCAGCCAGCTAGCTAGCCAGGTGGCTAGTAGCTGTCTACGTAGACTGAAACCGCGTCGGCTAGCTAGCTAGCTAGCCAGCTGGCTAGCCAGCTGGCTAGCTAGCCTGCCAGCTAGCTAGCTAGCTAGCTAGCTGCGTGGTTCGCCACGGCCAGTGCGCTGGCTAGCTGGCTAGCTGCCCCAGTATTTGAATTAGCGGCAGCTAAAACTGTTCTTACTTTCTCAGCTGTGTCCCCGGCAGGGACAACAAAGTCTAAACCCTAAACCCTCGCTTTATTTTTTCCTATACCCTCGCTTTATTTTTTCCTAACCCCTCGATTTATTTTTTCTTAAATCCTCGACTTACCTTAATGCTAAGCCGTCGATTTATTTCTTCCTAAACCCTCGATTTATTTACTTCCAAAACCCTCGATTTAATTACTTCCTAAACCCTCGGTTTATTTACTTCCAAAACTCCCGATTTAATTAATTTAATTGCTCTTTAAACCCTCGATTTAATTACTTTTTAAACCCTCGGTTTAATTACTTTCTAAACCCTCGATTTAATTACCTTTTTAAACCCTCGATTTAATTACTTTTTAAACCCTCGATTTAATTACTTTTTAAACCCTTGATTTATTTCCTTCTTTTTCTCTTTTCGTTTTATCCGCCAGTTCACTCGGCCTTGGCGGGTGTACATACACCTGGACTCTCGCCAAACTAGCGACCGAGCGTCTATACAGCCGATTTACGCTTTTCAGCGTGTTTAGAGTTTAGGGTTTAGGGTTTAGGGTTTTAGTGGTTAGTGTTTAGGTAGTTTTTAGAGTTTAGGGTTTAGGGTTTAAGGTATGGGGTTTGATTTTACTAATTTTATTCTCTTTTATTTATTAAGTTGCTAAATAAGCATTTAATTCATTAGTAGGGTTTAGGGTTTAGGGTTTAGGGTTTCAGGCGAGGGCCACGGCGCCGGCTGGGGAGGCCAGCCCATAGGGGTGGTGCTGGTCTCAGTCGCATCTGAGGCTTCTTGAGTTGAAAAAAATAATTAATTTAATTCATTTAATTAATTATTTTCATTTTAATTTATTTTTATGTTTTTAAAGAAGAAGGAAGGACTCGCGTTCTGAGATCAGGGTTTCAAATCGTGAAGGTTTGCTGGGGTGACCTGCTTTCAATCTCGCGCGGGGCAGCCTAGGGTTTAGGGTTTAGGGTTTAGGGTTTAGGGTTTAGAGGGGTTGAAAAGAAGTCAAAATGGGCTCTTTTGGAGTCAGCGACATCCAGGCACTGGCAGATCTGTTCTGTCCAGACACCGCGAAGCAAGGTCACCTCGGGGGGCCCCAAACCCTAAACCCTAAACCGTCGCCGCCAACAGAGAAGTACAAAAGCAAAGCAAAACCCAATGTTAAAGTGAAGGCGAAGGTTAGCTGCTGCCTGGAAAGGGCTTAGGGTTTAGGGTTTAGAACCAGTGGGGAAAGTTCAGCGGCAGCGACTCAGCTAAACCTAAACCGTGCACACTGCACAAGCTTTAGGGTTTAGGGTTTAGGGTTTAGGGTTTAGAATTTTGCAGGTAGGCCAAAAGGAAGAGTTTGATATTTGGAAAGAAAAAGACCTCGTTCAAGGGGCCACCTTCAAGCAGCTGAGAGACAATAGGACGGAGCCCAGATATGAAGTAAACCCTAAACCCTAAACCCTAAACCCTAAGAAACCAAACCCTCGCCGCGCCCCTGGCACTAATTGCCCTAGAGGTTTAGCTTAACCCTACAAGGGTTTTCTAAACCCCCAGACATTTTCTTAACCCTTTAGCAACAGTGCGAAACCCCAAACTCTAGAACCTAAACCTTTATCCCCAAGATCTAAATCCTAAACCGTAGGATCTAAACCCTAAACCCTCGAGGGTTTGCAGGTTTTATTCTCTCAAAAAGTTGGCGCGGAAGATGTCTATCTGGGGCTGAGCGACAAAGACCCTACGACAGACCAGTGTGAAACCCTGCTGGTTAAAGTAAACCCTAAACCCTAAACGCTAAACCCTAAACCTTAAACCCTTGCTGCGTTTCAGGTTTTCAGGGCGGAGGACCTGGGGTTTAGGGTTTGGGTCTAGGGTTTGCGCTGCTCCTCAGGTGTTTTTGCCGGGAGCTGCATATTCTCAGATATCCCTGGAGGCAAACCCTAAACCCTAGAAAACCCTACACCCTAAACCGTAGACCCTAAACCCTAGGCCCTAAACCCTAGGCGCTAAACCCTAGGCCCTAAACCCTCAGCCCTGGGCCCCAGACAAACCCTAGTAGCCCTGCCTGAACACGACATAGCCTTCACATCTAGGGTGTAGCGTTCAGGGTTTAGGGTTTAGGGTTTAGGGTTTAGGGTTTAGGGTTTGTGCAGACGCTGGAAGACCGGCTGGTGGTGGATTCTCCTCAACACCATTTAAACCTCCCTTTGCCGTACGCAGGTAAAAAGCTGAAAACTGGAAAAGTAGAAATTAAATTAAATTATAATAAATAAAAAAGTAAATAAATGAAAATAAATTAAATTGAGTAAATTAAATGAAAATGAATTTAGAATGAAGGCTTACTTTTATTTATATTATTCAGCAACGCACATCACTGCGAAAGTTGAAACAAAGCCTATAATATAAACCCCGAGGCGCGAACCCAAAGTATCCAAACCCTAAACCCTAAACCCTAAACCCTAAACCCTAAACCCTAAACCCTAAACCCTAAACCCTTAGCCGCGAATCTTGAAGACCTGCTGTTTGTGCTGCAGTAAACTCAGAAGCAGGAAGCTGCAAATGGATATCAGGGACAAATTCTCTAGTTCTCAGAGTACAAACCCTCAAACCCTTAGTCCTTGTCCTAAACCCTAAACCCTAAACCCCTTGCCACAGAACACGCCAGACGTAAAGTTTAGGGTTTAGGGTTTAGGGTTTCAGGGTTGAGGGTTTAGGGTTTGCGATGTGGGCGTCAACTCCTCAGCTGCCAATTAAACGCAAAATAGAATACATCCAGATGTAACCAGGCCGACTACAGTTGCCGCCCACCTAGCTAGCTAGCTAGCTAGCTACCTCGCTAGCTAGCTAGCCAGCTACCTCGCTAGCTAGCAAGCTAGCTAGCTAGCTGGCTAGCTATCTCGCTAGCTAGCCACTTTACTAGCTAGCTGCCTCGATAGCTAGCTACATCGCCTTGCTATCAAGCTAGCTGGCGAGCTGGCTAGCTAGCTAGCTAGCTAGATGAGCACGCCAGCCAGCAGCCCATCCAGCTAGCTAGCTAGAGAGACGGCCAGGCACCGGCTAGCCAGCTAGCTGCCTGCCAGCTTCGCTACCAGCTAGCCACGCGGCTGCTCAGCCCGCGGAACCGCTAGCTAGCTAGCTAGCCAGCTAGCTGGCTAGCCAGCTAGCTGGCTAGCCAGCTGGCCAGTTGACAATGTGGGTGGCTAGCTGTTTGGCCAGCGAGCTAAAAATGGCTAGCTAGCTAGCCAGGCGGGAAGACCAGCTAGTTAGCTGGTTGGGAAGCAGCTATGTTGTGAGCTGTAACCCTGAACCCTAAACCCTGGAGCCTCGCTGCTGTTTTAAACGATAGAGTAAAGGTAACCTTGTTCAGGGCTGCCGAACCCGTTCCTAAACCCTAAAACAGGGTTTAGTGGTAAGGGTTTGGCGGATGACGAAAACCAAGTTCTGCTGCGCGAGGTGTACGTACACCCCGCGCCGTTGAAGCCCTCGGTCGGCCGCTGTACATTGAGGGGTGGATTTGTTCCACACATTGAGCTACCCCACATTACTGGGGTCTCAGCTAGCTAGCTAGCTAGCTAGCTAGCTAGCTGGCTAGCTGGCTAGCTAGCTGGGGCCGCGGCCAGGGAGGTAGCCACGCAGGCAGGAGACTTGCGCGCCCAAGGGGCAGCTAGCTGTCTGGCTGGCTCTGAAGTGGCTAGCCAGCCGTGCGGCTTTCAGACAGCTAGCCAGGCCTGCTGCCAGCTAGCTGTTGGGCTAGCTAGCTGGCTGGCTAGCTAGCTAGCTGGCGAAACACACGGAGAGTCCTCGCCAGCCGTTGCGAGCTGCGGTTGCTGCAGCCTGGAGAGTCCGCCGCTGGCGAGGCAGCTGTACGTACACCCGGCGAGGAGTCAGGTACCTGCTGCTGCTGCTGCTGCTGCTGCTGCTGCTGCTGGGTGTGCCGCTGCGTCCGCTGCCGCTGCGAGCGGCGCTGCCGCTGCTGCTGCTGCTGCTGCTGCGCTGCTGCTGCGCGCGTCGGAGCTGGGGGACAAGAGACAAAACTTGGGCGCTCGCAGCCCTTCCGGTGTCTGTACAGCTGCAGCAAAGCAGCCAGCCACCGGTGCTGCTGCATGCACCAGTGCATGCGCGTCTGTGGCCACTTGCCAGTGCAGCAGCGAAGTGCAACTTGGCGGCCAGGAGGCGCGAGTTGGGGCTTTGCATGCATGAACTTGCGCATGCATTGCAACAGCTTTGCATTCCCCGAAGAAATGCATTTCTTTGGAACTATAAAAGTGCGACAGAAAGCGCGGGAGGCGCGCGCGGCGAGTCGCGCGCGCGGCGAGTCCGCAGGTGTCTGTACACCTGGGAGCTCTGGGCACGAGACCTGCTGCCGTGACACGAACGGGGTGTACGTACACCCCACGGGGTGTACGTACACCCCACACCCACTGCAGAATACATTACGTGGAGGCACACTTCCACATGAACGTATTGGCTTCTGCGGTGTACAGACAGCCGGCGGGCGCTCCGTGGCGGCGCTGGGGTGTACACACACCTCGGCCTGGAGCTGCAGCTCCACCTGATCCGCCGGGCGCGCTGCTGGGGTGTACGTACACCCCGGCCTGGAGCCGCAACTCCACCTGATCCACCGGCCGTCTCGCGCGCGAGAGGTCGAACCATTTTTCATCATTTAGGGCTGCTAAGGACTTAAAAGCGCACTCTTTGGATTATTTTCGAAATTAATTTCGAAAGAAACACAAACTTCTCAACTCGAGCTTCCAAACAAACGCAAACTCTCCGCCGTTTTCGAAGTCACGGCGGAGCGCCTTCTTCGGCGAACGCATGCAAACAAACCTTCATATTCCTCCTCTGTTTCCCTCTTTTGTTCTTTTATTTCAACTAATTTGTTCTTTTCCCTTTATTTATATTTGTATTTCCATTTCCTGGGAGCTTCCGCAAACTTCTCCACTTTTCCTGCTCTGCGGAGTGCATGCATGCGCAGCTGTACCGACACTGCTGCTGCTGCAGCAGCTTTTCCGAAAAACAAATTTCAACCACAAGTGCCTTTTCTTCAACTCCTCGATATATATATATACATATATAGATACATATATATATATTTATATTTACATTTACATTTACATTTCTTTTTATTTTTATTTTGGAATACTTTTTGTATTTTTGCGCATTTGTGAACTCTTCATATTATGCGCATCACGCCGAGTTGCACTTATTTGGGCTTTCTTTATACATCAATATAAATATATATATTTATATTTATATATATTTATTTATATTTAGGTATTTATATACTTTGCAACACTTCCTATACATAGGCATATATATATATCTGAGAGCAAATGCATGCATGCAAGCTTTTCCAAACAAGACAATGACACGCAGCTGTACAGACACTGTACACAGATCCGCAGCAGCACGAAATAAAAGCCAGCAGCAGCAGCAGCAACCCGCTGCTGCTACCGCCGCTGCAGCTGCGCCCCCTGCCTGCTGCTGCAGCAGCTAGCGCTGCCGTTGCTGCTGCTGCTGCTGCTTCTGTTGCGGTTGTGGCTGCTGCTGCTGCTGCTCCCGTTCCTGCTGCCGCTGCCGCTGCTGCTGCTGCTCCTGCTGCTGTCGCTCCCGTTTCTCTTGCTGCTGCTGCTGCAGCAGCACCACTGGGGTGTACGTACACCCCACGGCCGCGTCAGCGGCAACGGTGACCTAGCAGCTGCAGCAGCAGCTCCTTAGTGAGCGGCCTCAGCACTTCAGGGTTTAGGCGGATCTGTGACAGCCACAAACCCTTGCAAACCGTAAACCCCAAATTTTACACCCTAAACCCTAAACCCTAAACTTTAAACCCCAGCGCTAAACCCTCGGCTCTGCCTCTCCGCCTCTCGACGCCCAATCGCGCCCAGGCCACCCGCCACCCCGGCGGCCCGCCGCGCGCCCAACCCGCAAGCCCTAAACCCTAAACCCTAAACCCTAAACCCTCACCTCTTCGTCGTGCAGGGCCAAGAAGTCGAGAGAAAGTTCCTTGAGCTCAAATATGCTCAACTGGTCTGCTGCTGAAAGAAGCTGCACCGCCGACTGAATGCACATTGCTGCTCGAAGTCTTTTGATGCAAAGCAGCTTCAGGCGTTCGACGCAAACCTGCAGCAAACCCTAAACCCTAAACCCTAGACCCTAAAACCCTAATCCATAAACCCTAAACCCGCGAGGCGGCGACACGCGCCGCCAGCACTGCGCACGCAACGCTTTCGGGGGTTTAGCGTTTCGCGCAACAACAACAGCAGTGCGACTTTGCTGACGCAGCGGCAGAAGCAGCAGCAGCAATAGCAGTACCAGCAGGAGCAGCAGCAGGAGCAGCAGCAGGAGCAGCAGGAGCAACTAAGAAAGCTGCCGCGAAGTCACTTCGGAAACCAGTCCGCAGTCGCAACAACAGCACTAAGACAAGCAGTAGCAGCAGCAGCAACGGCAAATGCAGCAGCAAAGGCAGCAGCAGCAGCAACTGCAGCAGCTAGCGCAGCAGCGGAAGTAGCAGCAGCAGCAGCAAAAGCAGCAGCAACACCCACTCGTTCTGCTGCTACCATCAGCTCCACCAAGACAGGCCAAGAGAGACCAGCGGGGAGAAAATCCGTGTGGAGGTAATCGAGCAGGGCCGCAAATACCTAAACCCCAAACCCCAATCCCTAAACCCTAAACCCTAAACCCTCCACCCCACAGCCTCAACCCTAAACCCTCGGTCTTCAGCCCTACTACCTGAACAGTGAAGCTACTGGTCGTCGAAACGAGAACTCAACATGCCCTCAACCCTGAACCCTAAACCCTAGGTCCTAGACCCAGAACCCTAAACCCTAAACCCTAAACCCTAAACCCTAAACCCTGACTGCCGAGCTCTCACTTCGTGCCGAATGCCCTCAATGGGTATGGGTTTGTTTTCTCTGTCGTTGGCCTCTTTCAGCCCTCCAAAGAACAAAGCGCGAAAGTGTTCTGACCTGCAGACAAACCCCAAACCCTAAACCCTGAACCCTGAAACCTAAACCCTAAACCCTAAGCCCCCTCGCGAAAACCCCCACAAGAGACATGCACAGACCCCAAACCCCGCCCGCAGCGGCTTTCACATAACTACTGCTTCGGCGGCTAGCGGCTGAGAACAAGGAACTTAGGGTTTAGGGTTTAGGGTTTAGGGATTACCTGCATGCAAGTAGGGCTCTGGACGAGCGCATGATTTTGCCTTCAACCAAAAAGGCCGCATCGGAAAGAGGAGTTGGGCCTTGAAGAGACAGCAGGTTGCTGAGGAGCGTCGAGGGGGGTGGGGAGAGAGGGTCTGCAGCAAACAACGATTTAGGGTCTAGGGTTAGGGTTTAGGGTTTGGGCCTCGGACGCCCAGAGCCCTTCTGCTGCGCGGGCCCCGCCCCGCGAGGGTTTAGGGTTTGGCGCGCTGGGGGGCGGCCGCGGGCGCGGCGCGCGGCCCGAGGGTTTGGCACCTAGGGTTTGGGGTTTAGGGTTTAGGGTTTACCCAAGGGAAACCTGTAGAAGTCGCTCAAAACCTCCCTCCCGTCGTAACCCCCAAACACCACAAAACTGTTTTTAAAAATAACCCCCACCATTGAGCTGCGGCCCGAAGGCAGCAGCCGCCCGCCGTCGATGTAGCGCCACTCGTACGTTTCTGCGCAAACCCTAAACCCTAAACCCTAAACCCTAGGCGCTAAACCCTACGCCCTAAACCCTGCGCCCTAAACCCTGAAGGGGGGACTTCTGTCCAGGCTACTGAGTTCCCACTCGCACAGTGGAGAAATGCAAGAAACATAGTCGAGAGGCAGACGCGAAACCTTCAGCCTTCAACCCTAAACCCTAAACCCTAAACACTAAACTCTAAACCCTGATGGGTTCCTGGCAAGCGGAGAGGTTTGAAGCTTGCTACCTCAAGAATTCAGACTGATGGTTTAGGGTTTGTGCGCGTTGGTGAAACCTAAGGGGGCCTGAAGTCACTGCTGGGGTACAGCCTTCACCTGGCCCGCTAGGGTTTACAGTTTAGGGTTTAGGGTTTAGGGTTTACCGAGGTCGAGTTCATAAAAGTCGTTCAGCCTCTCGTGTCCTGAATATCCCCCAAAGGCGAAAAGCTTTCCGTCTTTGGCGCAAGCAGCATGAAAGTAGCGAGCAGCAGGGCCCCCAGTGTTCTTGCTGCTGCTGCTGCTGCTGCTGCTGCTGCTGCTGCTGTTGCTGTTGCTGCTGCTGCTGTACGCTGTGTACGGGCGACCGCCGCCGCCGCATCCGCCGTTGTTGCTGCAGTAGCAGCAACCCCCGCTGCTGCTGCTGCTGCTGCTGGGGCCGGCGCTGCGTCTCTGCTGCAGCGGCTGCACTGCCACCGAAGGAGCAGCAGCAGCAGCAGTTGCTGCTGCTGCTGCTGCGTCTGCTTCGCTAGCGCCGCTAGCAGCAGTGGGGGGCCCCCAGCAGCAAAACTGGCCGGGCTGGGGGGCCCCCCTGGGGGGCCCACTGAACGTTGTAATAACAGTCCATACTTCGGTTATCAAATCAAATCTGCATGCAAACCCTAAACCCTAAACCCTAAACCCTAAACCCTAAACCTTAGTTTGGGGCGTAGGGGCACACGCGGCAGGGAGTGGGTCTTGCTTTGTCTGCAGAATCAACGAAGGCTTAGGGTTTAGGGCCGAGGGTTTAGGGTTTAGGGTTTGCAGCTAACCTAAAAAGGTCGCTCAATCGCTCCACGCCGTTGTAGCCACCAAAGAGGTACAGTCCTTGCTGCATCCGCACCAAACCCTAAACCCTAAACCCTAAACCCTAACTAGTGTTTCCACCGCTAGCACTCCGGAGTTGGGGGTTTGCTGCGTGGAGCGTTCCTGCAACCTGCGGCCCCTGGCGGTGCTTGTGAGGGTGTAGGGCACGGCGCGGAACCCCAAACTAGGGTTTAGGGTTTAGGGTTTGGGGTTTACCTCGTGCATGGCGGAGGCCGGGCAGCTGCGCCCCGAGGGTATAAGCCCTCGCTGGCTTATGGGACTCCACATTAGGGTTTGGGGATTAAATTCATTTAAGTCATTTAACCAGTTGCTGCCGTCGTAGCCCCCGAACAGCAAAATCGAGGGTTTCAGAGAATTCGCAGCTGCCACGTACCTGCAACAAACCCTAAACCCTAAACCCTAAACCCTAAACCCTAGGAGCTTGGCGCTGCTGCCAGGAGGGTGCAGCGCCCCACCCAGCTTGCGCGGCGTTGGGGTCAAGGGTTTGGGGTTTACTTTCGAGAAAACCCTTAACCCTAAACCCTAAACCCTAGGCGATTGCAGGCGGTGCTGCAGCCCTTGACTCGACGAACGAACCCTCCATAAATCCAAGTCCAGCTACCGGTTAGGGTTTAGGGTTTAGGGTTTAGTGTTTAGGGCTTACCCGAATCTGGGAGAAGGCTTCATGCCCCAGTGCGGGACCTCGGTCCATTCTTCCTTCTCTGCAGATCTCAAACCCTAAACCCTAAGCCCTAAACCCTAAGCCCTAGCCCCTCAACACTGAGCCCCAAACCCTAGGGGTTCGAGGCAGCGGGGCGCCGCATGTGCGCGCAGCGCAGCCGCCGGGCCCCCAACCCGCAGCGTTCGCCGCAAACCCTAAACCCCAAATTAGGGTTTACCGAGATCAAAAGCGTGCAAGTCGTTCAGCCAGTGAGTCCCCGAATAACCTCCAAAAATAAACATCTTCGAGCCTAAGACAACAGCGCCGTTGCTTTCGCGGGGGCTGGGGCAGCCGGGGGCTTTGATCTCGCGCCAGCGAGACGTGCCTGCGCAAACCCTAAACCCTAAACCCTAAACCCTAAATCCTAGGCCCGAGCCCGTACTCCCCAACCCTAAACCCTGCTGCTGCCGCCCACAAACCCGAAGCTCCAAACTGCGAAGCACGCTAGCTCTCTGTCAGTTGAGGCGGGCCGACGCCTGCAGGCCCAGCGCTTAGGGTTTAGGGTCTAGGGTTTAGGGTTTACTGAAATCAAACTTGAACAGGTTCCCCAGGCGAGACAAACCCCCGTAACCCCCAAAAACGAACAAACAGTTCTTATAGACACAAGAGGCTGCGCCGCTGCGGCGCTCAGGGATCAAATTGCCCAAAACCTGCAGCAGCAGCAGCAGCAGCAGCAGCGATGGCTGCAGCAGGAAAAGAACGCGGGACGTGCGGGCAGCAGCTGCTGCTGGGCCAACACACAGTGCAGCAGCAGCAGCAGCAGTTCGCAGACAGTAGGTCACACGAGAAGGCCGCATGCCACAACATACTGAAACCCTAAACCCTAAACCCTAAACCCTAAACCCTAGTTCGATGCTTACCTCTATGACTTCCCAGCCCCTGCTGTATGTAGCAGATTGCGAGGGGCGAGTTTTGGTTGAGGGCCCTCCTGCTGCTGCATCGGTTCCCTGGTGCTGCTGTTGCTGCTGCTGCTGCATCTGCTGCTGTTGCTGCTGCTGCTGCTGTTGCTGGAGCTGTAGCAGCTGCTCGTGCTGCGGCGCCGACAGCTGCCTGTGCTGCTGCTGCTGCTGCCGCTGCTGCTGCCAGTCTTGCTGCTGCCTATCTTCACGTTGTCTGTATGAGGCTGAACTTTGCTGCGGAAGGACACACCCCGGCCGCTGCTGCTGCTGCTGCTGCTTCGAGTGCCGCTGCTCCTCCTGCTGCTGGAGGCGCTGCTGTTGCAGCTGCTGCTGCTCCTGTTGCAGCTGCTGCTGCTGCTGCTGACCGTCTCGCCCGTGCATTCTGTACAAGGGGGCTGGTGGGACGGCGCCACTGCTGCTGCTGCTCCTGCTGCTGCTGCTCCTGCTGCTGCTGCTCCTGCTGCTGCTGCACAAGTTACCACTGTCAGACATGCAACAGCTCTCGTTGCTGCTGAAGCTATTGCCTTTGTTTCTCCCGCTGCGATGCGTTTTGCTGCTGTTGCTGCTGCTGCTGCCGCTGCTGCTGCTGCTGCACCGGCAGCACCAGTGGGCAGTGTTGCTGCTGCAGTCACTCTGCAGCCCTTGAGGCCTTCTCTAGGGCTTAGGGTTTAGGGTTTAGGGTTTAGGGTTTAGCATTTAGGGTTTAAGCCGCGGAATCCAACAGCGACGCTGACGGAAGATGCCGAACGCAGACTACGCCGGCCCCCCTGGTCCCCCGTCTAACCCCAGCTTTAAACCCTAAACCCTAAACCCTAAACCCTAAACCCTAAACCCTAGCCCTCTTCACTTCGGCCTATTTGCTCCAAACGTTTTGTCTCAGTGCAACTTCTTAAAAACGAAAGCGAGGGTTTAGGGTTTAGGGTTTAGGCTGTCGCGCGCCAACGGTCCACCTCGGGGGCTTTGGCAGCCTGGCAGCAGTTAGGGTTTACCGCAAACCCGAAACCCTAAACCCTACAACCTGAATCCCAGTGCGGAAACCCGAAAAACAGCTATTTACACAACGCAAAACCCTAAAGCACTGAACCCTAAACCCCAAACCCTAAACCCTAACTCTTCTGCTTGCAAACCCTCAGAAACAACAAACCACCAAGGGTTTAGCGAGGGTTCAGGACTTTAAGGGTTTTCACTCCTGAGGAGCTAGGGTTTAGGAAAGCTGTTAAAGGGAACTCAGCCAAACACAGGCACTCGGGAGGTTTAGTAACCCTAAAACCTAAACCCTAAACCCTAAACCCCCTCCGTGGGGTGGCCTACTTTGCAGGCCAATAACCCCACATAGAGCTGTGGGGTAGGCTTTAAACCCCAAACCCTAAACCCTAGAGCTAAACCCTCAACCCTAAAGCATAGCCTTAAGTTCCAAATCCCAAACTCTAACCCTAAACCCTGAACCCTAAACCCTAAGCCGCACCCTAAACCCTAAACCCGGTGCACGGCCTTTTGGCCAGCCACTACCCCGGGTGTGAACCCTAAACCCTAAACCCTAAACCCTAAGCCCTAAATCCTTTGCACGGCTCTGTGGCTAGCCATTACCTCATGTGTGCACCCTAAACCCTAAACCCTCGGGCACTGTGAGCCGGACAGCTGAGGGTTTAGGGTTTGAGCAGGCTGGCTCCGCATTCAAAAGGTCAATAGCCACGGGCTTTATGACTCTAAACCCTAAACCCTAAACCCTAAACCCTAGACTCAAGCACTTGTGTGCTTGAACCTTGAACTCTAGGCTACAGGCCCTTGAGGACCGAAACCAAAACCCCAAACCCTAAACCCTAAACCCTCGGTCGTAAACCCTACGCCCTGAGAGCCTTGCGCCGTTTCAGGAAAATTTGCCAACTGGAGTTGAGGGAGTTCCTCGTTTTCAAAGCCCGAGTTGAGGGTTTTGGGTCAAGACAAGGGTTTAAAAACACAAACAAGGGTTTGGGAAAGCAACAAAAGGGTTTAGAGATTTCAAAAGGGCTTCGGGTTTACAGAAAAGCGCCGACTATAGACAACAGTCAACGCCCCTGACAAACCGTCACGACTCGGGTTTGGACGAGGGTTTAGGGTTTGGACGAGGGTTTAAGATTTGGACAAGGGTTTAGGGTTTAGACGAGGCTCATGTTGTGTTTGCTCACATCTACAATCCGCTTGCCGCACATCCAGCAGCGGCCGTTTACGTGGGCGCTGCAGACAAACCCTAAACCCTTAACCCTAAACCCTAAACCCTAAACCCTAAACCCTAGAGTAACACAGCAAACGCCCCAAACCCTAAACCCTAAACCCTAAACCCTGAACCCTAACCTACCACGGAGCGCAGTACTTTCCCTTCATGTGCAGCGCGGTCTTGCAGATTTTGCACTTAGACCCCACAATCACCAACCTGAAAACAACAAACCCTAAACCCTAAACCCTAAACCCTAAAGCGTAGTTGCTGGTGAAGCAGCAGAAAGCAAGGTTGGAATGAAACCCCTACTCGTGACCCTAAGCCCCAAACCGTGAACCCTCGGATGCAGCTGCGAAACCCTAAACCCTAAACCCTAAACCCTAATCCCCAAATCCTAATCCTATATCGCTGACTTGTCCTTTTTCGTCGCTTTTTCAATGAGTTTATTGACGCCCACTATGCGCTTTGACCCTGAATTGCACGCAGCAAACCCTAAACCCTAAACCCTAAACCCTAAACCCTAATCCCTAAACCGTGTGAAGCCCTGTCCAAAGACACCCATGCATTGCCTAGCACCACCTCTTGAAAGCCCAAAGAACTAAACCCTAAACCCTAATCCCTACACCCTAAACCCTACCTTCTTTGACGTCGGGCGTCACGAGCTTTGTGAACTTGGCTTCACACTTATCGCAGGGCATTTCTTACGATGACTAAAACCCTAAACCCTAAACCCTAAACCCTCAGCCGCCAAAGAGACAGCGTCCCTCGACTGAGAACTCCACAAGAGGCGGACGAGAAGCGCAGCGCAAAGCGCCGCAGGTGCGGCTCTTAAACCCTAAACCCTAAACCGTAAACCCTCGAGGCGGAGAGGAAGCAGGGTTTAGGGTTTGGGGCTGGGGTTTTTCCAGGTTTGCTGTTAAGGCTTCCGAAGCTGTCGAGAGGGCCTGAGACGTCGGCTGCTGCGAAAAACCCTAAACCCTAAACCTTAAACCTTAAACCCTCGTCCGCGGAGCCGAACACTGCAGAGGAAGGCAGCTTAGGGCCCCCCTGGCGGCGGCTCGCGCGTGCGAGTCTACTGGAGGAAAAGAATTGCTTTTAAGACGAGGGTTTTGAGAAAAGCGAATCAAAAAGAGTAAAGTTGTTTAAAGATAAGCAGCAGCAGCAGCAGCAGCAGCTGCTGCTGCTGCTGCTGCTGCTGCTGCTGCGCAGGGCCCCGGTTCTGGGCTGGTGCGCGTGCGGCGGGCGGCCGCGCGTCTGGCGCGACTTCGAGTTTGAAAAGTGTCGCTTTTTGTGTTTTAAATAAAAGAAAAGAAAAGAAATGAAATGAAATGAAATTGGCATTTGTTGATCAGCTCGAGATTGTGCGATCGAGGTGGCTGTACACCCCAAGTGCGCAGGTAGCGGCGGCCGACCGGCTCGCGGGTTGCGGTGTAAGCGCGCGCCGGATTCGAGGGTTTAGGGTTTAGGGTTTAGGGTTTAGGGTTTAAATTAAATCTTTTATTCCGTGCACTGTGAACCGCCCTTGCATCTGCGAGATCATTGCCGCTTCCCGCGGCGTGCGGCCCCGCAACCCCGAAAGTCCAAACCCCAAAGCCCAAACCCTAAACCCTAAACCCTCGCCATGCAGCGCGCAGGAGGCCTCGGGGGGGCCCCCCAGGGGCCCCGCAGGCGGGTCGAAAGGCCCGGACTGACTGCAGATGAAATAGAAGAAGTCCGCGAGGCTTTTTCTCTCTTCGACACTGACGGCAGCGGAACTGTAGACCCTAAAGAACTCAAAGCCGCCATGCAAACCCTAGGGTTTGAGTCCAAAAACCCTTCGGTGTTTCAGATGATAGCGGAGCTCGACAGAGACGGGGGGGGCCCCGTCGACTTCGAGGAGTTCCTCGACGCCATCACCGCCAAACTCGTAAACCCTAAACCCTAAACCCTAAACCCTGGGGAGGAGCGGGCTCCGCACGCGGCTTCTGAAGCCTGTGTGCAGCAAGCGCTCCTCGCTGAGCCCTAAACCCTGAGGCTGCCCAAACCCTGAACCGCAAACCCTAAACCCTAAACCGCAAAGCCTAAACCCTAAGCCGCAAACCCTAAACCCTAAACCCTAAATCGTGGTTTGCGCGCAGGGCGACAAGGAGAGTCGCGAGGGGATTCAGAAGATCTTCAACTTGTTCGACGACGACAAGACGGGGTCCATAACTCTCAAGAACTTGAAAAGAGTGGCGAGAGAACTTGGCGAGGGTTTGAGTGAAGAGGAGTTGCGGGAAATGCTGGAAAGAGCGGACTCCAACGGAGACGGAGAGATTTCCTTCGAGGACTTCTACGCCATCATGACCAAAAAGGCCTTCCCCTAAACCCTATTTTAGGGTTTGCGCAAACCCTGAATTAGGGTTTGCTCAAACCCTAAATTAGGGTTTGTCCAAACCCTAGATTAGGGTTTGCCCAAACGCCCGCAGTTGGGGTTTGCGCGTTGTGGAAAGGGCGGACTCCAACGGAGGCGGAGAGATTTCCTTCGAGGACTTCTACGCCATCATGACCAAAAAGACCTTCCCCCAAACCCTAAATTAGGGTTTGCCCAAACGCCCTCAATTACGGTTTGCGCCAAACGCGCGCCTCGGGGGCTCCCGCGACAGACGCGGCACTGATGCGCGAACTCCTCCTTAATTAAGCCTTCCGGCATTGCCCGAAGCCCTCAATTAGGGTTTCCAAACCCTAATTCAGGGTTTGGCCCCAGATCCGAGGGCTTCTTGTTTTCGGAGGGTGCACGCGGAACCAAACTCCGATGGCGACGTCGCGTATGTGACTGCGATCACAGCCATTTCCCCTAAACCCTAAATCAGGGTTTAGGGTTTGATGCGAAGGGATAGGGTTCGGGAAACAGGGCTTCTGCCCGCTTGCGAGAAAAGTCGCGGCGGCCTTCCCGACCCGCCCAAGGAGATGCAATGAGGGTTTAGGGTTTAGGGTTTACAGCGCCTGCGTGGGCTTTAGGTGGCCCCTGTGCTAAACCCTAACTTAGGGTTTACACGGGCTTGACGAACTGGGGCCGCCGCCTTGCGGCCTGAAGAGTGTTTAGGGTTTAGCTTCAAGGTGCTGCAGAGGCAGCAGCTGCTGCTGCAGGGGGAGAGAGCAGGTGGTGCTGCTGCAATGCTTCCAGCAGCAGCAACAGCTGCTGCTGCTGCTGCTGTTCTGGATTCTTTCCGGCAGCGGCTGCTTCAGACTGCAGCAGCAGCAACAGCAGCAGGAGCTGCCGCTGCGGGCCGCAGCAGCAGCAGCAGCGGCTTCTGCAGACTGCAGCAGCAGCGACCGCTGCAGCAGCTGCTGCAGGCCGCAGCAGCAGCAGCCGCTGCAGCGGCTGCTGCAGGCCGCAGCAGCAGCAACCGCTGCAGCAGCAGCTGCAGGCCGCAGCAGCAACTGCAGCAGCAACAGCTGCAGCGGGGAGCAGCTGCAGCAGCAGCAGCAGATTGGTTTTTCTCGTTTCTACAGCCATTTGTATTTTGTCAGTTCCGGCGGTGGCTGCTTCCCGGCTAGCTAGCTACTTAGGGAAAGTCATCTTTACAGGTAGCTAGCCAGCTAGCTAGCTAGCTGGTTAGCTAGCTGGCTAGCTAGCTAGCTAGCCAGCAGGCCAGAAGTCGGCATCACAGTTGCGCTGGGCCTGGGCCTACTAAATAATAGATATGGCTGCGTAGCTAGCCAGTCAGCGGAATGGCTGGCTAGCTAGCTAGCTGGCTAGCTAGATAGCTAGCTAGCTGGCTGGCTAGCTAGCTAGCCATTCCGCTGGTCAGCTATTTGGAACGTAGCCTCATTTATAGCATAGCTAGCTAGCTGACTAGCCAGCAAATTGGCTAGATAGCTAGCTAGCTAGCTAGCTAGCTGGCTAGCTAGCCAGTCAGCTAGCCAGCCCCTGCAGGTATTGTGGGTTGAGACGGCTAGCCCCTAAACCCTAAATTCTAAGGACTATGCAGAGCACGTTTAGGGTTTGGGGTTTAGGGTTTAGGGTTTCGAGGAATCCGAAGCAAGCAAGCTTTACACCCCTAAAAGTCTAGGCCCTAAACCCTAGAGTGAAGCCGCCAATTCTCAAACCCTAAACCCTAGGGTTTAGGGTTTGAGAACTGGTGAAGCAGCCGGAGCTGGCAAGGATTTGGCAAGCCCTAGGATTAGGGTTTAGGGTTTAGGGTTTAGCGCGGGGGAGCGCAGCCCCCCACACTGGAGGAAGGGGTGGCGGTGAAGGCTGCGAGGCGCACACCAAACAAGGGTTTAGGGTTTAGGGTTTAGGGTTTGGCTTCAGGGACTGCGTGCCTTTCTCGGGGCCAGCTGGGCAACTGACGCGTTGTCAGCTGCACAATTAGCGTTTAGGGTTTAGGGTTTGGCGTGTCTAGGGTTTAGATTTGGCGTGTTCAGGGTTTAGGGTTTAGGGTTTGGCGTCTGGGCTTTGGCCTTTTCAGGGTCTAGGGTTTAGGGTTTGGGGAGTTGCGGGTTCAGCGTGTGGCGTGCTAAATGTTCGGACTTCAGACCTGGCCCCTCGAAAGCCTAGGGTTTAGGGTTTAGGGTTTGCGTACATTCGTAGCCCGCGCAGCACTGCACATGCAAACAGCGGCCGTCGGGAAGAGCAGCAAAAGCGCGGCTGCCAATTCGCCGCGCGCACTGCGGGCAGGCTCTGCAGCCCCAAACCACAAACCCTAAACCCTAAACCCTAAACCCTAGATTCTGGGGGAGCGCGCTGAGGAGGGCCCAGAAGGGCGCCGAAGCGGGGAGCCAAATGGGCACAGCAGCAGGCGAAGGGGCGCTGGGCAGCAATTAGGGTTTAGGGTTTAGGGTTTAGAGGGTTTAGGGTTTGGGGTTTAAAGGGTTTAGGGTTTACGTTTCCTGGGTGATCTCGATCCACTTGCTTTTTTCTGCTGCTGCCTGCGTGTAGACAGTGAGGTAGTCTGCGCTGCAGAGCTTCTCGTGAACTGCTGCTGCTGCTGCTGCGTTTTGCTGCTGCTGCAGCGACACACGAATGAAGGGAGACAGCTGCTGCAGCAGCAAACCCCCCGGCAGCAGCCCAAACACAGAGCGCAGCGAGAGACACGGCGCGCCTGCATGCCGCTGCAGCAGCAGCAAAGCGTTCTGCAAGTAAAAGTCTGCTGCTGTTGCTGCTGCAGGCGCTGCTGCTGCTGCTGCTGTAGGCGCTGCTGCTGCTGCTGCTGCTGCTGGGGCAGCAGCGCTGGCTGCTGTTGCTGCTGCTGCCCCCTCTCCCGCCAAAGTTGCCTTGCCTAAGCCTTCATCTGTCGGCGCTGCGGCAGATGCTGCTGTTGCTGCTGCTGTTGCTGTTGCTGCTGCTGGTGTTGCTCCTGGTGTTGCTGCTGCTGTTGCTGCTGCTGTTGCTGTTGCGTCGGCTGAGGCTTCCCTCCAGCAATTAAGCAAGACCTGAAGCGCACACCTGCAGGCGCTAAACCCTAAACCCTAAACCCCAAGCCTTCCAGTGCTGACAGTAAGGTCTGAGGGTTTAGGGTTTGGTGTTTTGGCGGCCTAGGGTTTGCCCGAGGGTTTGGGGTTACCTTGAGCAACAAAAGCAGCAGCCCGCAAGAGCGCTTGTTGGCTGCAGCCGCAAAACACAGACCCTAAGCCCTAAACCCTAAAGCTGGGCGGCCACAGGGCTCTTCTAGTTGTTAGGGTTTAGGGTTTAGGGTTTAGGGTTTGAACTTTCGTGCTTCACTGGAGCTCAAACCTCCCCCTCGCCCTACCTGCGTAGACCTGCTGCTGCTGTTGCTGCTTCTGTTGCTGCTGCTGCTGTTGCTGCTGCTGCTCTTGCTGCTGCTGCTCTTGCTGCTGCTGCTCTTGCTGCTGCCGCTGCTGCTGCTGCGCCTTTGCAATTGGGATTCGCCACAGCTCTTCGTTTTTTTTCATCTCTTCATACTCGGTTTGCTGCAGCTGCAGCAGCAGCGGCAGCAGCTGCTGCTCTGCTGCAGCACAGTAGCGTTCTGCTGCTGCAATGTCTTTTCTTTCTTTCACAAAGCAAAGCAACGCCGACCTGCATGCGCCCAGAAGTCTAGGGTTTAGGGTTTAGGGTTTGGGGCTTGGTAGCTGCGGAGCCAGAGGGGCGCAACAGAGCAAGGGTTTAGGGTCTAGGGTTTGGGGTTTTGCAGCTCACTCGTGTTCTCCCGCTTTCCCGTGCAGTATGGCCTTTTCCTCTACCAACTCCGAGCCTGCCACCTGCAGCAGCAGCAGCAGCAGCAACAACAACAGCAACATAAGAGAACGACAGCTCTTCCAGCACCAGGGTTTGGGATCGAGGGTTTAGGGTTTAGGGTTTACTTTCTTAAGAAGGCTCTGGACATCGTAGCTGCTCTGCTGCTCCAGGAATCGCCGTAGCTGACTGCGCTGCTCTTCTGCTGCTGCTGCTGCTGCTGTCGCTGCTGCGGGTGTTGCTGCTGCTGCTGCTGCTGCTGCTGTCCCTGTTGCTGGCACGGCTGCTGGCGCTGCTGCGGCTGCTGCTGCTGCTGCCAGCGCTGAGCACACAGGCACACTTTGGGGACTACTGTAAGTTGTTAGGGTTTAAGGTTTAGGGTTTAGGGTTTAGGGTTCAGGGTTTAGAGCTCAGACTGAGGAGGAGCGGTTTACTGGCAGCTTGAGGGTTTACGATTTAGGTTTTAGGGTTTAGGGCGTAGAGTTCAAAATGGCATTGAAGGGAAATAGCAAAGAAAAAAATACCGAACAAAAAACGGGCGCTCCCACCAAACCCTAAACCCTAAACCCTAAACCCTGATTTGTGCACCTCGATCAATGTAGATGGAGGCTAACTCCGTTTCTATTTGAGGGTCGTGCAGCAAACCCTGCAGCAGCAAATGCTCCAGGTAGAGCTCCCGCAGCTGCTGCTGCAGCTGCTTCTGCTGCGGCGGGAGCTGCTGCAGCAGCTGCAGCACCTCAGCAGCAGGCAGCGGGCTGCAGCTCTTCTGCATGAAAAGCTCTATCGCTGCACACCAAAACAAACCCTAAACCCTAAACCCTAAACCCTAAACCCTAAACCCTAAGCGCTAACCAGCTGGCGAGCCTGGCCACCTGCGAGTTAGGGTTTAGGGTTTAGGGTTTGTCTCACTCTTCCTTGGATTCTCAAGCAGCACGAGAGGAGCAAAGCGCCGCAGCAACGCTGCCTGCTGCTGTTGCTGCTGCTGCTGCTGCTCCTGCTGTTGCTGCTGTTGCTCCTGCTGTTGCTGCTGCTGCTGCTGCTGCTGCACCACCTGCTGCAGAATCAGCAGCATCTGATCCGAAGGGGACAATGCGGTTTCTGCCTTTGCCGGAGAGCCTGCAGAGTCTGCATGCAAAACAAACCCTAAACCCTAAACTCTAAACCCTAAACCCTCGCGAAATAACGCAAGGGGGAGGCGGGAAAGGGCCAAAAGAAGCAGCAACAACAGCAGCAAAAGCAGCAAAAGGAGACATGCCTTGCTGCTGCTGCGTCAGGAGCTCAAGGGCCTCTTCAGTTTGCCCACAGTGCTGCAGAGACACAGCAGCACAACCACTCCGAAATAAGGGTTTAGGGTTTAGGGTTTGGGGCTCAGTCTTGCAGCTAGCGCTGGGCATTCGGGCGCGGACTGGCTTGGATACGCTGCAGCAGTTTTTGAGGCTGAGACTCTGCTGAGGGTTTAGGGCTTAGGGTTTAAGGTTTGCAGCAGACCTTAAACCCAAAACCCTAAGCTGAGGGTTTAGGGTTTAGGGTTTGAAGCAAACCTGCAACAACGCAGCTAGGGCATCTGTGCGGCCCAAATACAGCAAAAATAAACGGCAGTCTTCCACACTGCAAGTGCACCCCAGGAACTGCTCCTCTCGCTGCTGCTGCTGCTGCTGCTGCTGCTGCTGCTGCTGCAGAGCTTCCGGAGGAAGCAGCAGCTGCTGCCACCGAGGGTCATCTGCTTCTACCTACACCAAACACACCTTCAACACTAAACCCTAGAAAAAAACCCAAACCACAAACCCTAGACTCAAACCCTAACCCTAAACCTTAGGGCCAGCCCTAAGGAAAATACACAGAGGGTCCCCAAGCGCCCAAATTGAGGGTTTAGGGTTTGAGGGTTTAGGGTTTGGGTTGAGGGCTTAGAGGACTTACGAGGAGCTTGAGAAGAATCGTGTCAATGGCCTCCAGAAGCAAAAGCTGCTTTTGCCTGTCTTCAGAGGCCCCAGCAGCAGCAGCAGCAGCAGCAATGCTGCTGCTTTTGCTGCTGCTGCTGCTGCTGCTGCTGATGCTGAACTTGCAGTAACCGTTGTAGTCCGAGCGCAGCAGCTGCCTCTGCTTCAGCAGGAAAGAGCAAAGGGCGCTGTTGGCAATCTGCACGCACCCCAAACCCTAAACCCTAAACCCTACACCCTACACCCTAAACCCTTAGCCTAAAGCCTAGGCTCTAAACCCTAAACCCTAAACCCTCAAGGCGAGGCTTTGACGCTCGCGAACCTCCCCGCCTTGCTTGCCAGTCTAGCAGCAGCTGAAGTGGCATTTCTCCGATTGAAATCTGGAGTCGAGGGTTTAGGGTTAAGGGACTAGGGTTTACGAATTAGGGGCTAGGGTTTGCAGCTAGGGCTTGCCTCTAGCAAGACTTCTTGAGACGCATTTGCCTGGCCTGGGGTTTCCGTGGACTTTCTATCTTTCACCAAAGTGTCCGTCACTGATCGCAAGCTCCAAAACCTAAACCCTAAACCCTAAGCCCCAAACCCTGGAGGAACCGCAACTCTGGGGTGCACCGGCACGCCGTAGCAGCAGCAGTCAGCGCCCTAAACCCTAAACCCTAAACCCTAAACCCCAAGGCCTAAGCCCTCAACAAAGCCTGCACTTATCGCGCCCTATACCCTAATCCCTACGCCTCCAGCGCCCTCCTAACCCCTAAACCCTAAACCCTAAACCCTAAACCCTACCGAACTCAGCCAGTCCGCGTGGGGGAGGCACCAGGGAAGGCGGCGTGGAGGCGAAGAGTTCTTTGGTCTCTTCCAGCAAAGGCATTTGCAGCCACGAGGGCCACACTCGCCGCCAGAAAGCTGCGCTCACAAACCCTAAACCCTAAACCCTAAACCCTAGACCCTAGACCCTGAGAACAGCTCTGCCAGGCCGCGCTTGAGGCGGCCTGTTCGCCGCCGGCGGCCCCCGTGGGGCTCACTGACGCGGGCGCCCCTTGCCGCTGCAGGCCCTTTTGCCTAGGGTTTAGGGTTTAAGGTTTAGGGTTTAGGGTTTAGGGATTAGAAGTCACCAAGCAAATGACCCAGGTCCAGGGGCGCATGTGCAAAGTGCTGAAAAGCTGCAGAGAAATTCAAAGAGCTGAAACGGCTCCAGCCGGCCAGCAGGTGGAATTGGCCCAGCTCCTCCGCCTGCACGCAAACCCTAAGCCCTAAATCCTAAACCCTAAACCCTAGTTTCAAACCACAAATTCTAAACCCTCATGTCTAGGTTCTGGATGGTGGAACAAACCCTAAAATCAAATCCGCTTCTGCCTCTGCTGCTACTGCTGCTGTAGTCTACGGTGGAGGGCGAAAAGAAACAAACACAAACACAAAGCCTAAACCCTAAACCCTAAACCCTAAACCCTTCGCTCTGATTTCTCGTAAGAAGGGCTCAAAGGTAAATCGCAGAAACAGCGTCGTCGAGTTCTTCTTAGGGTTTAGAATGAAGAACTTCGGTCTAAGAGTTAGGGCCCCTGGCATAAAATTTAGGGTTTAGAGCTTAGGGTTTAGGGTTTACGCGTCTGGGGTCGTTTACGGGGAAGTTAGCGTTGAGCTGATCCAGCGCATCGGCGACGCGGCCGGCCATAAGCAGTTTCCAGAGCTGCAGACAAACCCTAAACCCTAAACCCTAAACCCTAAACCCTAAGCCCTAAACCCTAAACCCTAAACCCTAAACCCTAGGCCTTAAACCTTAAACCCTGAAGCGTCGCTGTAGCTGGCAGTTACCTGGTGTTTGAAAGGCACGGGCAGCAGCACCTGGAGCGTGTTGGCAGCAGCAACAATAATAGGGTTTTTGTGCTGCTGCTGCTGCTGCTGCTGCTGCTGCTGCTTCGTAAGAAGGGGAGCAGCAGCAACAATTGGTGCAGCAAGACACACTTGCTGCAGCAGCAGCAGCGCCGGGCTGCTCCAGTTGCTGGCCCAGACGCGGCCGCCCCTTTCGAGGGCCACGAGGTAGGGGCCCGAGGCCGCTGCACGCCAAATTAGGGTTTAGGGTTTAGGGTTTAGGGTTTGGGGGGGGAAAGAAAACGAAGGAATGGAGAAGAAGGGACGCCTTGGAGCAGCAAATGAAGCAGCAAAAGGAGCAGAAAATGAAGCAGCAAATGGAGCAGCAAAAGGAGCAGCAAAAGGAGACGAAAAAGAAAGAGACGAACCTGCTGCAGCAGTGTCTTTGGGCAGCAGCAAAGTGCTGCGGTTTGCTGGCAGCAAAGTTTGGAGACAAATGGAAATCAAAAGGCCCTGGTCTCCCCGCAGCAGCAGCTCAGAGGCCCCCAGGGGGCAAAAGAGGAAGCAGCAGGAACTCGCTAAATTAGGGTTTGGCACTTTCAGCCCAAACAGGTCTTGCGCCGCGCTGCATGCACCGAAACCCCAACAACTCCCCCTTGCTGCTGCTGCTGCTGCTGCTGCTGCTGCTTCTCCGCCTTCTCTATTCGAAGCCAAATCTGCGGGCCCCGGAATTCGTCCCGCAGCAATGCCCGGGGAGAAACGGTCCCCATCGAGGGTTTAGGGTTTAGGGTTCGGGGTTTAGGGTTTGGCGTTTAGGGTTTGCTTGCGCGGCTGCTGCACTCTGCTGCTTCACGGGCGAGCCGCGCCCCGAGAGGCCTTCGCAGAGGCCGCGGCAGGCCAGCAGCAGAGGCCCCCGAGGGTTTAGGGTTTAGGGTTTAGGGTTTACTTGGTTTCGGGGTCGAGGACGAGGTATTCGTGGTGGGTGGCGAGAAGAAGTTTGTTGTTGAAAGAAAAGATCTGGAAAATATCTTTAATTGGATTTAAAGGAACTTCTTTGGCCAAGACGAAGTCCACGCTGCGGTGTACGTACACCCGGACCAAACCCTTAAACCCCACATACACCGCAGCCAAACCCTCGAGGGTTTCTGCTGCAGCAACGGCGGCGCAAGAGGCCCCTGCAGCAGCAGCAACTTCGCATTCAAATGAATTTAATTTTATTTATTTATTTATTTATTTATTTATTTATTTATTTTCAATTAATTAATTAATTAATTTGGTGTTTTTTCTTTGCTTTGGTTCCACGCGCGCGCGGTTCTTGCTGCGTGTTTGGGCTTGGTGCAAACCCTAAACCCTAAACCCTAAACCCTAAACCCTAAACTTTACGCCCTGCAGCCCAAACCCTAGCAGCAAATGGAGAGCAAACAAATCAGCTAATTCGTTGGGTGATTGAAACTTAAATGGATAAATAATTTAAATAAATAAGCAAATAATAATAAATACATTTAAAAAATTAAAAAGGATTAAAATTTATAATTAGGAAAAAACCCTCACCTTTTGTTAACACATGGCCGGGAGAGTCCAGAGAAAAAGGCAGAAGGTACACGTAGCCGTCTGCTCAAAACACCCCTAAACCCTAAACCCTAAACCCTAAACCCTACACCCTACACCCCCTGTCCTGGTGTGCGAGTGTTTCGTCAAAGGACCTAGACCCTAAACCCTAAACCCTTCGCGTGGTGCGGTTTTCTATTTCAAGCCGCACACTTCTGGGTCCGAAGTCCTAAACCCCTTACCCTACGCCCTAAACCCTAAACCCTAAACCCTAAACCCTCACCTGAGACAGCCACTACAACGGAAATGCGTTCAATTAGCGCCACGGACTGCACAGGCTTTTTGGTGGGAAGCTGCAGCTTGGCGGTGACGGTGGCTGTGGCCTGAATGCCCGCCTCAAACCCAAAACCCTAAACCCTAAACCCTAAACCCTAACATGAAACCCTAAACCTAGACTGACACCCATGGGCTGCCCCGTCGGCAAACGCCGCCAACGGTGCAAGCCGTAGACGCAGCGCTTAACAGCCCTAAACCCTAAACCCTAGGCCCTACCCGCAAACCCTAAACCCTAAACCCTAAACCCTAGGCTGACCTCCACTGCATCCTCCTCCAAGGGCCCAAGCGCTACCCGCAGCACTAAACCCTTTTCGCATCCCACGAAAACCCCCGACTGAAATGCTGCTAAACACTGAATTGCTTCTTGCTGCTGCAGCTGCAGCAGGGGCAGCGCCCGGAAAGGATCCATTCTAGGGTTTAGGGTTTAGGGTTCAGGGTTTAGGGTTTTGGGGCTCAGGGGTTCGGGGAACCCGCTGCCTGCCTAGGGTTGGAGGCGAAATAAACGAAAGACAAACCCTAAACCCTAAACCCTAAACCCTCAACCCTAGGCAGAAACATCGCAGGCCGCGGGCCTTTGAGTCTCACTCGTCCTCTTGACCTCTAAACCCTAAACCCCATACCCTAAACCCTAAACCCTTAACCCCAGGTACAAAAAAAAGAGAAGGCAGGAGAAGAATCATCAGCGCCGTTGAGACCGGAGGGGGCCCTACCCTGGCTGACGACAAACCCTAATCCCTAAACCCTAAACCCTAAATCCAAAGCGACCAATCCACATACTTTCAAAAATAAACCCTTAACCCTAAACCCTAAACTCTAAAGGCTTACACGCTCACAGCCAACTCCGTGGGAGGGGCTGCCGACAGGGGGCCCCCCGTGGTGATCAGTTGGGAAGCCCTAAGGTCTAAACCCGAAACCCTAAACCCTAAACCCTAAACCCTAAACCTTAAACCCTAGATTATCCTTTTAAAAATGTTTTTCACTGAATTTTTCAAAGGCCCAACGACTGCAACGTCATGCCCAGACATGACTGAGTACCCCACAAACCCTAAACCTTAAACCCTAAACCCTAAATTCTGAAGCCGACGCCCCTTCTGTCGGCGCGTCAGTGACCCGCCCCAAAACCCTACGCCCTAAACCCTAAACCCTAAACCCTAAACCCTGAACGCAGTTTTTAGGTCCCCTTCCTGAAGAAAACGAAGACAGCAGCAGAGCCCGTCCCTCGTCTTTTACAAACCCTAAACCCTAAACCCTGCAGCTAGCCATGGCTAGCCGCAGGTAGTTTTGCTAGCTTTAGCTAGCTGTAGCTCGCTGCTCGCGCCGCCACCTAGCCAGCTAGTTACCTAGCTAGCTAGCTAGCTAGCTAGCTAGCTAGCTAGCGACGGCTACACAGTGACTTGCAGAAGCCCCACGCTGAGCCTAGAAGGCACGCACAGCCGGCAGTTTCGAGCAAGGGTTTAGGGTTTAGGGTTTAGCGTTTAGGGTTCATTAGGGCGCAGCTGGCAAAGACTGCTGCCAACGCGGGTATGGCCATATCTGGCTAGCTGCAGCTAGCCCCAGCTAGCCCCAGCTAGCTACAGCTAGCTGCAGTTAGCTACAGCTAGCCACAGCTAGCCACAGCTAGATATAGTGAGCTCTAAGCTAGGGCTGTGGCAGCTGACAAGGAAAGCCAAAACCCAAATCGTATCTTTTAGCAAAGAGAAGAAAGCAGGCCCCTGGATGCACTGGCTAGCTAGCTAGCTAGCTAGCTAGCTGGCTAGCTAGCTAGTTATCTAGGTGGCTAACTAGCTGCGTTGCTGGACCGCACCGGGCTAACCGGCTACCTAGCAGCCAGCTAGCTAGCCAGCTAGCTAGCTATCTAGCCAGCTGGGGAGCCAGCTAGCTAGCTAGCTAGCTGGTGAACAATCAGGGGAGGCAGCAAAAGACAAAGAGGAGGCAGAAAGAAATTAAAAAAAAAGAATACGAAATGGGCATTGCGAGGCTCGAACTCGCGACCTTGGGATTATGAGACCCACGCGCTACCGACTGCGCCAAACGCCCGAAGGGACTACCTAACCCTAAACCCTAAACCCTAAACCCTCCCTGAGCGCGGAATGGTGGGCGCTGCGGGCTCAGGTTAAGGACAAGACTGCTGCTGCCTCTTGGGCGCTGTGGACAGATGCAAAAACTAGGTCTGCGAAGAGTTACGGGATAGGGTTTAGGGCTTGAACTTTAGGGTTTAGCATTTAGGGTTTAGGGTTTAGAATTTTCGCCCACAAGCGTCGGGCGTTTGGCGCAGTCGGTAGCGCGTGGGTCTCATAATCCCAAGGTCGCGAGTTCGAGCCTCGCAATGCCCACTCGCAAAGTTTGGGTTTAGGGTCTCGATTTTAGGGTTTAGGGTTTAGGGTTTGGGGTGTAGGCTGTTGCGTCGGGTTGGGGGTTTAGGGGCTAGGGTTTACGATGCTAAAGCCTGCAGTGCAGTAGCTCTCGTGGGGAGTCGTCAGCAAAAAACAAAATAAACAAAAATTAAAGGTTTAGGGTTTAGGGCTTAGGAGCTGAGCTCCTTCTTTTTGTGCTGCAGCACCAGCGCCTTGAGCCTTTCTGTCTCGCGCTTTCTCTCTGCTTCTTCACCCTGCAACATTTGCTGCTCTATTTGCTGCTGCGGCTGCGGCTGCTGCAGCGGCTGCTGCGGCTGCTGCGGCTGCTGCTGCTGCTCTTGTTTCTGTTGTTTTTGTTCTTGCTGCTGCTGCAGCGTTTGCTGTTCTTCGGTCTCTGCCTGCTTCTGCTGCTGCCGCTTCTCTAGCTCTTGTTTTTGCTCTTGCTGCTCCAGCAGCAATTGCTGCTGTTGCTGCTGTTGCTGCTGCCACTGCTCTTGTTGTTGCTGCTGCTGCTGCAGCTGTTGCTGCTGCGGCCCTCGCTGCAGCTGCTGCGGCGCGAAGGGCCGCTGCTCTCCCAGCCTCCGAGCTTGCTTCTGCAGCCGCAGCAGAAGCTGTTTCCGTTGCTGCTGCAGCTGCCGCTGCAACAAATCCATCGTGTCATGTTGGTGCAGCTGCTGCTGCTGCATCTGTTGCCGCTGCTGCTGCTGCTGCTGGGATGCTGCTGCGCTGCTGCCTGCAGAAGTGTTTGCTGCAGGCTGCTGGCTGCCACCCTGTGGAGTCCTGCAGCGCGAAATGCTGCGGCTATTGTTGCTGCTGTTGCTGCCGTTGCTGCTGGTGCTGCTGCGGCTGCTGTTGCTGCTGATCCTGCTGTTGCTGGTGTCATTGTCACTGCTGCTCTCGCTGTACCGTTGCCGGTTGCTGCTGCTGCTGCTGTTCCTGCTGCTGCTGCTGCTGCTCCATTCGACGTCTGAAGAGTCCTTTGAGTCTCCAATATAAAAATAACGGGCCCTTCTTCTGAAGCCCCCTGAGGGTGGAGCTGCTGGTGGTGTTACTGCTGCTGCTGCTGCTGTTGCTGCTGCTGCCTCAGCAGAAGAGCAGCACTGCCCTGCAGCAAAAGGGACGAAGGTAGTGGATGGACAGCTCGCTGCGGTGTCAGCAGTGCCACCGCTCGGGAAGCTGCTGTTGCTGCAGTTGCTGCTGCTGCTGCTGCACTCTGGCAGCAGCAGGTTGCTGCTGCTCTTCCGCTTAACGAGCTTCCCAATCACAGCTTCTGTCCCCTGAGCAGCAGCAGCAGCTGCCTGCCTTCGGGCGAGGCATTTGGGGCAGCAGCAGCTGCCAGTTTGTTGGCAGTCGTTGCAGCCCTGCTGCTGCTGCTGCTGCTGCTGCTGCAGCTGATGTTGCGGGTGATTTTCTTGGGGCGGTTCGTGCTGCGGATGGCTTTCCGTCTGCTGCTGCTTGCCCAGCCGCTGCTGCTGCTGCTGCTCCACCGAAAAGGGACTTTGAGTGCTGCTGCTGCTGCACTCAGGAGACACAGGAGACACAGTTATAGGAGAAGACCGCAGCAGCAGCTCGCGGCGGAAGTGCCGACGACGGAGAGCCCTACGCTCCTGTTGCTGCTGCTGCTCTTGTTGTTGTTGCTGCTGCTGCTGCTGCTGCTTGGACTCTTGCTGCTGCTGCCGCTTCATCTGAGCCCGCTGTGACTGCTGTTGCTGCTGCTGCTTCCCACTGAGGGAGCAATAGGGAGCGATGCTGCTCTCGGAAATGGAGCGCTCGGTGGGGCTGTCCTCTATTTGCTGCTGCAGCTGCTTCTGCTGCTGCTGTTGCTGCTGCTGCTGCTGCTGCGTTACACGGAAAGGCCTGGAGATAAGACCAAGGAGCAGCCACAGAGAGCTGGAGACAAGGCGCAGCAACTGTGACAGAAGAGCAGCAGCAGCAGCAGCAGCAGCAAGCATGGAAAGCCACCAAAGCCTCAAACACTCCTGCTGCTGCTCATATGGCAAAAGCGTAGCTGAGTGGCGCTGCTGCTGTTGCTGCTGCAGTTTTTGGGGCTGCTGCTGCGGCTGATGCCGCTGTTGTTGCTGCTGATCATTCTGCGGCTGCTGCTGGTCGTGCTGCTGCTGCTGCTTCCGGTGCAGTGGGTTTTCAGGCACCAGAGCCAAATCGGGCAGGAGCAGCAGCAGCAGCTGTGACCAGTTCTTCTTCGTTGTAGCTCCGGAAGCAGCAGCAGCAGCAGCAGCAGCAGCAGGCTGTCTGCCGCTCCGAACTGCAGCAGCTGCTTCGCAGCGATGAGAATAACCCCACAGATTCTGAGTCGCAGTGTGAGGTGTATGTACACCGCAGGAGTTGAGGGCGTCGATGGCGCTGCTCCCGTGGAGGTAAAGGAGCCGCAGCTGCTGCTCCTGCACCAGCAGCAGCAGCAGCAGCAGCAGCAGCAACAGCTGCAGCAGCAGGGGAGAGCTCAGCCGGTTGTACACCCATCGAAGACCTCTAATTGCCGCCCTGAAGTTCCAATGGCCCCCACACCTCTTCACGCCGCTGTTGCTGCCGCTGTTGCTGCTGCTGCTGTTGCTGCTGCTGCTGCCGTTGTTGCTGCTGCTGCTGTTGATGCTGCTGCTACTGTTGCTGCAGTCAGTGCAAGCAGAGTTAAGCGCTGCTTGAGAAGCCATTGCCTGAGGAGCTGCTGCTGCACCAGCAGCAGCAGTCTAGAGGGAGCTCCAAAGGGAATGGCTGGAGGTTAGCTTTGAGCAGCAATAGGTGCTGCTGGTGAGTGCTGGACGCTGCTGCGGCAGCTTCTGTCGTTGTCTTCTGCTCAAATTGGGGTTTGGAAGCTAGGGATTAGGGTTTAGGGCTTGGGGTTTGCGGCATTCATTTAGTTGTTAGCGCTGGGTGTGTGAGTCGCCGTGGGGCGCGCGGGCTGCAGCACCATCGGCCAGTGTCTGCGGCAAAATGCCAAGACCTAAAACCTAAACCCTAAACCCTAAACCCTTAAAGAGAACCCTGGGCACTAAACGCGTAAAGATATACAGAGCCACTGCGCAGCGGCGTTGCAGCAAAGAGCACGAGCCAGCAGCACAAACCCGCAGTCCTGGGCCCTAACACCTTCGAAAGAAATAAAACAAAGGATAAATAATAAACAACAAATTCGAAAATAAGGAAACAAATTTAAAAGGCGGCAAAATGCAGTGTAAAGCAACCAAAAGGCTGGGCGGCAGCAGTCCCGCAGTGACCTCAGCTCGCACAGGTTCAGGAAGCACCGCAAAATGGAGCCTTTTCGTTCCCTTTGCTTCTCCAATCAGCTCTTAGACGACAAATAAAATAAAATCAAAACCATTTTAGCGAATTCAAGGGCTAAAAACCCCCTATTTTTGGGGGTAACGACTGCAGGTGGCGGACGCGATGTGCACACTGGTCAAATGCAGCGTTATTGGCGTGTCTGCACACGAATTGAAACGTCTTTATCTTCAGGAGAAGAAGTCTATTTATTTTCTTCCTTAACTTTATTCCAATTTATTTTCAATGTCGTTTCGCCTTGTCTGCCGCTTTGTTCCTCTCTTCGTGGCCGTGGAGTGCATTCGCAATGCTCGGTATGCAAACCCTAAACCCTAGATGCTAAACCCTAAACCCTAAACGCCAAACCCTAAAACCTAGACTCTGAATATCCCGCAAGGCCTACCTTTTTGTGTAATTTCCAGCTTGAGTAGATTTACAAAAGCGATGTGATACAGACAAACGAAGTTTTGCAATGAATGATATCCGAGCAGCCTGGCCGGCAGCGTGCTCTCAGTCTATCTGCACTAATAACTCTAAAAGCATTACAAAAAGCCTCAAAGGAGAAAACTGAACAAAAGAAAAGGGAAAAAAGAACCTAAGGAAGAAAAAGCCAACTGGGCATTGCGAGGCTCGAACTCGCGACCTTGGGATTATGAGACCCACGCGCTACCGACTGCGCCAAACGCCCCTCTCGGGCATCGAAAGCGCTCATCCAAAACCCTAATTCTAAATCCTAGACCCTCAAAACCTCTCATTCCAAACCCTAATTTTCATCCCCAGAGCCTCTCCAGTGGGCGCTAAATAGCTTTAGTATACATCAAATCGAATATTTGAAATCCTGAGAAAGCACTAATGTGTGGGTTCAACAGGCTCGTGTCGATTTGTGCGGAACATGATTATTCGTCAACTATTATTTCAACAGATCTTTCGAAAGTACAATTCTTCCAACTTAGGTCATTTTCAAACAAGAATATATATGCAATTTTCTCCAGTTATGCTTCTAGTGTAGTTTCCTAAAGCCAAATAAACCAAATTCGTCAAATTGCGGTTGTACACATGCATTTCAGAAACAGAAGCTCTTTTCTTGTTAAAAAGCTTGAATTTTAGAAGAACCAAAAAGAAAATGAATTCCTTCGAGCCAATCCAAGCACTACCGTCCTTCGCGATCTCGAATACTGCCTGTAGCTGCGGGTCTTAGTTGCTGCACAGCAGCTAGCATTTGTCACGTCGATTTGAGATCAACTCTTGCATTCATTCAAATCGTCATGGGTTCACTAAATATTTCTGAGATATAAATGGGTGGGATACAGGGGAAAATGAACAGGGATTGCAAGAAAACGGCGTCAACAGCAAGAACAGGAGAGACGAAAGGTTTAATTCTTAAACTGCAGCATGCAATGTGCCCTAGTGCACAAATGAACCAGAAAATGGACTCGGCGAGCAGCAAGAGCAGCAGCAGCAGCAAGAGCAGCAGCAGCAGCAGCAAGAGCAGGGGCAGCGGCCACTGGACACGTTTCCGAAACTGGAAAAGAATCCCGGGTCATATCAGCGCATGTGTAGGAAAACAAAAATGAGATGAAAGGCACAATCTTCTGTACACGTGTCTACATACACCGACGCAATTTACGTGCATGCACAGAACATGTACATGCAGGCATAAATCAATAATCACGCACATGCACAAGCGCCTTTCTCCTTGAACTCGCAGTCTCAGGAGTGCAGCTTTACTTGAACATGCGATACGTGCAAAAGTCCATTTTCACCAGCTAGTCAATGGCATAGATTTCGGAAAGAAAACTAAACGATTGACATGAACAACACCGAACGTACGTTTCAGCGCCTGTATGCTTAAAACTGGATGTGAAAATATATTCCGGGAAGACTGGAAAACCATTTGGTCTTCAGCAAGATACATTGCCTTCAGGTGGCAGTGAACTTCCCAACGGCACTGGCACTCAGAGATTATCTCAGCCTTTTAATGTCACTGACGATGGCAAGTTACCATAGTGAGCCCAAAACTATTAAAAGATTTAATGGACTGCAGAGGCGTAGAGCCAAATTCACGTTGAAAGCTTCCCCTCTATTTTGCTCGGTGGTTGTCCGGGGTGCATGCAATCTTTCATCTCTCTGGCGCCACTGGCCGTGCATGCGCATGCAACTTACCACTGAGTTCCTATGTACCTGAGGAAGAATTCGAGCTAGGAACAGCAAAGAATACCAAACATGGCAGCCAATAGGCCTGCCAGGCGTGGGTTTCATTAGCCAGGTGGATGCTGCCTGTAAAATACACATATGGCCACTCAATAAGTACAAGTAACTTTATCTAGAGTAATTTCAGTTTGTCAGATGCCTGTCGTGGTTGAATTCCTCTTTGCGCGCGTGCATGTAAGCAAACAATATCTCATACTTCAGCCTTCATGAACTTGCACAGCGAAGCCAGTGGCCGTATACGTCTTTCGCTACAGTTAATACATTTAATAAGTGCCATCAGGCATTGTTTTAGTGCATGGCATTCATTATTGAGAGTCATTTCACACACCACAAGAGTATTTGGCGCCGCAGCGGTGAACGCTGCGTGTGCCGATGAATAAAGTCGCGAACTCCTGAAACCTGAGCCCTAAACCCTTTGATATGCCGTGCATGCCTATAGAGTAAGAGTAACATATATTCCGTTTGATCAGTGGGTCCTCTCAGCCAGTTCAGTATCCGGTTTTGATGGTAGTCACTGAATTATGTGGTACTGCTGACGGTGCCGACAGCCAGTCCGGCGTGTGGAAGTGGAACAAGAATCGACAGGAATTGAATTAATCCAACTATTTTTAATACGCACTGTTTATGTTTTTAAACAAAGCAGAAAAGTAAGAAGCCGGAAGATTCTTTGAGTGAGAAATTGGCCTGTAGAGGTGTCGGTAGTATCGGTAAAACTGGACAGCCATCCAAGCAGGCGAGCACACACGGCGTGTGGCCCACGTACTCAGCATGTGCCAATTCTTTGAAGTTTTCACCTTTTCTAAATTGATTTTAAACAAAGACGTTGTTGTGCGTTTTAGTTTACACGAGATGTTTTGCCTGGGAAGCCCTCCCTCCGGTCACCGCTCACCATCGTGACCTACGCAGGACTCCACTACCACGAATTGCATTTCCTTTTGAACCAGGGCCTTCACAGTGTCTTTCTTTACAGCTCGTTTATATCCTTGATGGTTTCTAAATCGGTTTGTGTTCTTCACCTATTTCTCTGCCGCTAACTTAGACGGCGTGACTCCCTGTGACTCCTGCAATCGCAGGGATCGCCGTATACATCATTGTCGACGTATGCTTCTTTGTGAAGGAAATATAAGATCACAAAGTAATAATACAGTGAAATTTGTCTCCCAAAGGTTGATTAATGTGCCTGAACTGTCGACACAAGCTTCTGATTAATTGTATAGTGGGATCAAGGCGTCGTGGAGGTTACCCCACTACCTCGACGCACACAACCACACGGGTGCCACTAACTCCCACGCATTCCAGCTTTCTCTTTTCTTAGCCCTTCAGTACTTCGTGCTCATTTCGTTTGGTTTTCTGCTACTGTCATTTACTTTATGATGAGCCAATTGTCAGGCAATGACTCCCGTAGCGTTGTTGACGTGTTATGCTGGCCTTCTCGCCAGCGCCGCTGCACCACACTTCTCATCGGCGCTTTCCCTTCGCTCTGGCACAGCGACGTCTCAGCAAAACAGCCTCCACACAAATTCACTCGTACCCAGTGAAGATTCGGCGCAGGCGGCGACGCCGCCCACAGCCGAAGAGAAAACTGATGGTGAATGTGAACTGGTGAATGTGCTACGACGGCTTGAGTTACAGATCTGTGGAGTTCTGTGGGCCTCCATATATAGTGCCTGCACGTGATTTTATTCTTTTCAATACAGTTCAAACGCAAACGCCCCCGTTCTTCACGAATCACATTCAGGTGGCAGTCAGGTAGAAACATGTGCCACGACATAATTGCATTGCCACTACGCAGATGTTAACTTGCCATCTGCAGATTGTCTGACCACCATCAACAAGCTGAGGAGCGAAAATCTCAAGAGCCTGTTGGGAACCCTCACCGAGGCAGTGGAAAGTGAAGTGACTGAAAGCCTGAAAAAGATCGGAAAAACGGAACCACAAAACCCCACTGCCAAGACAATTGCAGTGAAGCTCGCGGGTAACGACATCCAAAGTTGCGAATCGGGCGAGAGCGCAAAAGCGACGACGGTAGGGCTTTTGGGCTTTGAGTATTGTTCAGTAGCAGCTCTCCGCTAAAGTGATGAACCTCTGCAGCACGAAGCTAGAACCCTGTGTTCTTCTATGCATGCGGGGCGCTCCTATAGCAACTATCCTGGTTTGTGCTACAGTATCCCGGACTCGTCATTCCATTCCCGCATTCCACAAATTTCGACTGCAACGCTTTGATCCAGGCGACTTACACAGCCGGACTCGACCACCTCAAACAGTCCGTTGCTTTTTACTACGCTCTCCTTCACGGGTCCCGCAGTGCATAAATTTTTGGGTGCAGACTTGTGTCGGAGTTCTGTGCTGACTTTAGCATGCTCAAGGTGGCTGATTATCCCCCTGTCAAGAACATTTTTCAGGGGTGCACCTCGGTGGTGCTTGTCTCAGTCGCAGTATTTGCCAAAGAACGTTTCTTGATCTCCACTTATTCCGCGTTCAGTCTTGTTGCCTTTCTGCTGCAGATCAAAATTCGAGCCATCGACAGGAACGTATGATGCTGCACAAGCTCCATTTGACAACATAAACGCCGGCAACGTGGCGTTTCTGCTATCGGCGGAAAGCACAAAGGTCTCATGTGCCGCCACGAACAACTGCAAAGCTGGCTACAATGTTTTATTCTGCTACTTCATAGATCCACTTCAAAAGGGACAAAAGCCTTTTACGTGAGCTGGACTAGCCACGTGACTAGCCGGCAGCACAAGCGGCAGAGTCCTCATGCAAATGAGCTACAAGGCAGGATTACGATATGTTGCAGAATGGGAATTGCAGACTGCAATAAGGATGATTACAACTATCGATTAATTTGGTTTGCAGAACTGAGCTTTACAATGCCCTCTGGGGATTGGAAGCAGGCGCAGCGTTCATCTCGGCTCCCAGCGTCGCCACCGTTCTTTTGGTCCTCGCTGTGATGATTCGGCCTTGAGATTGGCAAACAAACGACGGAGCAGCTTCTGGAGATGTTGAAGTTGTACAAATTCCGTTTGAAGACATTCCTGAATTGCTTAGAAGCTGGATTCTGATGTCTAGCAGTGGAAGTACTACGTACTGCAAGTGGCTGGTGAGGAAGAGCTTCGGCAAAAAATGCAGAATACGTTTCTCTCTTCAGTACATCTTAGTACTGCACGCAGTTTTATTTAGAATAATTTTATGCCGTCAGAAGCCTGTCGTGGTTGGAATCCTTTCAGCTCCTAGGCATGCAAGTAAGCAACGGAGGTTCCAGCCCATCATGAACGTTTGCCAGTGGCTCTTTAAGCCTTCTGGTACGGTCAATAGATTCAAAGAGAGCCCTCATGCAATATTTTAGTCCTAGCTATTCATTACTGAGATTCGATGTACGCACCACAAACGCATATGCCGTTCAAGTGTGAAGCGCGTCATGTGTCAATGATGTCGCGAAACCATTAGTCCTTGGCCTTAAATCCTTGCATATGCCGAGCATGCCTTTGACTCAAACCAATAAACTGTCCGACTTTTAAGCGAGTCCTCTCAGGAGGCTTATTTTCCGGCATCGTTGGTAGTTACTGTAGTTTGCTGGGCGGCAGTGTGTGTACTAGGTCTGTCTTGACTCAGCGGAAGAGATCTATTACCTGTGTGGAACATGTCCTACTTAGAGATACCCATTGAAAACAATTCAAAATCGCTTGTCACCAAAGTGGACCTGCTTTCCAGCCTCACAGGCTGGCGCCTCGAGGTCCGGAGAGTAGTTTCCTGCTGGCGAGATTGGTGCGAAGCACGGGATCGGCCTGGCAAGTCGGGGTGCCCCTGCTACATTTCATTCCGGACAGAATCTACGCTAATTCTACAGAGTACCCTGTGCCACACTTCCAGCCTCTGGAGACTCAAGGGAACCCACTGCAGTGCGCGTGCACTCCAGTTACTGGACTATGTGCTAGTGCTGCCAGTGCCAACAGCCACTCTGAAACACAGGAGGGGAAAAAAAATCAGCAGCAGTTAATTTAATCCAATCATTTAGAACAAGCACTGCTTTAGTTTTTGAAGCAAAGAGCCAAGTAAGAAGCCGGAAGAATCCCTGGCTGAAGAAACGGCCACTAGAAGCGTCGGTAAAATCGTTTGGGGTAGAACACCCATTGAAATACGCGAGCGCACACGGAGTACGGCCAGCGTCAACAGCGTCCAATCTTTTAGAGTTTGTAGCTTTCCCAAATTAATTTTAAACCAAAATGTTGCCTTGTGTTTTAGTTTACACAGGAAGTTTTGCCTCGGAAGCCCTTCGAGTAGTCAGGTCACCCCCAGCTCACAGCACGCCATCGCCGGATCCCACTACCACGAATGACATTTTTCTTCCAACCAGCGACTTCACAATGCCTTTCTCTACTGCTCCTCATTATTCTTAGAGGCTTCTGAATAGTTTTGTATTCTTTATCTATTTGCGTCCCGTTAATGTCGACGGTGTGTGCTCGCGGTGCCTTGCCTGCCGGTGACTCCTCCCATCGCAGTAACCAGTGTTTATATCTTTGTGAATAAGCATGGTAACACAAAGTACTCATATACGGTAACCTGTTTTTCAAAGGTTTATAAATGTGCCGGAACAGCCAAAACAAGCTCCTGAGTAATTGTATGGGGGGATAAAGGCCTCCTGAAGCTCCCCCAAGTACCTCAGCGCACACAACCCGCTTAATTGTCACAAACTCCAACGCATTCCCACTCTCCATTTTCCGAGCCTCTTCTTCCTTCGTGCTCATTTTTTCTGGTTTGCTGCTACTGTCACTTTATGGAAAGCCAGTTTTCAGGCAATGACTCCCGTAGGGTTGTTGGCATGTTATGCTGGCTTCCTAGCCAGCGCCGCCGCACCACAATTCTCATCGGCGCTCTCCATTCGCTCTGGCACAGCGACGTCTCAGCAAAACAGCCTCCTCACAAATTTATTTACATCTGACGACGATCCTGCGCCGACGCCTCCTGCAACCGAAGAGAAAACTGACGGTGAACTAATAATGTGACCAAGTGAAATGACCCTACGCTAGCGCCAGCCACAAATCTGTGGAGATCTGTGGGCCTCCAGATATTATGCCAGCACATGAGTTTATTTTTTCAATGTAATTCAAACGCAAAACCCCCGTTCTTCACGAATGACATTCAGGTGGCGCTTGAGCGCACCCCCACTCGTGCCTGGTGGGCGGTCCTGTGGAACACATGCCACGGCATAATTGCATTGCCATTACTACCGTGTGAATCTACCATCTGCAGGTTGCTTGAACATCATAAACAAGCTAAGGCAGGAAAATCTCAAAGACCTGTTGGGAACCCTCACCAAGGCAAATGACACTGACGTAAGAGCAAGCCTCAAGACGATCAATATAGAGGATGCGGAAAACCTTACTGCAGCGAAAATTGCACAAACGCTTGCGGGCAGCGATGTCCAAAAATGTGAATTGGGCGAAAAAGCGAATGCGGGGAAGGTATGGCTCGTACACTTCGAGCATCGTTTAGTAGCAGCTTTCCGCTGACAGTGATGAACCGCCGCAGAGCAAAGCTAGAACCATGTGTTATTCTACGCATGCAAGAGGCTCCTATATCAACTGTCCTGGTTTGTGCTACAGTATCCCGGACTCGTCATTCCATTCCCGCATTCCACGGAGTTCGATTGCGACGCTTTGATCCAGGCGACTTACACAGCCGGACTCGACCACCTCAAACAGTCCGTTGTATTTTATATCATTTTCTTCCACCGGTGCCACGGTGCCTGCACCTTTTAGTTCGTGCATGTGTGGGAGTCCTGTGTTAAACTTTGGCATGCATGTGGTGGCTGATGATCGCGGAGTCAAGAGAATTTTTCACGCGTGCAGCTTGGTGGCGCTTGTCTCAGTATCAGGATTTGCCAGGGAATACCTCTCGTCCCCCAGTTGTTCTGTATCAAATCGTATTGCCTTCATGTTGCAGATCGAACTTCGAGCCATCGACAGGAATATACGATGTCGCAAAAGCTCCATTTGATAACATAAATGCCAGCAACGTGGCGTTTCTGCTGTCGGCGAAAAGCACAAAGGTCTCATGCGGCGCCACCAAAGACTGCAATGCTGGCCATGGCGTTCTGTTCTGTTACTTCATAGATCCACTTCAAAAAGGAGAAAAGCCCTTCACGTAAGCTGAACTAGCCATGTGACTAGCCGGCAACACAAGCGGCAGAACGCAGTTGCAAATGAGCTATAAGACAGTAGCACGATATATTTCAGAATGGGACTCGCAAGGCACGATAAAGGTAATTTTGATTGCTAATTATTTTTGCTTGCAGAACTGAGCTTTACAATGCCCTCTGGGGATTGGAAGCAGGCGCAGCGTCCATCTCACTTCCCAGCGTCGCCACCGTTCTTTTGGTCCTCGCTTCGATGATTCAGGCTTGAGATTAAGAAGCAAATAATACAGCAGCTTCTGGATATATTGAAGCTGTACAAGTTCCGTTTGAAGACATTCCTGAACTGTTTAGAAGCTGGTTTTTGTATGTGCGACTGCTGGAGGTGCCGACGGCGAGTCTGGAGCACACAGCTGTGTTGGAATGGAACAACGTTCGGCAGAAATTAATTTAATCCAGCCATTTATAATCGACCATGTTTCGGATTTTTAGGAACACGGAAGTAGAAAGCCCGGTTAATCTTTAATCGAGAAATCGGCCAGTAGGAGCATCGGTAAAGTCGGCAGAAGTGGAACGACCATCGAAGAACGCAAGCGCACATGGAGTATGGCCAGCGTACACCGCGTCTGCCAATTTTTTAGAGTTTTCACCTTTCCTAAATTTAATTTAAGCAGAAGCTGATGTTGGTTTTAGTTTTGCATTAGAATTTCGCCATGGAAGCCCTTCGAGTAACCAGGTCACTCTCCTCCCACCATACGCCAAAGTGACTTTCGCGGGATCTAGCTATCACAAATAGCACTTTCTTTCCAACCAGTGACCTCGAAATGCCTTTATTTACAGCTTCTTTATATCCTCAAGGGTTTCTAATTAGGTTTGCGTTCCTTACCTATTTCTGTCCCCTTAACTTTGGTGACGTGTGCACGTGGCTTGACGGTCGCTTACTCCTCCAATCGCAGCGACCGCCGTATATATCTTTGTGGAAGAAATACACCATCACAATGTCTCATAAATGCCCCTGAATACTCGGAACAAGCTTCTGAGCAACTGTTTGGAGGGATAAACTTATCGTACAGATCCCCTCACCGCATGAGCGCACACAACCCATATCGTTGCCATGAGCTCCCTCACACCCCCGGCCTTTGTTTCCTAGCCCATTCGTTCTTCGTGCTCAACTTGTTTGGATTTCTGGCACTATCACTTACTTTATGATAAGCCGATTTTCAGGCAATGACTCACATAGGGTTGTTGGGATGTTGTGCTGGCCTTCTAGCCAGCGCCGCCGCACCACATATCTCGTTGGCGCTTTCCCTTCGATCTGGCATAGCGACATCCCAGCAAAACAGCCTCCACGCAAATTTATTTGCATCCGGCCAAGATTTGCTGCGGACGACGGCGACTCCTACAGCCGCTGAGAAAACTGATGGTGAACTACTAATGTGAACAAATGAACAGCGCTCCTATAGCCCGAGCCATAGATCACTAGAGATCTGTGGGCCTCCAGAGATTCTGCCCACACATGACTATATTCTTTTCAATGCAATTAACGCTAAAGTGCCCCCATCTTTGATGAATGATATTCATGTGGCGCTTCAGTGCGGATCTATCCGTGGCTAGCGGGCGGTCCTGTGGAGCGCATGCCACGACATAATTGCATTGGCATTACTTTTGTGTTAGCTTGCCATCTGCAGATTGCCTGGAGATCATAAACAAGCTACGGAAGGAAAATCTAAAGGACCTGTTGGAAACACTCACCAAGGCAGAGGGAAGCGACGTGATTGCAAGCCTGAAGAAGCTCCAAATAGAGAACCCAGATCAACTTAGTGCAGCGAAAATTGCAGAAAAACTCGCGGGCAGTGACAACCAAAACTGTGAATCGGGCAAGAGCGCGAATGCGAAGACAGTAGGGCTTTTGGGCTTTGAGTATCGTTCAGCAGCACCTCTCCACCACAGTCATAAAATGCCACAGGAAAAGTCAAAATTTCTCTTTCTTTCTATATCCGAGTTACTGCTTCTAGAGCAGATGTGGTGGTATCGTTTTGCAGTATCCCGGACTCGTAATTCCATTCCCGCATGACGAGAATTTTAACTGCAACGCTTTGATCCAGGCGACTTACACAGCTGGACTCGACCACCTCAAACAGTCCGTTGCTTTGTATTTCATTTCCTTTCACCGGTGCCACAGCATCTACACCCTTTTATTTGTGCGAGTTTCGGAGTTCTGTGTTAACTTTAGCATGAGCAAGGTGGCTGATCATCCCGTAGTCAAGAGTTCTTCTAGATATGCAGTTTGGTGCTGTTCGTCCCAGTCTTAGTATTTGCCAGAAAAACCTTCTTGACCTTCAGCTATTCTATGATGAATCTTATCGCCTTAATGTTGCAGGTCGAACTTCGAGCCATCAACAGGAACATATGATGTTGACAGAGCTCCATTTAATAACTTAGACGCCAGCAATGTGGCGTTTCTGCTGTCAGCGAAAGGCACAAAGGTGTCATGTGCCGCCACCGAAGACTGCGAAGAAGGCCACGACATTTTATTCTGCTACTTCATAGAGCCACTTCGAAATGGAGAAAAGCCCTTCACGTACGTTGAACTAAGCACGTAACTAGACGGCAGGACAAGCGGCAGCACACTCGCAAATGAGCTACAGGACAAGAGCACGATATATTTCAGAATGGGAGTTGCAAGGCACGATAAGGGAAACTGCAAATGTGCATTAATTTGGCTTGCAGAACTGAGCTTTACAATGCCCTCTGGGGATTAGAAGCAGGCGCAGCGTCCATCTCAGTTCCCAGCGTCGCCACCGTCCTTTTGGTCCTCGCCCTGAGCATTCGGACTTGAGCTTAGCAAGTAAACGACAGAGCAGCTTCTGGAAATATCAGGGCTGTACAAATTCCGTTTGAAGACACGTCCTGAAGCGTTTAGAAGCTGGTTCCTGATCGCCAGTGCTACGTACTGCAAGTGACTGGTGAGCATGAGCTCCTGCAAAAGTGCGTTTCTCTGTTCAGTGCATCTCAGTACTACGCGTAGCTTTTTCTAGATTAACTTTAATTCGTCAGATGCATGTTGTGCTTCGATTCCTCTCAGCAGATATACGTGCAAGCAAACGACACCACAGGTTTCAGTCCTTCATAAACGTTCTCAGCGAAGCCAGTGGCCGTTCATGCCCTTTGCTACTGTTAATACATTCAAGGAGTCCCCTTATTCATTGTTTTATTGCTAGGTATTCATTGCTGACATTCGAATTACGCACCACAAAAGCATTTGCCTTCGCGGTGGCTTGTGTCACTGAAATCGCTGAACCCTGAAGACTAAGCCCTTTATCGCTGAACCCTAAAGACTAAGCCCTTTGATAAGCCGACCATGCCTTTGACTCAAGGGAATAAATTGTCGTTTTGACAAACAAATCTTCTCAGGCAGTTGAGCATCCGGTCTCGTTGATAGTTGCTGAACTTTGTCCTGCTGCTGCTGGTGCCGACAGCCATTCTGGAGCTGAGCACACTCGCGTGCCACAAGAATCGGTAGATATTAATATAATTCAAGCATTTATTCTAGGCACTGTTTCTGTTTTTAAAAAGAGCTGTCAAGTAAGCAGCCGATAGATGGTTGGATTGAGAAATCGGCCAATAGAAGCATGGGCAAGATCGGTTGGCCGTTTCTCAGTCAAAGAATCTGCCGCCTCATCGACGTACGCGAGCGCACATGGCATGTGGCCAGCGCACACAGAGTGTGCCACCTTTTTGGAACTGGTAGCTTTCCTATATTGATTTAAAACAAAATATTGCAGTAAATTTTAGTTTACATAAAAAATTTGCCCTAGAAACCCTTCGGGTTACCAGGTCACCATCCGCTCACCGCCTGCTATCGTGGCCTTCGCCGGTCCCCGCTAAAACGAATGGAACTTTCTTCCAAACTAATGACTTTACAGTCTCTTTCTCTACAGTTCCTTTATATCTCTGATGGCTTCTACATATGTTTATGTTCCTCACCTATTTCTATCCCCTAAATCTGGACGGCTTCTGCACGGCGTGCCTTGATCGCCACTGTCGCTTATCGCAGCAGCCGGCGTACAAATCTCTGTCAAAGATTTAATCTCATAATGTAATTAGAGACTGTGCCGTATCTCCTAAAGGTAGATAAGTGTCCCTGAAAAGCCAAAACAAGCTCCTGCGTAATTGAATGGTGGGATCAGATCTCCCCCCACTACCTCAACGCACACAACCCACATCGCTGTCCGGGTCTCTGCCTTCCCAGCCCATTCGTCCTTCCTTACTTTTTTGGATTTCTGCTACTGCCACTTACTTTATGATAAGCCAATTATCAGGCAATGACTCACATCAGGTTGTTGGCATGCTATGCTGGCCTTCTCGCTAGCGCCGCCGCGCCATACTTCTCATCGGCGCTTTCCCTTCGTTCTAGCCCAGCGACATCTCAGCAAAACGGCCTCAGCACAAATTTATCTGTAACTGGTCAAGAATTGCAGCGGACAACAGCGCCCACAGGCGCTGAGAAAACTGAAGGTGAACTACTAGTGTGAACAAGTGATTGGCGCTACGCTAGCCCCAGTCACAGATCTGCGGAGATCTGTGGGCCTGCAGATATCATGCCAACAGATGACTTTATTCTTTTCAATGCAGTTCAAGTGCAGGTGCCTCTGTTTGAGACGATTCAGGTGGCTCTTCAGTGCAGCTCCACCGGTGGCAAGTGCGCGGTCCTGTGGGGCACATGCCACAACATAATTGCACTGCCATCACGCGGGTGTTAGCTTGCCATCTGCAGACGGCCTGGACATCATAAACAAGCTACGGAGAGAAAATCTCAAGGACCTATTGGGAACGCTCACCAAGGCACAGGAAAGTGAGGTGACTGCAAGCCTGAAGGAAATGGGAAAAACGGACCCAGCGAACCTTACTGCAGCAAAAATTGCACAAACTCTTGCAGGCAGTAGTGAAACATGTGAATTGGGGGAAAACGCCGATGCGAAGACGGTAGGGCTTTTAGGCTTTGAGTACCATTCAGCAGCAGCTTCCCGCTAAAGTGATAGACCTCCACAGCGCGAAGCTAACACCCTGTGTTCTTCTACGCATGCGATCTACGCATGCGAGAGGCTTCTATCGCAGTTGTAATGCTGTTGTGCTACAGTATCCAGGACTCGCAATTCCATTCGCGCATTCCACGAATTTCGAGTGCAGCGCTTTGATCCAGGGGACCTACACAGCCGGACTCAGCCAACTCAAACAGTCCGTTGTTTTTGCTTTCGCCGATGCCACAGTGCCTGCACATTTTGGTTTGTGCATATGTTGGAGTTCTGTGTTCACATGGTGGCTTGTCATCCCTCAGTTCAAGAGCTTTTCCAGTTATGCAAATTGGTGTTGCTTGTGTCAGTCTCAGTATATGCCAAAGAAAACTTCTTGCTCTTCAGTTGTTCCTTTTTGAATCTTATTGATTCCATGCTGCAGATCGAACTTCGATCCATCGACAGGAACATATGATGTTGAGAGTGCTCCATTTAATAATGTAGACGCCAGCAATGTGGCGTTTCTGCTGTCGGCGAAAAGCACAAAGGTCTCATGTGCCGCCACCGAAGACTGCACTGGTGGCCATGACGTTTTATTCTGCTACTTCATAGATCCACTTCGAAAAGGAGATAAGCCTTTCACGTAAGCTGAATTAGCCACATGACTAGCCAGCGGTAGAAGCGGCAAAACGCAATTGCAAATGAGCTACAAACGAAGTGCACGATATATTCCAATTTGGAAATTGCAAGGTGCGACTGAAGCAATTGCAAATGTTCATTAATTTGGCCTGCAGAACTGAGCTTTACAATGCCCTCTGGGGATTGGAAGCAGGCGCAGCGTCCATCTCAGTTCCCAGCGTCGCCACTGTTCTTTCGGTTCTCGCTCTAGTCACTCGGACTTGAGCTTCGGGATATGTCGAAGTTGAACAACGTTCAGAGCGACGGTAGTGGCTTCTTTGGTCCTTCATTACAGTTAATACATTCAAAGACTTCCCACACGCATTGTTTTAGTGCCAGATATTCATTACTGAGATTCGTTATACGCATCACAAAAGCAGGTGGCGTCGTGGGAAGCCGCGGCATGTCTGAATGAACGAACCCCAAAGGTTAAATCCTAGTGCTTTTGATATGCCGAGCATGCCTTTTGACCCAAAGTAATAAATTGTCGGTTTGCTAACTGATTCCTCTCAGTCAGCTCAGCGTCCTTTGTCGTTGGCACTTCTTGAAGTGTGTGGTACTCCTGCCGGTGCCGACAGCCTGGAGGGCACAAGTGTGCCGAGGGGAAACAAGAATCGGCAGATATTAATATAATCCAACCATTTTTAATAATCATTGTTTTGTTTTTGGATAGAGCAATCAAGTAAAACGCCGAAAGATTCTTTGACTGAGAAATCAGCCAGCGTAAGCACCACTAAAATCCGTTGCAGTAGAACAGGCGTCGAAGTACGCCAGCACACGCATTGTGTGGGTAGCGTACACAGCATGGGCCAAATTTTCGGTATTTGTAGCATTCATAAATTAATTAAAAACAAAAATTTTGGCGTAGTTTGCAGCGTACATTGGAGGTTTTTCCTTGGAAGCCCTTCGAGTAACGAGGTCACCCTCCGCTCATCGCCGGACCCCGCTACGATGAATTGCATTTTCTTTCGAACCAATGGCTTCACAATGACTTTCTCTACTGTTCCTTTATATCTTCAGAGGTTTCTAAATAACTTCATGTTCTTTACCTATCTCTGTCCCTTTAATCTTGGCGGCGTGTGCAAGGCGTGCCTTGAAAGCCGTCGACTCTCCTACCGCACCAACAAGCGTATATATCTTTGTGAAAGAAATATAATATCACAAAGTACTCAGATACCCTGGAAACCCCTAAAGACTGACAGATGTGTCGGAACAATGTAAACAGGCTCCTGAGTAGTTGTAAGGGGCGATCCAGGCGTCGTAGAGCTCCCGCAAGTACCTCAGCGCACACAACCCACATCGTTGCCACAAACTACCACACATTCCAGCTCTCTGCCTTCCTAGCCCATTCTTCCTTCGTGCTCACTTTGTTTGAATTTCGGGTACTGTCATTTACTTCATGATAAGCCAACTATCAGGCAATGACTCATGTAGGGTTGTTGGCATGTTATGCTGGCCTTCTCGCCAGCGCTGCCGCACCACTTCTTATCGGCGCTTTCCCTCCGCTCTAGCACAGCGACTTCTGTGAAAAACAGCCTCCGCACAAATTTACTTGCCTCTGGGCAAGATTCGCCGGTTACGGCGCCCGCAGGCGAGAACAAAACTGAAGGTGAACTACTTTTGAAAAGAAGCGAATCGTGCTACGTTAGCCACATCCACAGATATCTGTAGAGATCTCTGGGCCTCCAGATGTTATACCTGCACATGAATTTATTCCTCTCAATGCAAATTCAAGAGCAAATGCCCCCGATTTTGACTAATGACATTCAGTGGTGGCGCTTCAGTGCAGCTCCACCCGTGGCTAGTGGGAGGCACTGTGGAAACACACGCCACGCCATAATTGCATTTCCATCTCTCCCGCGTGAACCTGCCACCTGCAGATTGCCTGGCCACCATAAACAGGCTAAGGAGCGAAAATCTAAAGGGCCTGTTGGGAACCCTCAACAAGGCGGAAGACAAAGAGGTGACTGCAAGCCTGAAAACGATCCAGATACAGGAGGATACAGACGCTACTGCCGTGACAATTGCAGTAAAGCTTGCAGGTGAAGATGTACACACATGTGCCTCGGGAAAAGACGCGAATGCGAAGAAGGTGTGGCTTTTTGGCTTTGAGTATCGTTCATCCGCTAAAGTGATGAGCCGTCGCTAAGCAAAGCTAGAACCCTGTGTTGTTCTGCGCGTGCAAGAGGCTTCTATTGCAATTAGAATGCTGTTATGCTACAGTATCCCGGACTCGTAATTCCATTCGCGCACGGCGACAATTTTGAATGCAACGCTTTGATCCAGGCGACTTACGCGGCCGGACTCGACCACCTCAAACAGTTCGTTTTCTTTTACTTCATTTTTTTCACCCGTGCCGCAGTACCTACACCTTTTAGTTCGTAGGTGTTCCGGATCTCTGTGCTGACTTCAGCATGCACAAGGTAGCTGATCATCCCCTAGTCAAGATTTCTTCTGCATGTGCAGCTTGGTGGTGCATGTCTCAGTCGCAGTATTTGCCAAAGAAAACGTCTTGACTCTCAACTATTATCTTCTGAATCTTATCGCCCTTATGCTGCAGATCGAGCTTTGATTCTTCAACAGGAATATATGATACTACGAAAGATCCATTTGATAAAGTAGAGGCGAGCAATGTGGCGTTTCTACTATCAGCGAAAAGCACGAAGGTTTCATGTGCCGCCACCAAAGACTGCAATGCTGGCCACAACGTTTTATTCTGCTACTTCATAAGTCCACTTCAAAAAGGACAAAAGCCTTTCACGTAAGGCCGAAATAGCCACGTGACTAGCCAGCGACACAAGCGGCAGAGCATATTTGCATAAGAGCTATAAGACAAGGGCACAATATGTTGCAGAATGGGAATTGCAGGGTACGATAAGGAAAATTACAACTATTGATTAATTTGATTTGCAGAACCGAACTTTACAATGCCCTCTGGGGATTGGAAGCAGGTGCAGCATCCGTCTCGGTTCCCAGCGCCGCCACCGTTCTTTTGGTCCTGGCGTTGATCGTTAGGACTTGAGCTTAGCAAGCAAACGACAGGGAAGATTATGGAAATACCGAAACTGTACTGTACTGTGTTTGAAGACATTCCTGAATCATTCGGAAGTTGGTTTCTGACCTTTGGTGCTACGTACAGCAAGTGGCTGATGGCGAAGAGCTTCGGCCAAAATGCGGAATTCATTACTCTCCCCCCTACATCTTTGTACTACACGTAACTTTACCTAGATTTATTTTAACCCGTCAAATGCCTGCTGTGGTTGGATTCGCCCCAGCTCCTATTCATGCAACCACACAGCAGCGCAGGCTTCAGTCGCTCATGAACGTTCGCAGCCAAGCCAGCGGTCCTTAACCCCTTCCGCTAAGTTAATACATTCAAATAGATCCCGCATTCATTCTTTTAGCGCTACCCATTCAATACTGACACGCGCCACGAAAGCATTTGGCGTCGCAGTGGGAAACGCGGCATATGTGAATGATGTCGCGAAACCCTAAACACTGGGTCCTAAACTCTGTGATACGCCGACCATGCCTTTGACTCAAAGGAATGAAGGCAGCAAAATATCCGGCTTTGGTGGTAGTTACTGAACTATGTGCTACTGCTGCCGGTGCCGACAACCTGTCTGGAGAACACACGTGTGTCAAAGTGGAACAAGAATCGGCAGCAATTAATGTAACCCAAGCATTTATGATAGATACTTTTTCCGTTTTTGAAGAGAGTAGTCAAGTAAGGATTCGACAGATTCTTTGACTGATAAATCGGCCAGTAGAAGCGTCGGTAGCATCGGTGAAAGCGAACAGCCGTCGATGTCCGCGAGCGCACACAGCATGTGGCCAGCGTACACAGCGTGCCACTTTTCTGGAGTTTCTAGCTTCCCTAAATTAATTTCGATCAAAGGCATTGACTTGAGCTCGAGTTTACACTTTGCCTTGGAAGCGCTTCGAATAACCAGGTCACCCTCCGTGCACACCACGTCATCGTGACCTCCGCCGGACCCTGCTACCATATATAGGATTTCCTTTCGAACCAATGGCTTCACTGCGTTAACAGCTCCTTCATATCCTTGTGGATTTCTAAATAGGTTTATTTTCTCCACCTATTTCTGTCTCATTAATTTGGATGACGTGTACATTTCGTGCCTTGACTGCCGGTGACTCTCTTCCAATCGCAGCAGCCGGCGTAGGCCTCTTTGTTTGCGTACGTTTCTCCGTGAGAGAAAAATGACATCAAAGCCTAATCATATACTGTACCTTATCTCCCAAAGGCTGATAAATGTGCCGGAAAAGTCGAAACAAGCTCCTGAGTAATTGCACGGTGGGATCGAGGCGTCGTAGAGCTGCATGAGCTCAGCGCACACGACCCACATCGTTGCCACAAACTACCACGCATTCCCGCTCTTTGTTTTCTTAGCCCTTCCGTCCCTCTAGCGCATTTTGTTTGGATATCTGGTACTGCCATTTACCTTAAGATCGAGCCAATTGTCAGACAATGACTCACGGAGGCTTGTTGGCATGTTACGCTGGCCCTCACCAGCGCCGCCGCACCACGATTCTCATTGGCGCATTCCCTTCGCTCTGGCACAGCGACATCTCAGAGCTACAGCCTCAGCACAAATCTATTTGCGTCCGGCCAGGGTTTGCTGCTCACAAAGGCGGCGCCCACGGCCACTGAGAAAACTACAGGTGAACTACTTGTGTGGAGAAGTGAATGCGCTACGCTTGGTCCCAGCCACAGTTCTCTAAAGATCTGTTGGCCTTCAGAGAATGTGCCTGCCCATAATTTTATTCTTTTCAATGCAAATCCAGCAAATGCCCACGTTCTTGACGGACAACATTCAGGTGGCGCCTCAGTGCAGCCTCACCCGCGGCTAGTGAACGGTCCCGTCGAACGCATGCCAGGACATAATTGCATTTCCATTACACCCGAGGTAACGTGTCATCTGCAGAATGCCTGGATATCATAAACGAGCTAAGGAAGGAAAATCTGAAGGACCTGTTGGGAAGCCTCAGCGCGGCAAAGGAAAATGAGGTGATCGCAAGCCTGAAGAAGATCGGAACACAGGACCCAGAAGAACCAACTACCGTGAATATTGCAAAAAAGCTTGCAGGTGAAGATAACACATGTGGATCGGGAAAAGATGCGAATGCGAAGACGATAGGGCTATTGGGCTTTGGGTATCGTTCAGCAGCAGCTTTCCCCTAAAGGGATGAACCGCCGCAGGGCAAAGCTGAAACCCTGTGTTCTTCTACGTATGCAAGAGGATTTTACGGCAACTGTTGTGCTGTTGCGCTGCAGTATCCCGGGCTCGTCATTCCATTCACGCATGACACGGAGTTCGACTGCAAGGCCTTAATCCAGGCGACCTACACAGACGGACTCGATCACCTCAAACAGTCCGCTGTTTTGTTCTTTGACCACTGGAACAGTGCCTACACCCTTTAGACCGCACGTGTGTCGGAGTTCTATGTTTACTTTGGCATGCACAAGGTGGCTGGTCCTCCCCTAGTTAAGGGTTCTTCTAAATCTGCAGCTTCGTGGTGCTCGTCTCAGTCTCATTATTCGCCGGAGAAAATTCTTGGCCTTCAGCTATTCTTTCCTAAATTGTATGGCCACCATGCCGCATATCGAACTTCGAACCCACACCAGGAACGTACAGTGTTGAAAAGCCTCCATTTAGTAACATAAACGCCAGCAATGTGGCGTTTCTGCTGTCGACGAAAAGCACGAAGGTCTCATGTGCCGCCACCGAAGGCTGCGAAGAAGGCAACGACGTTTTATTCTGCTACTTCGTAGAGCCACTTCAAAATGGAGAAAAGCCCTTCACGTACGCTGAACTAACCACGTAACTAGGCGGCAGGACAAGCGGCGGCACATCCGCAAATGAGCTACAGGACAAGAGCACGATATGTTTCAGAATGGCAAGGCACGATAAAGGAAACTGCAAATGTGCATTAATTTGGCTTGCAGAACTGAGCTTTACAATGCCCTCTGGGGATTGGAGGCAGGCGCAGCGTCCATCTCAGTTCCCAGCGTCGCCACTATCCTTTTGGTCCTCGCTCTGAGCATTCGGACTTGAGCTTAGTAAGCAAACTAACGAGCAGCTTCTGGAGGTGCCAAAGTTGTACAATCTGCGTTTGAAGACATTCCTGAACCGTTCGGAAGTTGGTTTTTGATCTCTCGTGATATGTACTGGAAATGGCTGGTGAGGAAGAGCTTTGGCAAAAATGCAGAATACGTTTCTCTCCCCATTACATCTTTGTACTACACGCAACCTTATCTAGGGCAATTTCAATTCGTCAGATGCCTGTTGTGGTTGGATTCCTCTCAGCCCAGATGCGTGCAGACAGCGTCAGTCCCTCGTGAACGTTCAGAACGAAGCCAGCGGCTGTTTAAGGCTTTTGCTACATTTAATACATTTGAAGAGCTCCAGCACTCATTGTTTTAGTACCAGATATTCACTACTGAGATTCGATGTACGCACCAAGAAGCATTTGGCGTCGCAGTGTGAAACGCGGCATGTGTGAATGGAGTCGCTACACCCTGAACGATGAATCCTGAACCCTTTGATATCCCAAGCATGCCTTTGACTCAAAGGAATAGTTTTTCGGTTTGATACGTGAGTCCGATGAGGCAGCTTAGCAGCCGGCGTTGATGGTAGTTAACTGAACTATATGCTACTGCCGGCAGCCAGCCTGGAACACAGGGAGTGGAACAAGAATCGGTACTCATTGGTTTCATCCAACCATTTTTAATAAGCGATGTTTTTGTTTTCAAAGAGAGAAGTGAAGTAAAGAGTCGAGAGATTATTTGACTGAGAAATAGGCCAGGAGCAGCGTCAGCAATATCGGTGATACTGAACAGCAATCGAAGTATCCAAGCGCCCGCCCCGCTTTGCTCGCGTACACAGCGTGCGCCAGTCTTTTGGAATTTTCATTCTTTCCAAATTTATTTTAAACAAAGATATTGTTGTGTGTTTTAGTTTACATGAGAACTTTTCCCTTGGAAGCGCTTCGAATAACCAGGTCACCCTGCGCTTACCGCCCGCTATCCTGAGTTGCGCAGGACTCCGCTACCATGAATTGCATTTCTTTTGGGCCAATGGTTTCACAGTGTCTTTCTTGGTCGCTCATATCCTTAATCGTGTCCAGATATGTTTGTGTTCTTCACCTCTTTCCATCCCCTTTATGTACACGACTCCTGCCTTGACCGCCGGTGACTCCTCGAATCGGAGCAACCGGCGTATACATCTTTATCGGCGTATATTTCTTTGTGAAAGAAATATAATGTCAAAAAGTAATCATATAATCTAGTGTATCTCCCAAAGGTTGATAGATGTGCTGGAACAGTCGAAACGAGCTTCTGTTGCATGGTGGGATCAAGGCGTCGAAGAGATTCCCCCAATACCTCAGCGCACACAACCCACGCCGTTGCTACTAACTCCTACGCATTCGCGCTCGCCCTTTTCTCAGCCCTTCTGCCTTTAATGCTCATTTTGTTTGGTTTTCTGCTACTGTCAATTGCTTCGTGATAAGCCAGTCGTCAGGCAATGACTTACGTAGGGCTGTTGGCATGTTATGCTGGCCTTCTCGCGAGCGCCGCCGCACCACACTTCTCATCGGCGATTTCCCTTCGCGCTGGCACAGCGACATCTCAGAAAAGCAGTCTCCGCACAAATTTATTTGCATCCGGTCAAGATTTGCTGCGGACGACGACGGCGCCCACAGCCAATGAGAAAACTCAAGGTGAATTTCCACCGGAAAAAATTAATGGCACTCGGACAGCCCCAGAAACAGGCTTGTAGCGATTTGTGGGCCTGCAGAGATTATGCCTTTACATGGTTTTATTTTTTTCAATGCAGTTCACGTTCTAATACCCCCTTTTTGACGAATAACATTCAGGGGGCGCTTCAGTGCAGCCCAACCCGTGGCTAGTGGGCTGAACTGCTGGACGCATGCCAAGACATAATTGCATTGGCATTACGTCTGTGTTAGCGTGCCATCTGCAGACTGCCTGGAGATCATAAACACGCTACGGAAGGAAAATCTACAGGACCTCTTGGGAACCCTCACCAAGGCAGAGGAAAGTGACGTGACTGCAAGCCTGAAGAAGATCAAAATCGAGGGCTCAGATGAACTTAGTACCGCGAAAATTGCAGCAAAGCTTGCGGGCAGCGATGCCCAAAACTGTGAATCGGGCGAGAGCGCGAATGCGAAGACGGTAGGCTTTGAGTCCTTGAGTATCACTCAGCAGCAGCTCTCCGCCAAAGTGATAGAACGCCATGGGATTAGTCAAAAGCTCTGTTCCTTTCTGTCTATCCGAGTTAATATTTCTAGAGCAGCTGTGCTGGTGTTGTTCTGCAGTATCCCGGACTCGTAATTCCATTCCCGCATACCACAGATTTCGACTGCAACACTTTGATCCAGGCAACTTACACAGCCGGACTCGATCACCTCAAACAGTCCGTTGCTCTTTAGTTCATTTCCTTTCACCGGTGCCACGGTGCCTACACCTTTTAGCTTTTACGTGGTCGGGATTTGGTGTTTCCTTTAGCATGCACAAGTTTCCTGATAATCCCGTCAGTCCAAGAGTTTTCCCACGTGTGCAGCTCGGTGGTGCTTGTCTTAGTCTCCGTATTTGCAAAAAAAAAAAAACTTCTTGACCTTTAGCTATTCTGTGTTGAATCTTAGCTCCTCAATGCTGCAGATCGAACTTCGAGCCATCGACAGGAACATATGATGTTGACAAAACTCCATTTAATAACGTAGACGCCAGCAATGTGGCGTTTCTCCTGTCGGCGAAAAGCACAAAGGTCTCATGTGCCGCCACAGAAGACTGCGCTGGTGGCCACGACGTTTTATTCTGCTACTTCATCGATCCACTTCAAAGTGGAGATCAAGCTTTCACGTACGCTGCATGAGGCACGTGACTAGACGGTAGTACAAGCGGCAGAGCACACTTGCATATGAGCTACAAGACACGAGCACGACATGTTGCAGAACGGGAATTGCAAGGTGCGATGAAATTGGTTACAATCATTGATTAATTGTGCCTGCAGAACTGAGCTCTACAATGCCCTCTGGGGATTGGAAGCAGGCGCAGCGTCCATCTCCGTTCCCAGCGTCGCCACCATTCTTTTGGTCCTCGCTCTGGGGATTTGGAATTGAGCTTGACAAAAGAGCAGCTTGTCGAGATGCCAGGACTATACGAATTCCGTTTGAAGACATTCTTGAATCGTTTAGAAGCAGGATTCTGATCTCTAGTGCTACGTACTAAAAGTGACTGGGGAGGAACAGCGTCGGCAAAATTGTGGAATAAGTTTCCCTCCCCACAACATCTTAGTACTACACATAACCTTTTCTACAGCAATGTTAGTTTGTCAGATGCCTGTTGTGGTTGAATTCTTATCAGCACATATGCGTGCAAGCAAGCAACACCGCAGGTCTCAGTCCTTCATGAACGGTCACAGCGAATCCAGTCACTGCTTATGCCTTTTGCTACGGTCAATACATTCAAAAAGAGAGCCTATGTGTTGTTCTAGTGCTAGGCATTCATTCCTGAGATTCAATGTACACACTCTACAAGCATTTGTCGTCCCAGTGGGAAGCACGGCATGTGTGAATGAACTCGCTAAATCCTAAACCCTAAACCCTGAACCTTTTGATATGCCAACCATGCCATTGACTCGAAGTAATAAATTTTCGATTTGACAAGCGAGTCCTCTCAGGTCGCTGAGCATCCGGCATCTTTGGTAATTGCTCAATTATGAGCTTCGGCTGGCGGTGCTGGCAGCCAGTCTGGAGCCCACAAATGTGTCGAAGTGGAACATGAATTGGTAGAAATTAACTTAATCCAAGCATTTATAATAAACACTGTTTTTGTTTTTAAAAAGGGCAGTGGAATAAGAAGCCGATAGATTCCTTGGCGGAGAAATTGGCCAGTAGAAGCGCCGGTAGTATCGGTAAAACTGAACAGCAATCGAAGTACGCGAGCGCAAACGGCGTATGGCCCGCGTACACGGCGTGTGCCTATTTTTTGGAGTTTGTGCCCTTTATAAATTTATTTTAAACAAGTATATTGCCGTGGGTTTTAGTTTACATGCGATCTTTTGCCTTGGAAGCCTGTCGAGTAACTTGGTCACCCTGGGTTCACCGCTCGCCATCGTGACCTGCGCCGGATTCCGCAACCACGAATTGCATTTTCTCTTGAACCAATGGCTTCACACTGTCCTTTTTTACGGCTCATTCATATCCTTAATGGTTTCTAAATAGGTCTATGTTCCTTTCCTATTCCCGTCCGCGCAATTCGGACGGCGTGTCCATGGAGCCGGTGACTCCTCCAATCGCAGCAGGACATCTTTGTCCGGCGTGTTTCTTTGTGAAGGAAACATAATAGCACAAAGTAAGCATATACTGTAAAATATCTCCCAATGGTTGATAAATCTGCCTGAACAGTCGAAACGAGCTTCTGATTGATTGTTTGGTGGGGAAGGCGTCGTAGACATTCACCCACTAGCTCAGAGCACACAACCCATACCGTTGCCAGGGACTCCCACGCGCACCCGATCTCTATTTTCTCACTCCTTCCGTCCTTCGTGCACATTTATTTCGGATATATGCTACTGTCATTTGCTTTGTGGCAAGCCAGTTGTCGGGCAATGACTCACATAGGGTTGTTGGCATGTTTTGGTGGCCTTCTCGCCAGTGCCACCGCACCGCACATCACATTGGCGCTTTCCCTTCGCTCTGGCACAGCGGCATCTCAGCAAAGCAGCCTCCGCACAAATCTATTTGCGTCCGGCCAAGATCTGCAGGGGACGACGACGGCGCCCACAGGTGCTGACAAAACTGAAGGTGAACTACTCGTATGAACAAGTGAATGGCGCTACGCTAGCCCCAGCCATGGATCTGTGGAGATCTGTGGGCCTGTAGATATCATGCCTGCACACGAGTCTATTCTTTTAAATGTAATTCAAGCGCAAATGACCCCGTTTTTTGACGAATGACACTCATGTGGCGCCTCAGTGCAGCCGCTTCCGTGGCTAATGGGCAGTCCTGTGGAAACACATGCCACGACATGATTGCATTGCCACTTCAGCCGTGTTAACGTACCATCTGCAGAATGCCTGGACATCATAAACAAATTAAGGGACGAAAATCTCAAGGATCTTTTGGGAACCCTCACCAAGGCAAAGGAAAATGACGTGACTGCAAGCCTGAAGGAGATCGGAATCGAGGACCCAGCAGAACCTACTACGGCGAAGATTGCAGAGAAGCTCGCGGGTAATGATGTCCAAAGCTGTGAATCGGGGAAGAGCGCGAATGCGAAGACGGTAGGGCTCCTAGACTTTGAGTGTCATTCAGCAGCAGATTTCCGCCAAAGTGATGAACCACCGCAGTATACGTCCACGTTAGTGCTTTTAGAGCAGCTGTCCCGGTGTTGTGCTTCAGTATCCCGGACTCGTAATTCCATTCGCGCACGACAGGGATTTCGACTGCAAGGCTTTAATCCAGGCGACTTACACAGCCGGACTTGACCACCTAAAACAGTCCGTTGAGCTTTACTTCATTGTCTTTGGCCTGTGCCACAGAGCCTGCACCGTTTGGTTTGTGCGTGTGCCGGGGTTCTGTGTTAACTTTAGCATGGGCGAGATGGCTGAACATCCCTTAGTCAAGAGTTTTTCCAGCTGTGCAGCTTGGTGGTGCTTGTCTCGGTCTTAGTGTTTGCCAGAGAAATATTCCCGATTTTCATTTATTCTGCGTTGAGCCTTATTGCCTTCACGCTGCAGATTGAACTTCGAGCCCTCAACTGGAACATATAATGCTGAAAAAGCTCCATTTGATAACATAGACGCCAGCAATGTGGCATTTCTCCTATCAGCTAAGAGCAAAACGGTCTCATGTGCCGCCACAGAAAACTGCGAAGGTGGCCACGACGTTTTATTCTGCTACTTCATGGAGCCACTTCAAAAAGGACAAAAGCCTTTCACGTAAGCTGAACTAGCCACGTGACTAGCCAGCAGCACAAGCGGCAACACGCTTGCAGATGAGCTCCAGGAGCACGAAATGTTACACAATGGGATTTGAAGGGCACGGTAGAGTTTATTGGAAGTATTGATTATTTTGACTTGCAGAACTGAGCTCTACAATGCCCTCTGGGGATTGGAAACAGGCACAGCGTCCATCTCAGTTCCCAACGCCTTCACCGCTCTCTCGGTCCTCGCTTTGATGATTCGGACTTGAGCTTAACAAACAATTGATACAGCAGCTTCTCGAGATCTCGAAGCTGTACTAATTATGTTAGAATACATTCCTGAATCGTTTAGAGGCTGGTTTCTCATCTCCAGCGCCGCGTGCTACAAGTGGCTGGTGAGGAAGAGCTTCGGCAAAAGCGCAGATGACGTTTCTCTCCCCACTACACCTTAGTGCTACACGTAGCCTCACCGAATGTAATTTTAATCCGTCAGATGTCTGTCGCGGCTGGATTCCTCTCAGCTCGTGTGCGTGCCTGATAACAAGACCGCAGGTCTCAGCCCTTCATTAACGTTCACAGAGAAGCCAGTGGCTGTTTACGCCTTTTGCCACAGTTAATACACTCAAATAGCTCCCACATTTATTCTTTTAGTGGAATGCACGCACCAAAGAAGCATTTAGCTTCGCAGTGGGAAACGCTGCGTGTGCAAATGAAGTCGCTAAACCCTTTGATACGTCGACCATGCCTTTGATTCAATGTAATAAATTGTACGCTTGATAAGCGAGTTCTCTCAGGCAGGTGAGCAACCGGTATCGTTGGTAGTTACTGAACTATGTGGTACTGCTGCCGGTGCCGACAGCCAGTCTTGAGCACACATGTGTGTCGAAGTGGAACAAGAATCGGCAGGAGTTAATTAAATGCAGCCACTTATAATAAACACTGTTTTTGTTTGGAAGAGAACAGTCAAATAAGATGCCGACTGGTCTTTTGATTGAGAAAGCGGCCAGTAGAAGCATCAGTAAAATCGGTTAGGCGTCGAAGTGCACAGGCCGTGTGGCCAGCCTACACAGGGTGTGCCCAGTTCTTGGAATTCGTAGCTTTCCTGAATTAATTTTAAGAAAAACGTTTGCCGTTTGCTTTAGTCTACATTGAAGCTTTGTCTTGGAAGCCCTTCGAGTAACCAGGTCACTCCCGCTCACCGACTGCTATTGTGTGTGACCTTCGCCGGACCCCGCCAAGACGAATAGCATATTCTTTCCCACCAACTGATTCAAAATGTCCCTGCTTACAGTTTGTTTATATCCTTAACGGTTTCTAATTAGGTTCATATTCCTTACCTATTTCCGTCCCCTTAAATTGGACGGCGTGGACACGGCGTGCCTTGACCGTCAGTGACTCCCCAATGGCAACAACCATCATGTGTATCTTTGTTTCAGCAAAGTAATCAGATACTGTAATGTATCTTCAAAAATGTGATAAGTGTTTCCGAATAATCGAAACAAGCTCCTGAGTAATGGTATGGTGGGATCACAGCTCCTCCCACTACCTCAGCGCAAACAACCCACACAATGTTGCCGCAAACTCCCACGCATTCCTGCTCTGTTTTCTCAGCCCTTTCGTCCTTCATGCTCACGTTTGTTAGATTTCTGCTACTGTCATTCACTTTATGATAAGCTGGTTGTCAGGCAATGGCTTACATAGGGTTGCTCGCATGTTAGCTGGCCTTCTCACCAGCGCCACCGCACCACACTTCTCATCGGCGCTTTCCCTTCGCTCTGGCACAGAGACCTCTCAGAAAAACAGCCTCCACGCAAATTTATCTGCATCCGGCACAGTTTCGCTGCGGAGAGAGCCCGCAGGCAATTAGATAACTGCAGGTGAACTACTGATGTGAACAAGTTAATGGCGCTCCGCTAGCTCCAGTCACAGATCTGTAGAGATCTGTTCGTTTCCAGAGATTATGCCTGCACATGATTTTATTCGTTTCAATGCAACACAACCACAAATGCCCACGTTTTTGAGGAATGACATTCAGGTGCAGCCCCACCCGTGGCTAGTGGGCGGTCCTGTGGAAATGCATGCCATGCTGTAGTTACATTGCCACTTTGCCGGTGTTAATATGCCATTTGCAGATTGCCTGGCCATCATAAACAAGCTGAGAAGCGAACATCTTAAGGACCTGTTGGGAACCCGCATCGAAGCAGCGGACCAAGAGGTGACGGCATGCCTCAAGACAATCAATATACAGGGCCCAACAAGCCCCACTGCCGCGAAAATTGCAGTAAAGCTTGCAGGTTATAATGCAGAAACGTGTGAATTGAGCGAAAAGGCGGATGCGAAGGAGGTAGGGCTTTTCGTTTTTGGTATCGTTCAAGAACAGCTTTCTGCTAAAGGGATGAACCGCCTCAGGCCGAATCTAAAAGCATGTGTTCTTCTGTGTATGCGGGAGGCTTCTATGGAAACCATAGTGGTCTTGGGATACAGTATCCCGGACTCGTAATTCCATTCGCGCCGTCCACGGTGTTCAACTGCAACGCTTTGATGCAGGCGACCTACACAACAGGACTTGACCACCTCAAACAGTCCATTGCTCTTTAGTTCATTTCCTTTCAACGTTACTTCATTTCCTTTGACTGCTGCCACAGCGCCTACACTTTTTATTTTGTGCGTGCTTCAGGGTTTGATGTTAAGTTTAGCATGCACAAGGTGTCTCGTCATCAGTCAAGAGTTCTTACAGATATTTAGCTTGGTGGTGCTTGCTTCTGACTCAGTATTTGACAAGAAAGACTTCTTGATCTTCAGCTATTCCGTTTTGAACTGTATTGACGTCATGCTGCATATCGAACTTATAGCCATCAACAGAAACATATAATGCTGAAAGCGCTCCATTTGACAACGTAAACGCCAGAAATGCGGCGTTTCTGCTTTCGGAGAAAAGCAAAAATGACTCATGTGCCGCCACCAGAGACTGCAAAGCTGGCCACAATGTTTTATTCTGCTACTTCATAGGGCCACTTCAAAATGGAGAATAGCCTTTCACGTAAGCTGCACTAGCCACGTTACTAGCCGGCAGCAAAAGCAACACAGCGCACTTGCAAAAAACCAGCAAGATAAGAGTACGAGATGTAACAGAATGGGAATTGCAAAGTGCGATAAGGGAAATTACAATTATTGATGAATTTCGCTTGCAGAACTGAGCTCTACAATGCCCTCTGAGGATTGGAAACAGGCGCAGCGTCCACCTCAGTCCCCAGCGTCGTCCCCGTCCTTTTGGTCCTTGCTCTGAGCATTCGGACTTGAGCTTAACAAGTAAACGACAGAGCAGCTCCTGGATATATCGAAGCTATACAAATTCCCTTTCGGAGACATTCCTGAACCTTTTAGAAGCTGGTTTCTGATGTCTAGTGCTACGCACTGCAAGTGGCTGGTGAGGAAGAGCTTGGGCAAAAGTGCGAGATACGTTTCTTTCTCCACTACATCTTAGTTCTGCAGGCAGTTTTATCTGCAGGCAGTTTTATCTAAGGTCATTTTAATTCTTCAGATGCCTGTTGTGGTTGGATTCGTCTCAGTTCATGTGTATGCAAGCAAACAACACTGCAAGTTTCAGTCCTTCATGAACGTTCACACCTGAACCAGTGACTGTTTACGCCTTTCGCTGCACTCAATGTATTCAAAGAGCGCTCTCATGCATTATGCCACTGCTAGTTACTCATTCCTGAGATTTAATTTACGCACCATACAGGGATTTGATGTCGCAGTGGGAGTCGCAGCGTGTGTGGGTCGCGAAGCCCTAAGCCCTGAATTGTTAGGCCTTGGATATGCCGAGAATGTCTTTGACATAAAGTAATAAATTGCCGGTTGGGAAAGCGAGTTCGATCAGGCAGCTCAGCAGCCGGTGTGGGTAGTGAATTATGTGACACTGCTGTCGGTGCCGACAGCCAGTCTGGAGCACACAGGTGTATCGAAGTTCAAGAAGAATTGGCAGCAATTAATTTAATCCAGCCATTCATAATAAGCACTGTTTGAGCCGTCAATTAATAGGCCGAGAAGTTCTTTGGCTGAGAAATCGGCCAGTAGAAGCATTGGTAAAAGCGGTAAAAGTGGCAGGGCATCGAATTTCGCAAAACGCACACGGTGCGTGGCCAGCTTACACAGTGTATGCGAATTTCTTAGAGATTTTAGCTTTCCTACGACAATTTTAAACAAACGTTTTGCCATATGGATTAGTTTACATTGAAAGTTTTCCCTCGGAATTCCTTCGAGTAACCAGGTCACCATCCGCTCACCGCACAACATCGTGACCTTCGCCGGACTCCGCTACCACGAGTTGCATTTTCTTTCGAACTAATTGGTTCAAAATGTCCTTCTTTACAGCTCCTCTATATTAGTAATGGTTTTCAACTACGTTCATGTTCCTTACCTATTTCTGTCCCCTTAATCTGGACGGCGTAAACCGCCGGTTACTCCCCCAATTTGAGCAACATCCGTATGCATCTTTGTGAATGAAATGTAATATAACAAAGTAATCAGATACCGTTCCCTGTTCTCCAGAGGTTGACAAATGTGCCAGAACACCCGACACAAGCTCCTGAGTAATTATACGATGGGATAAAGGCGTCGAAGGGCTCCCCTGACGACCTACCTGAGTGCACACAGCCCACATCGATGCAACAAGCTCCCACGCATTCCCGCCCTCGTTTTTCCTAGCCCTCTCGTCCTTCCTGCTCATTTGTTTTGATTTCTGCCATTGTCATTCACTTTATGACAAGAAAATTCTCAGACAATGACTCACGTAGGGTTGTTGGCATGCTGCGCTGGCCTTCTCGCCAGCGTCGCCGCACTACACTTCTCATCGGCGCTATCCCTTCGTTCTGGCACAGCGATGTCTCAGCAAAACAGCCTCGGCACAAATTTATTTGTATCCGGTCGAGATTCGTTGCGGACGATAACTCCTCCCCAAGCCGAAAAGAAAACTAGCGGTGAACTACTCGTGTGAACAAGTGAATAGCGCTGAACTGTGAACAAGTGAATAGCGCTACGCTAGCCTCATCCGCAGATCTGTGGAGTTCTGTGGGCCTCCAGAAATTATGCCTGCACATGAAACCATTCTTTTCTATGCAACTCAAGCGCAAAAGCCCACGTTTTCCACGAATGACATTCAGGTGGCGCTTCTGTACAGCCCCACCCGTGGCTTGTGGGCTGGACTGCTGAACACATGCCACAATACAGCTGCATTGGCATTATGTCTGTGTTAGCTTGCCATCTGCAGATTGCCTGGCCATCATAAACAAGCTAAGGAGCGAAAATCTCAAGGACCTCTTGGGAACCCTAACCGAGGCAGGGGATGAAGAGGCGACTGAAAGCCTGAAGAAGATTGAAATAAAGGACCCAGCAGAATCTACTGCTGCGAAAATTGCAGTGAAGCTCGCAGGTACCGACGTCCAGAAATGTGAATCGGGCAAGGGCGCAAATGCGACGGTGGTAGGCCTGTTGAGCTCTAAGTACCGTTCAGCATCAACGGTCCGCTAAAGTCATGAATCGCCGCAGCACAAAGCTAAAAGCCTTTGTTCTCATGAGCATGCAAGAGACTTCTATGGCAACTTTTGTTGTGTTGCGCTACAGTATCCCGGACTCGTTATTCCATTCCCGCATGACACGGAGTTCAACTGCAACGCATTGATCCAGGCGACTTACACTGCTGGACTCGACCACCTCAAACAGTCCGTTGCGCTTTACTTCGTCTTCGTTCGCTGGTGCCACAGTGCCTACAACACTTAGTTTGTGCGTGTGTCGGGGTTCTGTGTTTTCTTTCGCACACGCGCGTCAGCTGATCATGCTCTCAGTCCAAGAGTTTTCCCAGATGTCCAGGTGCTTGTCCCTGGCTCAGTATTTGCCAAACAAAACGTCTTGACATTCAGGTGTTCTGTGTTGACCCCCATCGCTATCACGCTGCAGATCGAACTTCGAGCCCTCAACAGGAACATATGATGTTGAAAACGCTCCATTTAATAACGTGAACGCCAGCAATGTGGCGTTTCTGCTATCGGAGAAAAGCAAAAAGGTCTCATGTGCCGCCACCAAAGACTGCAAAGCTGGCCACGACGTTTTATTCTGCTACTTCATAGATCCACTTCGAAAAGAAGACAAGCCTTTCACGTAAGCTGAACTAGCCATGTGACTAGCCGGCAGCACAAGCGGCAGAACACACTTGCAAATGCGCTACAAGTGCACGACATGCAACAGAGTAGGGAGTTCAAGGCGCGATAAAGGTGACTGCAATCATTAATTATTTTTGCTTGCAGAGCGGAGCTTTACAATGCTCTGTGGGGATTGGAAGCAGGCGCAGCGTCCATCTCAGTTCCCAGCGTTGTCACCGTTCTTTTGGCCCTCGCTCTGATCATTCGGGCTTGAGCTCAACAGACAAACAACAGAGCAGCTGCTGGAGATGCAGAAGGTGTAAAAGCTACGTTTGAAGACTTTCCTGAGTCGTTTAGACGCTGGTGTCTGACCTCTAGCGCTGCGTACTGCAGGCGATTGGTGAGAAGGAGCTTTGACAAAAAGGCACAATATGTTTCTCTCCCCACTGCATCTTAGTCCTACACGTAGCTCCACCTAGAGTAATTTAAATCCGTCAGATGCCTACTGTGGTTGGAATCTTCTCCGCTCACATGCATGCAAGCAAACAACACCACAGGTCTCAGCCCTTAATGAATGTTCGCAGCGGAGCCAATGGCCGTTTACGCGTTTTGCTACAGTGAATGCAATCAAAGAGCGACCATTTGCATTGTTTTAGTGCTAGATACTCATTACTGTGGTTCGATGTACGCACCAAGTAAGCATTTGGCGTCGCAGTGCGAGAAGCGGCATGCCTGAATGAAGTTGCCAAACCTTAAAGTCTAAGCCCTAAACTGTTGGCATGCCAAGCATGTATTTGGCTCAAACTAATGAATTCTCGGTTCGATAAGCGATTCCGCTCAGGCAGTTCAGCATCTGGCGTCGCTAGCAGTTATTGAGCAATGTAGTAGTGCTGCCGCAGCCGACAACCACTCCGGAGCACATGGGTGCGTCGAAGTGGAACCGGGGATTCCCAGAAGTTAATTCAGTCCCGCCATTTGTAGGACTCAGCTTCTCTGTTTTTAGAGAGCAGTTAAGTAGGAAGCCGGGAAATTCTTTGATCGGGAAATCGGCCAGTACAAGCATCGGTGAAATAGGTAGAAACGGAAGTGCTGTCGGAAGCACGCAAGCGAACACGGCGTGTTGCCGGCGTACGGAACGTGCGCCAGTCGTTTGGAATTTGTAGCTTTGCTACATTAACTTAAAACAAAAATTTTGCCGTTTATTTTACTTTACACTTGAAGTCTTGCCTTGGAAGCCCGTCGAGTAACCCGGTCAACGGCCGCTCACCACGTCATTGTGACCTTCGCCAGACTCCAAAATGGCATTTTCTTCCGAACCAGTGACATCACAATGTTTTCCTTTACTAGTCTCTCATATCCTTTAGGGTTTCTACAAAGGTTTATGACCTTTACTTATTTCCGTCCCCCTAGATTGGACGGCGTGTGCAAGTCGTGCCTTGACCGCCGGTGACTCTCCAATCGCAGCAACCGCCCTAATATATCTCTGTGAAAGAAACATAATATCACACAGTAATCAGATAAAGTAGCGTACCTTCCAAAGGTCGATAAATGTGTCTGAACGAGCGGAACAAGCTCCTGCGTGATTGCATGGTGGGATTACAGCTCCCCCCAGCAGCGCACACAACCCACATCGTTGTCACAAGCTCCCACGCATTGCCGCTCTCTGTTTTCCCATCCCTCGTGTCCTTCGTGCTCATTTTGTTTGGATTTCTGCTACTGCAATTTACTTTATGATAAGCCAGGCAATGACTCACGTCGGGTTGTTGGCATGTTATGCTGGCCTTCTCGCCGGCGCCGCCGCACCAGACTTCTCATCGGCACTTTCCCTTCGCTCTAGCACGGCGACATCTCAGCAAAACAGCCTCAGCACAAACATATTTGCATCTGGCGATGTTTCGCCGCAGACGCCGACGCCTCCCCAAGCCGATGAGAAAACTGAAGGTAAACTACTCGTGTGAACAAGTGAATGGGGCTACGCTGGCCACAGCCACAGATCTGTGAAGATCCGCGGGCCTCCAGACATTATGCGTACTCATGAGTTTATTCCTTCAAACGCAATTCAAGAGCAAATCCCCCCCTTCTTCAGGAGTGACATTCAGGTGGCGCTTCTGTGAAGCCCCACCCGTAGCTAGTGGGCGGTAATGTAGAAATGCATGGCACTACGTAGTTGCACTGGCAATGCACCAGTGTTAACATGCCATCTGCAGATTGCCTGGCCATCATAAACAAGCTGAGGAGCGAAAATCTCAAGGACCTCTTGGGAACCCTCGCAAAGGCAGAGGGCACTGAGGTGACTGAAAGCCTGAAGGCGATCAAAATAGAGGAACCAGCAAGCCCTACTGCGCCGAAAATTGCAGTAACACTTGCTGGCAGCAATGTAGACACATGCGAATCTGGCGAAGGCGCGAATGCGAAGAAGGTAGGGCTTTGGGTCTCTGAGTATCATTCAGCAGCAGCTTTCTGCTAAAGTCATGAATCGCCGCAGCACAAAGCTAAAAGCCTTTGTTCTCATGAGCATGCAAGAGACTTCTATGGCAACTTTTGTTGTGTTGCGCTACAGTATCCCGGACTCGTTATTCCATTCCCGCATGACACGGAGTTCAACTGCAACGCATTGATCCAGGCGACTTACACTGCTGGACTCGACCACCTCAAACAGTCCGTTGCGCTTTACTTCGTCTTCGTTCGCTGGTGCCACAGTGCCTACAACACTTAGTTTGTGCGTGTGTCGGGGTTCTGTGTTTTCTTTCGCACACGCGCGTCAGCTGATCATGCTCTCAGTCCAAGAGTTTTCCCAGATGTCCAGGTGCTTGTCCCTGGCTCAGTACTTGCCAAACAAAACGTCTTGACATTCAGGTGTTCTGTGTTGACCCCCATCGCTATCACGCTGCAGATCGAACTTCGAGCCCTCAACAGGAACATATGATGTTGAAAACGCTCCATTTAATAACGTGAACGCCAGCAATGTGGCGTTTCTGCTATCGGAGAAAAGCAAGAAGGTCTCATGTGCCGCCACCAAAGACTGCAAAGCTGGCCACGACGTTTTATTCTGCTACTTCATAGATCCACTTCGAAAAGAAGACAAGCCTTTCACGTAAGCTGAACTAGCCATGTGACTAGCCGGCAGCACAAGCGGCAGAACACACTTGCAAATCAGCTACTAGAGCATAATACGCTGCAGAACGGCATTTGCAAGGTACGGTGAAAATAAGTACAATTATGAATTGATTTTGCTTTGCAGAGCGGAGCTTTACAATGCCCTCTGGGGATTGGAAGCAGGCGCAGCGTCCATCTCATTTCCCAGCGTCGCCACTGTTGTTTTTATCCTCGCTCTAATTATTCGGACTTGAGATTAAATAAACAGCCAAAGGATCAGCGTTCGGAGGTAAAGACGCTGTAAAAATTCCGTTTGGAGGCATTGCTGAATCGTTTAGAAGCTGAATTCGGATTGCTACTCCTACACAACACTGCAAATGGCTGCTGGCGAAGGGCTTCGGCAAAAATGCGGAATATTCTTCTCTCTCCACTACATTTTAGTACTACACGAAACTTTGTCTAGAGTAATTTTAACCTGCCTGATGCTTGTTGTGGTTGGACGCCTCTCAGCTCAATATGCATGCAAGCAAACAACAACGCAGGCTTTAGAGTTTCATGAACACTCACAGCGAAGCAAGTGGCTGTTTATGCCTTCTGCTACCGTTAATGTAATCAAAGAGCGCGGCAAGGCGTCGTTTTTGTGCTAGCTACTCACTACTGAGGTTCGATATACGCACCAGTAAAGCATGTAATTTGGCGCCGCAGTGGGAAGAGCGGCTTGTGTGAATGAAACCGCTTAACCCTAAACACTAAACCCCATACCCTTCAATATGCCGAGCATGCCCCTGGCTCAAAGAAATAGACTGTCGGCCTGGTAAGTGAATCCGCTCAGGCAGCAAGAACTCTGTGCGGCTGCTTCCGGTGCCGACACGAGTACACACGTGTGTCGAAGCGGAACAAAAATTGGCAGGTATTACTTTAATCCAGCCATTTATAACAAGTACTGCTTTCGCTTTTGAAGAATGCATGCAAATAGGAAGCCAGGACATTCTTTGACCGGAGCCAGTGGAAGCGTCGGTGGTATTGGCACAAGTGAACGGCCACCGAAATAGGCGAGCGAACACGGCTTGTGGCCAGCGTGCACAGCGTGTGCCAATTTTTCACAATTTCTAGCCTTCCTAGACTAATTTTGAGCAAAGATATCGACTTGCGTTTTAGTTTACACTGGAGGCTTTGCCTTGGAAGCCCTTCGAGTAGCCAGGTCACCATCGGCTCACCGCTCGCCATCGTGACCTTCGCGGCACCCCGCTACAATGAATAGCATTTCCTTTCGAGGCAATGGCTTCACAATCTTTATCTTTACAGCACTTTCATATTTTTAAGGGTTTCTAATTAGATGTATGTCCTTTGCCCATTTCCGTCTGCTTAATTTGGTTGGCGTGAGCAGGGAGTGCCTTGACCGCCGGTCACTCCTCCCATCGCAGCAACCGGAGCATAAATTTTTGTCAAAGGTACATTAAAAATGTAAGCAAATGCTGTACCGTATCTCTAAAAGGTTGATGAATGCGCCGGAAGAGTCGAAACAAGCTCCTGAGTAATTGTACTGCGGGATAAGGGCGTCGTAGAGCACCCCACTACCTCAGCGCAGCGCACACAACCCACATCCTTGCCACACAGTCCCACGCATTCCCGCCGTTTGTTTTCCTAGCCCCTTTCTTCTTAGTTCTCATTTTCGCCCCTAACCGCGGCAAATGACGGGGAGGCAACTGAAAGCCTCACAGAGATCGGGAAAACGGAGCCAGACAGCCTTACTACCGCTAAAATCGCAGTAACGCTCGCTGGCACCGATGTCGAAAAGTGTTAATTAGGCGTGAAAGCGGATGCGAAGAAGGTGGGGCTATTTGGCTTTGAGTATCGCTCAGCAGCAGCTTTCCGGCCAAAGCGGTGAAGCACCGCAGGGCAAAGCAAAAACCCTGTGTTCTTCTGTGCATAAGAGAGGCTTCTATGGCGACTACCCTGGTTTGTGCTACAGTATCCCGGACTCGTTATTCCATTCGCCCATGACGAGGATTTCGACTGCAACGCATTGATCCAGGCGACTTACACAGCCGGACTTGACCACCTCAAACAGTCCGTTATTTTTTGCTTCATTTTCTTTGCCTGGCAGCACAGTGCCTACACCTTTTAGTTCGTACGTATGCCGGGGTGCCGTGTTTACTTTAGCGTCCACAAGGTAGCTGATCATGCCCTTAGTCCAAGTTGTTTTCCAGGTGTGCATGTTGGTGGTGCTTGCCTCAGTCGCAGTATTTGCCAAAGAAAGCTTCCTGGCAACAGCCTGGCTTCAGCTACTCTGTTTTGAATCTTATCGCCTTCATGCTGCAGATCAAACTTCGAACCCTCAACAGGAACATATAACGCTGAAAATGCTCCATTTGACAACGTAGCGGCCAGCAATGTGGCGTTTCTGCTGTCGGCGAAAAGCACAAAGGTCTCATGCGCCGCCACCAAAGACTGCAAAGCTGGCCACGACGTTTTATCCTGCTACTTCATAGATCCACTTCAAACTGGAGACAAGCCTTTCACGTACGCTGAACTAGTCATGTGACTAGCCAGCAGCACAAGCGGCAGAACACACTTGCAAATGAGCTACAAGAGCACGAAAAGGTAGAGAATGGTAATTGAAAACTGCGATTAAAATAATTACACTTACTACTTTCGCTTGCAGAACCGAGCTTTACAATGCCCTCTGGGGATTAGAAACAGGCGCAGCGTTCATTTCGGTTCCCAGCGCCGCCACCGTTCTTCTTGTCCTCGCTTTGGTCATTCGGAATTGAGCTCAACAAGGAAAAAGGAGAAGATCTTCAAAAATTGCGTTTGAAGAAGTTCTGAATTGTTTGGAAGCTCGTTTCTGATCTGGAGCCTACTTCGAGCGGCTAGTGAGGAAGAGCTCCAGCAAAAATGTGGAATATGTTTCTGTCTCCACTGTATCTCAGTAATACGCGTAACTTTATCTAGAGAATTTAAATACGTAAGATGCCTGTTGTGGTGGGACTCCCCTCAGTTTATGTGCATGCAAGCAAACAATACCGCAGGTTACAGTTGTTCATGAACGTTCACATTGAATCCAGTGGCCGTTTATGCTTTCTGCTACGGTTAGTAAATTCAAAGAGCGCCAGCATGCATTGTGCTGGTGCTTGTTATTCATTACTAAAATTCGATCTAGGCACTACACAAGCATTTGGCGTCGCAGTGGGGAACGCGGCATATGTGAATGAAGCTGCTAAATCCTAAACGCTAAATCATAAACCCTTAGATATGTCGAGCATGTCTTTGACCCAAAGTGATATAAATTGCCGGCTTGATAAGAGATTCCACTCAGGCAGCTCAACATGATCCCCTGCGTGCTCCAGAGTGACTGTCGGCACCGCCAGCAAGCGGCATATAGTTCAGAAAGCCGCTGGCTGCTCAGCTGCATGACCAGACTCGCTTATCAAAGCGGCACTTTATAACTTCGAGTCGAACACAAGTTCGGCATATCCAAGGGTTCAGGATTTAGCGTCTAGGATATAACGACTTCATTCACACATGCCGCGCCTTCCACTGCGACGCTAAATGCTTTTGTGGTGCGTACATCGAATCTCCATAGTGAGCATCTAGCACCAAAACAATGGATGCGCTCACTGTTTGCATGTATTAATTGTAGCATAAGGCGTAAACAGTCACTGGCTCCGCTGTGAATGTTACTGAGGGACTGAGACCTGTGGTGTTGTTTGTTTGCATACATGTGAGGGGAATCCAACCACAACAGGCATCTGACGACTTAACATTACCCCAGATAAAGTTGCATGTGGTACTAAGATGTAGTGGGGGGAGAGATGTATTCTGCCCTTTTGCCGGAGCTCTTTCTCACCAGCCACTTAAAGTACCTAGAACAAAACATCAGAAACCCATCCGGGAAGCTTTAGAAATCTCTCCAAACGGAATTTGTACAGCTTCGACATATCCAGAAGCTGCTCTCTCGTTTGCTCGATAAGCTCAAATCCGAGTGATCAGAGCGAGGACCAAAAGAACGGTGGCGACTCTGGGAGCTGAAGTGAACGCTGCGCCTGTTTCCAATCCCCAGAGAGCATTATAAAGCTCAGTTCTGCAAGCGAAATTCATCGATAACTTCAATTATCTTTATCGCACCTTGCAATTCGCATTCTGCAACATATTGTGCTCTTGTCTTCATCTCATTTGCAAGTGTGTTCTGCCGCCTTGCTACCGGCTAGTCACGTTGCTAATACAGCTTACGTGAAGGGCTTATCTCCTTTTCGAAGTGGGTCTATGAAGTAGCAGAATAAAACGTCGTGGCCACCACTGCAGTTGTTGGTGGCGGCACATGAGACTTTTGTGCTTTTTGCCGAGAGCAGAAACGCCGCATTGCTGGCGTCTAAGTTGCTAGATTGGAGCGTTTTCAACATCATATGTTCCTTTCGATGGCTCGAAGTTCGATCTGCAGCATAAAGGCAGTAATATTCAAAAAAGAATTGCTGAAGACCAAGAAGATTTCTCTGGCAAGTACTGAGACCCAGACGAGGACCACCAAGCTGCGCATCTAAAAGAACTCTTGACTAGTGGATAAGCAGCCACCTTGTGCGTGCTAAAGTACACACAAAACTCCAACACACGCACAAATTAAAATGTGCAGGCACTGTGGCACCGGGGAAAGGAAATGAAGTAAAAAACAACGGACTTTTTAAGGTAGTTGAGTCCAGCTGTGTAAGTCGCCTGGACCAAAGCATCGCAGTCGAAATCTGTGGAATGCGGAAATGGAATTACGAGTCCGGGATACTGTAGCACAACACCAGGACACCTGCTCTAGAAGCCTCCCGCATGCGTAGGGTAATACCGGGTTTTAGCTCTGTGCTGCGGCGATTCACCACTTTAGCTGAAAGCTGCTGCTCAACAATACTCAAAGCCTAACAGCCCTACCGTCTTCGCATTCGCATTTTCGCCTGAGTTACATGTTCCTACATCTTCACCTGCAAGCGCTACTGCGATTTTCACTGCAGTAAGGCCTTCCGGTTGCGTTTTTCCAATCTTCTTCAGGCTTTCAGTCACCTCATTTTCCTCTGCCTTGGCAAGGGTTCTTAACAGGTCCCTGAGATTTTCGCTCCTTAGCTTGTTTATGATGTCCAGGCAGTCTGCAGATGACAAGCCAACACCGGCGTCATGTCAATGCAATTGTATCGTGGCACGTACTTCAACGGGGCCGACCACTAGCCGCGGGTGGGGCTGCACTGAAGAGCATGCTGAATATCATTCGTCAAGAACTTGGGCATTCGCGCTTAAATTGAACTGAAAATCATGCCCAGGCATAATTTCTGGGGGCCCACAGACCTCTACAGATCTGTGGCTGGGGCTAGTGTCGCGCCATTCACTTTTTCTAATTACCAGTTCACCTTCAGTTACATCACTGGCTGAGGGCTCTGCTCGCAGTGCAACTTGGCCGGATGCAAATAAATTTGTGCGGAGGCTGTTTTGCTGAGACGTCCCTGTGCCAGAGCGAAGGGAAAGTGCCAATGAGAAGTGTGGTGCGGCGGCGCTGGCGAGAAGGCCAGCGTAACATGCCAACAACCGTAGGTGAGTCATTGCCTTACAACTGGCTAAGTGACAGTAGCAGAAAACCAAACAAAATGAGCACGAAGAACAAACGGGCTAAGAAGAGAGAGAGCGGGAATACGTGAGAGTTTGTAGCAACGATGTGGGCTGTGTGCAGTGAGGTCGTGGGGGGAGCTGTACGACACCTGGACCCCACTATACAATTGCTCAGGAGACTGTTTCGGCAGTGCCGGCACATTTATCTACCTTTGGAAAGTACATTATAGTATATGACTACTTTGTGATATTGCATTTCCTTCACAAAGTAATATGGTGGCTGCTGAGATTGGAGGAGTCACCGGCGGTCAAGGCACTCCATGCACAGGCCGTCCAGATTAAGGGGACGGAAATAGGTAAAGGACATGAACCTATTCAGAAACCTCTAAGGATATAAAGGAGAAGTACAGAAAAACACTGTGGAGGCATGGGTTCGAAAGGAAATGCTACTCGTGGTAATTCAGTCCTGCGAAAGTCACGATGGCTGGCGGTGAGCGGATGGTGACAGGGTTACTCGAAGGGCTTCCAAGACAAAATCTCTAATGTGCACTAAAAGGCAGATCAATACCTTTGACCGAAATCAATTTAGGAAAGGTACAAACTCCCAAAAATGGGTGCACGCAGTGTTCGCTGGCCACACGCCCTGTGCGCTCGTGTAACTCCTGCGGCTTCTGCCTTGCACAATTTTACCGATGCTTCTCCTGGGGGATTTCTCAGTCAAAGGATTCTCCATCTTCTTGCTTGACTCCTCTTTTCAAAAACTAGAGAGGTGTTTGTTATAAATAGTTCGGTTAAATTAATTTCTGCCGAAATCTCGTTCCACTTCGACACTTCCGTGTGCTCGGCTGTCGGCACTGCCTGCAGCTGCAAATAGTTCACTAACTACTACAGACGCCGGATGCTGAGCTGCCTGAGCGGAGTCGCTCACCAAACCGACAATTTGTCACTTTGATTCAAAGAAACGCTTGCCATATTAAAGGGTTTTGGGTTTTAGCGACTTATTCACACATGCCGTGTTTCCCACTGCGACGCCAAATGCTTTTGTGGTGCGTACATCGAATCTAAGTGAAGAGTAACTAGCACCAACGCATTAGATGCAGGCGCTTTTTGAATGTACTAACTTTAGCATAAGGCGTAAACGGCCACCGGCATCGCTGCGACGTTCACTGAAACCTGCGGTGTTGTTTACATGCATGCACAAGGGCTGAAACGAATCCACCCACAGCAGTCATCTGACAAATTGCAAATTATTCTAAATGAAGCTGCGTGTAGTACTAAGATGTAGTGGGGAGAGAAACGTATTCTGCAGTTTTGCGGAAGCTGTTCCTCGCCACCTGCAGTACGTAGCACTAAATATCAGAAGGCAGCCTCTAAACGACTCAGCAATGTCTTCGAACAGAAATCGTACAACTTCGACATCTCCAGAAGCTGATCTATTGTTTCTTTGTTAAACTCAAGCCCGAATCATCAACGCGAGGACGAGAAGAACGGTGGCAACGCTGGGAACCGAAATGAACGCTGCGCCCGTTTCCAATCCCCAGAGGGCATTATACAGCTCAGTTCTGCAAACCAAATTAAACAATAATTGGTGATTAACTTCATCGCATCTTGCAAAATATCGTCCTCTTGTCTTGTAGCTCATTTGCAAGTGTATTTTGCCACTTGTGCTGCCGGCTAGTCACGTGGCTAGTTCAGCTTACGTGAAAGGCTTATCCCCTTTTTGAAGTGGGTCTATGAAGTAGCAGAATAAAACGTTGTAGCCAGCACTGCAGTTGTTGGTGACGGCACATGAGACCTTTTTGCTTTTCTCCGACAGTAGAAACGCCACATTGCTGGCGTCTACGTTATTGAATGGAGCAGTTTTAACATCATATGTTCCTGCTGAGGGTTCGAAGTTCGACCTGCAGCAAGAAAGCAATACGATTCGAAAAGAATAAGTGAAGATGAAGATCAAGAAGGTTCCTTTGGCAAGTACTGCGACTGAGCCAAGCACCACCGATCTCCACACTTGGAAGAGCTCTTAAACTAAGGGATGATCAGCTACCTTGTCCATGCCAAAGTAAGCACAGGACCCCGACGCACGCACGAACTAAAAGGTGTAGGCACTGTGGCGCGGGTGCACAAAAGCGAAGTAAAAACAACGGACTGTTTGAGGTGGTTAAGTCCGGCTGTGTAAGTCGCCTGGATCAAAGCGCTGCACTTGAATTGCGTCTCGTGCGTGAATGGAATCACGAGTCCGGGATACTGTAGCACACCACCACAATAGTTGCCGTAGAAGCCTCTCGCATGCACAGAAGAACACCGGGTCTTAGCTTGGCCCTGGGGCAGTTCATCACTTCAGCGGAAAGCTGCTGCTGAATGGTACTCAAAGCCCAAAAGGCCTACCTTCTCCGCATTCGCGTTTTTGCCCAAGTCACATGTGTTACTGTCTCCTGCAAGCTTTACTGCAATTTTATCGGCAGTAGGGTTTGCGGGATCCTCTATTGAGATCGTCTTCAGGCTTTCAGTTACATCGCTGGCCTTTGCCGTATCGAGGGTCTCCAATAAACCCTTGAGATTTTCGCCCCTTAGGTTGTTTATGATGTCCAGGCAGTCTGCAGATAACAAGCACCACGCGCGTAATAGCAATGCAATTATGAGATGGCACGTGTTTGCACAGGACCGCTCGCTAGCCACGAGTGGGGCTGCACTGGAACGCCACCTAAATGTCATTCCTCAGAAACGGGGGCATTTTCCCTTGAATTGCATTGAAAGGAACAAAATCATGTGTAGGCATAATCTATGTAGGTCCACAGATCTCCACAGGTCTGTGGCTGCGGCTAGAGTAGCGCCATTCGAATTAGGAGTTCACCTGGAGTTCTCTCTTCGGCTACGGTGTTCGTTCGCAGGGAAACTTGGCCGGATGCAAATAAATTTGTGCGGAGGCTGTTTTGCTGAGACGTCGCCGTGCCAGAGCGAAGGGAAAGCGCCAATGAAAAGTGTGGCGCGGCGGTGCTAGCGAGGAGGCCAGCATAACATGCCAACAGCACTACGTGAGTCATTGTCTGACAATTGGTTCGTCATAAAGTAAAAGACAGTACCAAAATCCAAACCAAATGAGCACAGGGGACGAAAGGACTGGGAAAACAGAGAGCGGGAATGCGTGTGACTTTGTGGCACCGATATAGGTTGTGTGCGTAGGAGCCTGTTTCGGCTGTTCCGGCATGTTTATTAGCATTTGGGAGATAATGTAGAGCACTGATTACTTTGTGATATTATGTTCCTTTCACAAAGATACATACGGCGGTTGCAATTGGAGTCACCAGCTGCGAAGGCGCGCTGTGCACACGCCGTTCAGACTAAGGGAACAGAAAAAGGTAAGGAACATGAGCCTGAATAGAAACCTTTAAAGATATCAAGGAACTGTAAAGAAAGAGATTTTAAATCACTTGGTTGGAAGGAAAATGCAATTAGCGGTAGCGGAATCCCGGGAAGGTCAAGGTCACGTTGGCTGGCTGTGAGGATGGTGACCTGGTTACTCGAAGGGCTTCCAAGGCAAAAATTCCAATGTGAACCAAAACATAAGGCACAATATTTCGTAAAATTGATTTGAGGAAGCTACAAACTCCGGAAATTCGGCGCAAGCTGTGTACACTGGCCACAGTGTGGTTAAAATAGAACAGCCGTTCCTCGACGCCTGCTTTACCGATGCTTCTACTGGCAAATTTCTCAGTCAAAAAATTCCCCAGCTTCTTACTTGACTGCTCTCGGTACAAACAAAAACAGTGCCTTTGTAAATTGCTGTGTCAAATTAATTCCTGCCGATTCTGGTTCCACTTCGACACACCTGTGCGCTCCAGAGTTCATGCTGAGCTGCCTGAGCACACTCGCTTACCAAATCTGCAATTTATCACTTTGAGTGAAAGACATGATCGGCATATCAAATGATTCAGGAACTAGGGTTTAGCAACTTCATTCACACATGCCGCGCTTCCCACTGCGGCGCCAAATTTTCTTGTAGTGAGTACATCGAATCTCCGTAATGAATACCTAACACTAAAACAATGCATGCTGGCGCTCTTTGAATTTATTAACTTTAGCATAACGCGTAAACAGCCAATGTATTCAATGTGAACGTTCATGAGAGACTAAAACCAGTGTTTGCTTGGGTGCATATCAGCTGAGAGGCATCCAACCACAAATGGCATCTGGTGAGTTGAAATTACTCTAGATAACGTTGTCTGTGCTGCTCAGGTGTAGTCGGCAAAGAAATGTATTCCACATTTTTGCCGAAGCCACTTGCAGTACGTAGCACTAGATATCAGAAAACAACTCCTAAATGATTCAGGAATGTCTCTAAACGGAATTTGTACATCTTCGACATCTCCAGAAGCTGCCCTGTCTTTTTTTTGTCAAGCTCAAGTGCGAATAATCAGAGCAAAGACAACGAGAACAGCGATGACGCTGGAAACCGAAATGAACGCTGCGCCTGTTTCCAATCCCCAAAGAGCATTGTAAAGCTCAGTTCTGCAAGCGAAATAAATCAATAACTGCAATTATCTATATCGCACCTTGCAACATATCGTACTCTTGTCTTGTAGCTCCTTTGCAAGCGTGTTCTGCCGCTTATGTTGCCGGCTAGTCACGTGGCTGGTTCAGCTTCCGTGAAAGGCTTATCTCCAGTGCGAAGTGGCTCTATGAAGTAGCAAAAAAAACGTTGTAGCCTGCTTTGCAGTCTTTGGCGGCGGCACATGAGACCTTTTTGCTTTTCTCCGACAGCAGAAACGCCACATTGCTGGCGTTCACGTTGTTAAATGTAACGTTTTCAGCATTGTATGCCCCTGTTGAGGGCTCGAAGTTCGACCTGTAGCATGAAAGCAATACGATTTGAAAGAAATAAGTGAATATCAAGAGGATTCCTTCGGCGAATACTGCGACTGAGCCAAGCACCACCAAGCTCCACGTTTCGAAAAGCTCTTAAACTAAGGGATGATCAGCTACCTCGTCAATGCTGAAGTAAACACAGAACCCCAACACACGCACAGACTAAAAGGTGTAGGCACTGTGGCACCGGTCAAGGAAGATGAAGCAACGGACTGTTTGAGGTGGTTAAGTCCGGCTGTATAGGCCGCCTGGATCAAAGCGCTGCAATTGAATTGCGTCTCATGCGTGAACGGAATCACGAGTCCGGGATACTGTAACACACCACCACAATAGTTGCCGTAGAAGCCTCTCGCATGCACAAAAGAACACCGGGTTTTAGCTTTGCCCTGGGGCGGTTCATCGCTTCTGCTGAAAGCTGCTCCTGAACGGTACTGAAAGCCTGAAAGCCCTACCGTCTTCGCATCCGCGTCTTTACCCGATGCGCATGTGTTTACATCTTCACCTGCAAGCTTTACTGCAACTTTATCGGCAGTAGGGCTTGCCGGGTTGTCTACATTTATTGTCGTCAGGCTTTCAGTCACCTCTTCGCCATTTGTCTCGGCGAGGGTTCGTAACAGGCCCTTGAGATTTTCGCTCCTTAGCTCGTTTATGGTAGCCAGACACTCTCCAGATTGCAAGCTCCCATGAGCTTAATTAGAATGCAATAATATCGTGGCATATGTTTTCACAGGAGCGCGCAGTAGCCACGGGTGGCCTGCACTGAAGCGCCATCTGAATGTCATTCGTCAAAGGCGGGGCCATTTCCGTTTGAGTTGCACTTAAAAGAATAAACTCATGTGCAAGCCTAATCACTGGAGGCCCGCACATCTCTACATATCTGTGGCTGGGGCTAGGGTAGCGCCATTCACTCGTTCTAATTACCAGTTCACCTTTAGTTCTGTCATCGGCTGTGGGATATGTCGTCGTCCGCAACAAATCTTGGCCAGATGCAAATAAATTTGTGCTAAGAGTGTTTTTCTGAGACGCCACTGTGCCAGAGCGAAGGGAAAGCGCGAACGAGAAGTGTGGTGCGGCGGCGAGAAGGCCAGCATAACTTGTCAACAACCCTACGTGAGACGTTGCCTCACAGTTGGCTTATAAAGTAAATGGCAATACCAGAAACCAAACAAAATGGGCACGAAGAACGCAAGGGCTAAGCAAACAGAGAGCAGGAATGCGTGGAAGTTTAGGAGAAGGATGTTGGTTGTGTGCGCTGAGGTACTGGGGGTGCTCTACAACGCGATTATCCCACCATTCAGTTACTCAGGAGCTTGTTTCGACTGTTCTGGCGCATTCATCAACCTTTGAGAGAAACGGTACAGTACCTGATTACATTGTTCATGTGTCTTTGACAACAATATATGCTCCAGTTGCTGCGATTGGAGGAGTGACCGCCGGTCAAGGCACTCCGTGCACATGCCGACCACATTAAGCGGGACGGAAATGGGTAAAGGGCATAAACCTAATAAGAAACCCTTACGAATATGAAAGAGCTGTAAAGAAAGAGACTGTGAAGTCACTGGTCCGAAAGAAAATGCTGGCGTGGTGCGGCGGAGGTCACGTTTGCTTGTGGTGAGCGGAGGGTGACCTGGTTACTCGGAAGGCTTCTAAGGTAAACCTTTTAATGCAAGCTGAAAAATAAACCAAAATTTCTGTTGAGAATTAATTTAGGAAAGCTACAAATTCCAAAGACGCGCCACACACTGTGTACGTGGACTCCGTGTGCAGCCATTCTTTGGTGGCTGTAGACATTTTTTACCCTCCTTACCGACTCTTCTACTGACCGATTTCTGAGTCAATCTCCCGGCTTCTTACTTGACTGCCCTAAACAGAAATATTGCGTATTATAAAGGGATGGATTAAATTAATTCTTGTTGATTCTTGTTCCACTTCGACGCACGCATGCCCTGCAGATTGACTATTGGCACTGCCATCAACACCATATCATTCAGTAACTACTACCGACGCCGGATGCTCAGCTGCCTGGGAGGACTCACTTGCCAAACCGACAATTTATTACTTTGAGCCAAAGACATGCTCGGCATACCCAGGGGTTCAGCGTTAAGGGTTAAGCGGCTTCGTTTACACATGCCGCGTTTCACACTGCGACGCCAAATACTCTCGTGGTGCCTAGATCAAATCTTAATAAAGAATAGCTAGCAGTAAAACAATGCATGCTAGAATTTTCCGAATTTATTAGCTGCAGCGGAAGGCGGAAACAGCCACTTGCTTCGCTGTAAAAGTTCACGAACGGCTGAAGCCAGCGGTGTTGTTTGCTTGCATGCATATGAGCCGAGAGGAATCCAGCCACAACGGGCATCTGACAAATTAAAATTACTGTAGATAGAATTAGATGTAGCACAAACATGTAGTGGAGAGGGAAACGTATATTTTTGCCGAAGCTCTTCTTCACCAGCCACTTGCTGAACGTAGCACTAGACGGCCCAGCTCCTAAACGACTCAGGAATGTCTTCCAACGAAATTTGTACCCTTCGACATCTCGAAAAGAAGCTCTGCCGTTTGTTTGTTAAGCTTAAGGCTGAATGATCAGGGCGAGGGTCAAAAGAACGGTGGCGACGCTGGGAACCGCGGTGGAGGCTGCGCCTGCTTCCAATCCCCAGAGGGCATTGTAAAGCTCAGTTCTGAAGACGAAATTAATTAAAAATTGCAAACACTTTTATCGTGTCTTGCAATTCTCATTCTGCAACATATCGTGCTCTCGTCTTTTCGCTCATCTGCGAGTGTGGCCTGCCGCTTTTGTTACCGGCCAGTCAAATGGCTAGTTCAACTTACGTGAAAGGCTGATCTCCATTTCGAAGTGGTTCTATGAAGTAGCAGAATAAAACGTCGTGGCCAGCATTGCAGTTCTTGGTGGCGGCACATGAGACCTTTTTGCTTTTCGCCGAAAGTAGAAATGCCACATTGCTGGCGTCTACATTATCAAATGGAGCTTTCGTAGCATCATATGTTCCTTTTGAGGGTTCGAAGTTCGACCTGCAGCATGGAGAATATAAGAATGAATGGAGATCAAGAAATATCCTTTGGCAAATACAGAGACAAGCACCAGTAAGGTCTTTGCCCTGGAACTTCACATGTGAAAAGGCTCTTGACTTCATGATCAGCCACCTCGTGCAAGCTAAATTAAACACAGAACTCCGTCACAAACTAAAAGCTGTAGGCACTTTGGGACCAGTCAAAGAAAATGGAGCAAAAAACAACGCACTGTTTGAGTTGGTTGAGTCCGGCTGTGTAGGTCGCCTGGATCAAAGCGTCGCAGTCGAAGTCCTTGTCATGGGTGAATGGGATTACGAGTCCGGGGTACTGAAGCACAACACCAGCATTGTTGCTATAAATGTCATTCCCATGTACAGAAGAACACAGGGTTTTAGATTTGCTGTGGGGCTGCTCATCACTTCAGCGGAAAGCTGCTGCTGAACGATAATCAAAGCCCACAAGGCCTACCGTCTTCGCATCCGCGTTTCCCCCCGAGGCACATGTGTCTACACTGTCACCTGCAAGCTTTGCTGCAATTGTCGCGGTAGTAAGGCTTGCGGCATCCGCTACTGGGATCGTCTTCAGACTTGCAGTTACATCGCTGTCCTCTGCCTTGGTGAGGGTCCCCAACAAGTCTTTGATATTTTCGTTCCTTAGCTTGTTTATGGTGTCCAGGCAGTCTGCATATGGCAATTTAAAGCAGACGCAATGGAAATACAATTATGTCGTGGCATGTGTTTCCACATGAACCCTCACTAGCCACGGGTGGGACTCCACGGAATCGCGACCTGAATGTCATTAGTAAAAAACGGGGGCATCTGCACTTGAATTGCACTTAAAAGCAAAAGCTCATGTGCAGGCATAATTGCTGTGGGTCCACAGATCTCTACAAATCTGTGGCTGGGGCTAGCGTAGCATTAACTTGTTCACATCAGTAGTTCACCTGCAGTTATCTCATTGCCTGTGGGCGCCGCCCGCAGCGAAACTTGGCCAGATGCAAATAGATTTGCGCTGAGGCTGCTTTGCTGAGACGCTGCTGTGCCAGAACGAAGGGAAAGCGCCAACGAGAAGTGTGGTGCGGCGGCGCTGGCGAGAAGGCCTGCGTAACATGCCAACAAACCTAGGTGGGTCATTGCCTGACAATTGGCTTATCATAAAGTAAATGACATTAGCAGAAAGCCAACCAAAATGAGCACAAAGAAAGAAAAAAGGCTGAGAAGAGGCAGTGCGGGAATGCGTGGGAGTTTGTGGCAACGATGTGGGTTGTGTGCGCGGAGGTTCTTGAGGGCTACAACGATCCCACTATACAGTTACTCAGGAGCTTGTTTCGACTGTTCCAGCGCAGTCATCAACCTTTGAGAGATATGGTGCAGTATGTGATTACACTGTAATATTATGTGTCCTTCACAAAGATATATGCACCGGTTGTTGCGATGGGAGGAGTCACTGGCAGTCAAGGCACGCCGTGCACACGCCGACCAAACTATACAGACGGAAATGGGTAAAGGGCATAAACCTAATTAGAAACCCTTACAAAGATTAAATTACTGTAAAGAAAGAGATTATGAAGTCATTGGTCCGGAAAAAAAATGCTATTCGCCTTGGCGGGATGCGGCGAAGGTGTCACGTTGCCTCGCGGTGAGCGGATGGTGACCTGGTTACTCGAAAGGCTTCTAAGGCAAACCTTTTAATGTAAACTAAAGTATAAACCATATATTCTGTTTAGAATTAATTTAGTAAAGCGACAAAATCCAAAAACCTGCCCCACACTGTGTACGCTGGCCACAATCTATTCCGCTCGCACACTTTGGCGCTTGTTCACTTTACCGATATGAGCAATACCTCTACTGGCTTCAATCAAAGAATCTCCAGGCTTCGTATTTGATAGATCTCTCCAAAATAGAAAAAACGTTTACTATAACTGGACGGATTAAATTAGACCCTGCTAATTCTTGTTCCACTTCGACACACCTGCGTTCTCCACATTGGCTGTCGGCACCGACAGGAGTATAGCAGAGGTGTGTCGAGAATCTGCAGAAATTAGTTTAATCTAGCCGTGTGTAAAAAGGATATTTTTCTTCTTTCGAAAAGGGCAATGAAGTAAGAAGCCGAGAGATTCTTTGGCTGAGAAACTGGCCAGTACGAGCATAGGTGACAGTGAACAGGCATCGAAGTCCGAGTGCAAAGGGCGTGTGGCCAACGTTCACAGCGTGTGCAAATTTTTTGGAGTTTGTGGTCTTCCGGGATTAATTTTGAACAATGTTATTGACGTATACTTTTGTTTAAATTGGAAATTTTGCCTTGGAGGCCCTTCGAGTAACCCGGTCACCCCGCGCTCACCGACCACCATCGTGGCCCTTCGCGGACCCCGCTACTGCGAATAGCACTTTCTTTCGAACCAATGGCTCTACAATGCCTTTCTTTACAGTGATTTCATATCTTCAAGAGGCTCTAAATAGGTTTGTATTCCTTACCTATTTCCGTCCGCGAATTTGGACGGCCTGCAATCGCCGTGCCGTGACTGCCGGTGACTCCTGCAATCCCAGCAAGCGCCGTATATACCTGTGAATATATTTGTGAAAGAAATATAATATCACGAAGTAATCACATACTTGCTCTACCTTCCAATGCTTGATAAATGTGCCTGAATACTTGAAACAAGCTCCTGAGTAACTATATGGGGGGCAATGCCTCAGAGCTCCCCACACGACCTCCGCGCACACAACCCGCACATCGTTGCACACAAACTCACACGCATTCCCGCTCTCTGTTTTCCTATCCCTCTCGTTCTTCATGCTCATTTCGCTTGGATTTCCGGTACTACCATTCGCTTTATGACAAGCCAATTGCCAGGCAATGATTCACGTAGGGTTGTTGGCATGTTACGCTGGTCTTCTCGCCAGCACCGCCGCTCCACACTTCTCATCGGCGCTTTCCCTCCGATCTGGCACAGCGACGTCTCAGCAAAACAGCCTCCGCACAAATTTATTTGCAACCGGTCAAGATTTGTTGCGGACAACGACGGCGCCCGTAGCCGAAGAGAAAACTAATGGTGAACCACTAATTTGAACAAGTGAATGGCGCTATGCTGGTCCCAGTCACAGAACTGTATAGATCTTCGGGTCTTTATAGATTATGCCTGCAGATGAATTTATTCTTTCGAGTGCAATTCAAGCGCATATGCTCACGTTTTTGGAGAATGACATTCAGGTGGCACTTCAGTGCAGCCCCACCCGTGGTCAGTGGGCGGTGTTGTGGAAACACATGCCACGACATAATTGCATTGCCATTAGACTGGTGTTAGCTTGCCATCTGCAGATTGCCTGGCCATCATAAACAAGCTAAGGAACGAAAATCTCAAGGATTTGTTGGGAACCCTCACGAAGGCAACTGACGGAGAGGTGACTGCAAGCCTGACGAAGATTGGACAAAAAGACGCAGAAAGCCTTACTGCCGCTAAAATTGCAGCAAAGCTTGCAGGCGAAAATGTGGACACATGTGACTCGGGCAAGAACGCGGATGCGAAGACGGTAGGGCTTTTAGGCCTTGAGTATCGTTCAGCAGCAGCTCCCCGCTAAAGTGAAAAACCTCCGCAACGCAGAACTAAAGCCCTGAGGTCCTCTGCCCATGCGAGGGGCTTCTATTGAAATTATATTGCTTTTGTGCTACACAGTATCCCGGACTTGTCATTCCATTCGCGCCGTCCACGCAGTTCGACTGCAACGCTTTGATCCAGGCGACTTACACGGCCGGACTCAACCACCTCAAACAGTCAGTTCTTTTTTATCTCATTCGTTTTCACCGGTGCCACAGTGCCTACACCTTTTAGCATGTATGTGTGTCGGAGTCCTGTGCTCACGTTAGCATGCACAAGGTGGCTGATCATTCTTAGTTCAAGAGTTTCTTCAAGTTATGCAGCTTGGTGGTGCTTGCCTCTGTCTCAGTATTTCCAAAAGATATTCTTGTTCTTCAATTATTCTGGTGTAAATCCCATCGTTTTCATGCTGCAGATCGAACTTCGGACCCTCAACGGGAACATATGACCCAGCAAAAGCGCCATTTGATAAAGTAGAGGCCAGTAATGTGGCGTTTCTGCTATCGGCGAAAAGCACAAAGGTCTCATGTGGCGCCACCAAGGACTGCAAAGCTGGCCACAACGTTTTATTCTGCTACTTCGTAGAGCCACTTCGAACTGGAGAAATGCCTTTCACGTGAGCTGAACTAGCAACGTGACTAGTCGGCAGCACAAGCGTTAGGGCACACTTGCAGATGAGTTACAGGGGCACGATATGTTGGGGAATGGGAATTGCAAAGTGTGATAAAGTTGATTACAATTATTGATCAACTTTGCTTGCAGAACCGAGCTGTACAATGCCCTCTGGGGATTGGGAAGCGCAGCGTTCGTTTCGTTTCCTAGCGTCGCAACTGTCCTATTGGTCCTAGCTCTGAGCATTCGGATTTGAGCTTAACAAACAAACGAAGGGAGAAGGTTCCGGAGATGTCGAAGTTGTACATATTCCGTTGACAGGCATTGCTGAATCGTTTAGAGGCCGGTTTTGGACCTCTAGTGCCAGGCACTGCAGGCGGCTGGTGAGGAAGAGCTTCGGCAAAATTGTAACATACGTTTCTCTTCCCACTGCATCTTAGTACTACTTCCTAGGTTGCGTTGAATGGATCAAATTTCCCTCCGTGTTGCGCACTTCCAGTGCGGAAACGCGGAAGCTGCTGCTCATGAAGTGAGTTGACTGCGCCCGCCCTGTTACCTTAGAATTGGCAGCCTTGGTCCTCTCCTGAAATGCATTTTAATTCAGAAGCGGGCAAAGTCCCGTACGAACACATATTGCATTGGCAGTTTGAGACGTCGTTTATTAAAAACATTTAATCGGCTAGACATGCTGCTGCAACTTTCGCTACCCAGAGTGTTTGTTACACATCTGACAAAGCTATTAGCAGCATATGTCAGCTGCACACCTGACAAAGCTATTAGCAGCAGCAGACAGAATTTCGATAATTTTAAACAGCCTATGTTTCTTGCCTACGTCTTCTTTTTGGGATCTCTGCTCAGCTGTGAGACAACGCATTTGCTTCGCTGTATCTGTTGCTGAAGTTCAGAAGAGACAAAGCCACGTTGAAAGGTTAATAATAAACCTGAGAAAACTAAAGACAACTCTGGACTTCGGGATGCAGTCATAATTTTACTAGCTTGTGTTTCGCTGCGTGATATTTCACTCCTGAGATTTTATGAGTGATTAGCTTGCATGCGTTCCTGCCGAAGCCCTGCACTGCAGCAGGCGCAGAAACCTCTTGAAAAGAAGAACACTCTCACGAATTAATAAGACACTAGAGCGTTTTAACTTCAAGTGCATGTAGAAGTTCTGGAAGGCAGGGTAAGCTCATTTGTTGTTTGTTATCCTAGAGGGCTCCACTACTTGTCAAGAACACACAGCACAACTTATAATTAAATTGCCACATCAGATCCTACCGGTCTTCACATTCTGTTTTCCCCACTTCCTTTTTTGTTTGTTATCATTTGCTTACCCTAAACCCTTAGCCCGAAGTGCCTCAAGCTCCCGTATAGACCCCACAGCGCTGCGGCTCTCTGGGGTGTCGTGGGGTTTCCCAGTGTACGGACACTCAGCAGCAACGCAGCATCAGCGCAACAGCAACGCAACAGCAACACAGCAGCAACGCAGCAGCAACGCAGCAGCAAGCTTACTGTCTCCTCATGCGCTCCCTGGGCTCCTGCGCTTCACAGAACCCACCCGACCAGCTAGCTAGCTCGCTAGCTAGCCAGCTAGTTAGCTAGCCAGACAGCCTGTTAGCCAGCTATCCAAATAGCTGGCTAGAGAAACACCTAGCTATCTAGCCGCCGACTAGTCAGCTAGTTGGGTTGCTAGTGGCTAGCCAGAAACTAGTGGCTAGCCACTAGTTTCTTGCCTTTCAAGCTGCTTGAGCATCTAGCTAAGGAACTGGCTTGCCCAAGACCCTAAACCCTAAACCCTAAACCCTCTAACTAGGGCGTCGGACTAGAAAGCCTCTCTCTATCCTGACGCCCGGAGTGAAAAGGGCATTTACTCCGTGCGGGTATGCACGTGACCGCCAAACCCTAAACCCTAAACCCTAAATCCTAAACCCCTGTTCGCCGCCAAGCCTGCAGCTTTCTGGCTGCAAATTCATAGCAGCCGCGCATCTCTTTGTCGCCGCCTGCAAAAGCAGCAACTGCAGCAGCAGCGGCAGCAGCAGGAGCAGCAGCAGCAAAGATTTTTCTAAACTTGCTCTCAATTTCACAAAGCGCCGCTGGGCATTGCGAGGCTCGAACTCGCGACCTTGGGATTATGAGACCCACGCGCTACCGACTGCGCCAAACGCCCGCGGGGGTCAGCCCTAAACCCTAAACCCTAAACCCTGAACCCTTGTCCCGCGTAGTACTAGGAGAGGGGCAAGCTGCAGCAAGCTAGCCGCAGTAGCCCGTCCATAGAGTCTGAAACAGCAGCAGCAACGCAGCAGCTGCAACAGCAGCAACAGCAGCTGCAGCAGCAGCTACTGATGCTGTTGTTCAGGGGCAACATTAGCTAGGGTTTGCTGCAGAGTAGTAGCAGAAAATGCAGCATCTTTCGTCTCCTATTCTCTCCCTGTACTTCTTGCTGCGCAGCAGCTCGCTGATCCCAGCGCTCCAGCAACAGCTAGCTAGCCAGTTAGCCAGCCAGCTAGCTACCTAGCTAGCTACATGGGCGGGTAGGTAGCCCCAGAGTGAGTTGTCGACAGGATGGCTAGCTAGCTAGCTAGCTGGCTAGCTAGCTACGCGATGTGTGGCTTGGGGGCAGCTTGCGTTCCTCTCTCCGAGCTGAGGGCGAATGGGCTGCAGGAACTGCCGACCCTAAACCCTAAACCCTAAAACTTAAACCCTAAACCCTTATTTCGGAACCAACGTACAGAATCAACTTGCAGCGCCCAATAGACAGAGCCAGCAGCTTAGCACAGTGCCGTTTATGTCCCAGAAATACTGGAGTCGTGAATGCGCTATTTATTAGGCGTTTCTCAGGGTTTAGGGTTTAGGGTTTAGGCTTTAGGCGTTAGGGTTTACGGTTTATGGCTCAGGGCTTGGCTGCTGCGGCGCGAGACAGCTGCGACAAAGGCGAAGTCAGTGGGGCTGTCGTCACCTGAAGATTATTAAATTCTGGCTATTCTATGTATTTAACTTTGAAATTAAGCTTGAGGAATTTAGGGTTTAGGGTTTAGGATTTGGGATTTATGGTTTAGGGTTTAGGGTTTAGGGTTAAGGGTTGGACGCAGTGCATGCTCTGGAGCGGCAGCTGCTGCTGCAGGGGATCTGTGCCTTTCAAGTAGCAGGCATAAGAGCTGCAGCAGCAGCAGCAAAAGTGACAGCAGCACCAACGGACGGTGCAGCGGCAGTACGGCAGCAACAGCAGCAGCAGTAGTAACAGCTGCACCATCCGCAGAGACAGCAGCACCGCCAGCAGCAGCAGCGGCAGCAGCAGCACCAGCAGCAGCACATCAGGGAACATACTGCATACCAGCTGCTATGTTTTCACCCGCTTTACGGACAGCTGCAGCTGCAGCAGCAGCAGCAGGTGCAGCAGCTCCTGGTGTCTCTGGTGCGCCGGCTTCGGCTGCTGCGGCGGCAGCGAGCGCAGCAGCAGCAGCAGCAGCAGCAAAGGCGCAGCAGCATGGGGCTTTGGCGACGCAGCAGAGACATTTTGGCTTCTTCGGCAGCCGCAAGGGACGGGAAGAAGCAGCAGCAGCAGGAATAGCAGCAAAAGGTGCAGCAGCAGCTGCGACAGCAGCAACGCGTGCCGCTGCTGCTGCTCCTCCTGCAGCCCCGAAAAGCCCTGCGAGCAGCAGCAATCCAACACCTTTGTCACGAGCAACTCCCAGCAGCAGCAGCAGCAGCAAAGGGGGGTTCTTCTCCTTCTTCAGCTCGCCAGCTGCAGCGCCAGCAGCAGCAGCAGCAGCAGCAAAGGACGCACGTACAAGCCCTCCAGCAGCTCCAGTGAGTCCGCCTGCTGCTGCGAGGCCCCTTTCTTCAGTCGACAAGAGCAGCAGCAGCAGCGGCAGCAGCAGCAAGAACAGCAGCAGCAGCAAGAAGACTCGTGTGCCGCTGCTGCAGCGACTGAAGTATTTCGGCTTCGGCTTTTTTGCTGCTGGAACTTTGTCGCTGCTGTTGCTGCAGCAGCAAGTGGAGGACAGCAGCAACGCAGCGCTGCAAGCAGCAACAGACGCAGCAGCGCGCGTTTCGGCTCTTGAGAATAGAATCGACCACGTGCAGCAGCAACAGCAGCAAAGACACTGGTAGCAGTAGCTGCTGCAGCAGCTGCTGCAGCAGCAGCCAACTGCTGCCTGCTTTTGGGCTCTCTGTACGCTGCACGCTGCAGAGCCCAACTCTTTGCTTTAGCCTTTCGCCACCAAAAGCACATCCCACACAGTAGCTAGCTAGCCAGCTAGCTAGCTAGCTAGCTAGCTAATCAGCTAGTTAGCTGACTAGCTAGCTGGCTGGCTAGCAATCTGGCCAGCTAGCTAGCAGGTTATCTGGAGAGAGAAGCAGCAAACTAGCTGCTGTACTAGGTACGCAGCTAGCTACAGCTAGCTAGCTAGTTGGCCACCTGGCTCAGCACCTAGTGTTGCTGGTGGCTAGCTGGCTAGCTAGTTACCCATCTAGCTAATGCTGGGCGCACCCCCGGCCGGACGCCTAGCCAGCTAGCTAGCTAGCTAGCTAGCTTGGCAAGTGGCTAGCCAGCTAGCTAGCTAGCTAGCCAATCGTCTACACAGCGGCAGGCCCTCCATTCCCTACGTGGCTAGTCACCGCAGAGCGGAGTCGGCCAGCCAGCCATCCAGCTAGCTATCCAGCCAGCTAGCTAGCTAGCTAGCCAGCTCGCTGGAGAGCTATAGCTAGCTAGCTGGCGCTCCCGCACAGCTCACCCAGCTAGCTAGCCATACCATGCACCTAGCTAGCCCGCTGCGCCCACAGCTAGCCACTCAGCTCGACTGGAAGCTAGCTAGCTAGCCGCAGAACTTTCTATAGCAGCAAGGGCTGCAGCAAACTCATATCCACGAGGCAGCAGCTAGCTAGCTGTCTAGCTAGCTAGCTGGCTAGCTAGCTGGGTGGACGCTGGGCGCTTCTCGTTTGGTGCTGCTTCAGCACAGTTCGAGTTGTGGGTAGAGGAAAAGCTGTGCAGCAGCAGCAGCAGCGGCTGCTGCTGCAGCGACTGACCCACCGCAGCAGGCGGGTATGCAGCAGCAGCAGCAGCTGCTGCTGCTGCTGCAGCAAAGACGGCGTGAGCCGTCGACAGCCGCATAAAGTAAACACAAGTGCACATACGTGCGCTAGAGCAGCAGCTGCTGCTGCAGCTGCTGCAGCCGCAGCAACAGCTGCAGCAAGAGCTGCACCAACGGCTGCAGCAGCAACTGCCGCAGCAGCAGCAGTCGCCGCAGCAGCAGGTATAGATAAGAATTGAAACTGTAGCAGCACCAAATGCAGACACGGAGCCGTGGGGTCTTGTGCTGGCACTAGGGATCTAGCGTTGCTGCTCCAAGCTCTGCTGCTGCTGCTGCAGCAGCAGCAGCAGCCTCACTGCCGCCGCCTCTTGTCTAGGTCAAAGGGCCTCGGGGGCATTGGCTGTGGGGTTTGGGCTGTCTCCCTTCCCATGCGGGGCCCCAGTCCTGTTTTGCTGCTGCCTGCTGCTGCTGCTGCTGCTGGCGTGTCAGCAGCAAAGACCTTCTTGTTGCCGCGCCTGCTGCGGCTGCGCCGCCGGCAGCAGCAGCTGCACAGCATGCGGCAGCAGCGCAGCAGCAAACAGCCCGCCATATAAGCAGTCGCCAGCAGCAGCAGCAGCAGCAGCAGCCGCCCCTGGATGTCTGCCGGCACCATTGGCCGCAGGTGGGGCTGCTGTACGTACACCGCAGCAAGGGCCGCGTCCAGCTGCTGGTTTGCTGCTGCTGCAGCTCTTGCTGCTGCGCTGCTGCCAGTCTTCGCCGCCCAAGTTGCCGCTGCTACAGCGTGCGGGTGTACGTACGCGTAGTAGAAGTCCTTGGTCGTTTCCACATAGGGCTCGAGGTGTACGTACACCTTTCCCAGCTGCTCGCCTGCTGCTGCTGCTGCTGCTGCTGTTTGCTGCTGCACTGCATCGCGCACACTCAGCGGTATAGCAGCAACTGCTGTTTCAACAGCAACAAGGTACATTTGACCCAAGTCGGAGGCAACATCTTTGACCTTGTCCAGGGTGCCTGCTGCTCCGCTCTGCTGCTGCTGCTGCTGCATGCGCTGCAGCTGTTTCTGCGCCGTGTGCAGCTGGTCGCGCAGGTCTTCTGCTGCTGCCTCCTGCTGCTGCGTCTCCTGCTGCTGCTGCCGCAGCTTCGCCTCCAGCTCTGACTTGACTTTGAGCTCCTCGTTTAGGCGGGTGCGGAGGGCCTCAGTCTGCTGCTGCTGCTGCTGCTGCTGCTGCTGCGTCTGCTGCTGCAGCCGCGTCGTGCACGCAGCAAGGGCTTCCTCGTGCTTCTGTCTAAACGACAGCAAATCGCTCTCCGCATTTTCAGCCCTTTGTTCTGCATAAGTCAGCTTCTTTTGGCAAGCCTCGAGATCGCTGCTTCCCGCTGCTGCTGCTGCTGCTGCTGCGGGTTTTTGCTGCTGCTGCGGCGCCGCCGGCGCCGCAGCAGCACCTGCGGGGGCCGCCGCCGCGTCTGCTGCTGCGCCCTCCTTTGCTGTTGCTGCAGCACAGACACTGGAGAGCAGCAGCAGCCCGAGCAGCAGCAGCCGCCGATGCTGCGCGAGCAATGCACACATGCTGTTCAGGTGTATGCACACCACAGGGGGAAGAGTTGCTGCAGGTTTCTGCTGCAGCGGCTGCAGTCTTGCCTGCAGCACCAATAGAAAGGCAATAGATGAGGCGAAAGGCACCAAGGGCGCACCAGCAGCAGCAGCAGCAGCTGCAGCAGCAGCAGCAGATGCCACGGAAGGCAACAGCAGCAAACTCAAATCGCGTGTCTCTTCTCCGTTGATAGTTGCAAGCAACTGCAGCAGAAAAAACAAAACCTTTTACCTCCTAGGGAGTCCTTCTGCAGCAACGTCAGCAGCAGCTGCTGTTGGTGGCGCTGCTGCTGCTGCTGCCACCCCCCAAAGCGCCGCAGCCGCTGCCTCCGTGCTGGTTGCTCGGCAGCCGTTGCTGCTGCTGGTGCTGCTCCACGCGGGATTTTCCCCTTTGTTTTTTAGTTATTTATTTATAAGTATCATTCGTAATCTATTTTAATTTCTAAGCTTTTATCTCTATCTTTGAGTGTCTGTCCGCCCCGGTTCCCATGCAGCAGCAGCAGCAGCAGCCGCAGCAGCAGCAGTGTACTATGCGCGCTTGTTAGCAGCGTTCGGTTCTTCCTCTTTGCTCCCTTTATTTAGTGTTTGATATTTATTTGTATATTTATTTGTCTCTTTGTTTTATTTGCCTGTATGTCAACTGTCTTTGCCTTCGTCCACTTCGTCCTTCGGCTACTGCTCCCACCGGCCAGTGCTCGCACCACGGGGCAGTCCACGAAACTCCGTCTTTTTTGCATTTTTCGCCGATCTTCAGTGGCTCCTAATCTTTGACTAACCATTTAACATTAATTGAATAAAAATCCTGGGCGCAGGAGCTCCTTTTTGCCCCCCCTTGGCAATATTCAGTGCAGGAAATAAGCACTGGACTTGGCAGCTACACTTTGTATCTGCATTCTGTAGACACGGGGAAGCCTCGGGGTGTACAGACACCCCAGGCGCTGCAGCAAAACTCCCTCTGCCGCTGCTGGCCATTTGCAGCAGCGCCAGTACTGCTATTTTGGAGATAAAGCTGCTGCTGTTTGTGGCCTAAGACACGCGAACGCGCTAGAGGCCTCATTAATTATCTTTTTAATTAAATGCGAAAAGCCAAAAAGACGCAACTTGCAGAAAACTAGCGGATTAGAAGATTTGCAATTTGCACTGCGGGCTGAGCTGCGGATACACCTGAAATGCACGTTTCAGAAGATCTTGCAAGTAGCAGCTAAGGATCGAGGGAAGCTTGAGTAAACTTAAGTTATTTTAATTATTTTTCCTTTCTAAACTCTTTTTAATCATTTTATTTTGTGTCCCAGTAAAAAAGGCTCTTCAAACAGTGCAAGAAATCACTGGAGGTCGTGACCGGGCGAGGAAACAGGCAAAGGAACTAATTAGATTATTTCCTTTTTCAGGTTGGAATTCCTTTTTTAGATCTCAAAATTTAAATGATTTTATTTTTTCTTTGCAAAATGCTTTTAAGTCTTCTGCAGCAAACTAGTAGCCCCTGGCAAAGGGGCTGTTAGTTTGCACCAAGCCTGCTGCTGCGGCCTCTTGAGGACAAGCCAAACTGCCCGCAGGACACTTTCTGGGTTGCTGCTGTTGCTGCTGCTGCTGCTGCTGCTTCGCATCAGCAGCAGCCACAAAAGGCTTTGCTGCACTTGGGCCTTAGCCGTATCCCCAGCTACGGCGCTGCAGCAGGGCCCCTCCTTAGCAGCAAAATGGCCCCCCATGCCCCCATTTCTTTGCATTTGACCCCCTCAAAGTTCCCAACTTGAAGACAAATATCTTTAAATTGAGGCAAAGTGCCAAGTTTGCAAACCCTTAAGGGAGACCACTGGTCACTGGCTGTAGTCCTCGCCTGGGCCGCCTGGGCCGCTGGTCTTTGCTGCTGAGGCCGCAGCTGTGGGGCTTTTCAAGTATGCATGCATGCAGCAGCAAAAGCCAGTTTTTTGACATAAAAGAACAAGTAACAGTTCATATTTGGAATTAAATAACTTTAATGAAGTACTTCATTGAAATGCAAGTTCCTTCAGCCCCCGGAGTTGTACCCAGGCTAAAGCGGGGGCCCCCTGGGGGCCCCCCTAGTTATAAGGGGGGCCCCCAGGGCCAAAATGGGGCTTTGCTGCTTCATGCATTAAAGTTTGAAGTTAATTTTATTTTTGTGGGGCCCCGTGAGCGAGCAGCAGCAGAAGGAGGTCTGGAGTTGCTAAAGAATTGCGAAAAGACTGAAATTGGGACTTTTTAATTCAAATCAAATAAAAGAGACTTTTAAAATGAAATAAATCTTTTTTAATTAAATAAATCTTTTTAATAAAAGACTCAAGAAATTACCCAGGACTCAGCCCCAGAGAATCCCGGGGTCAGCCCGGGGCCCCACTAGTACTTTCTTTAACAGCAAAAATAACAAAAAAAGGAACTTCATACTTATTAGTATTAAAACTATTTTCCAGAAATCATTAATATCATTATTATTATTATTATTGTTATTATTATTATTATTTAAATTATTACTTCAGAAATATTCAGCAAAGGCGGAGTCTTTCTTTGCCGGAGTTCTGTGGGTATCAAAGAGCCCCACAAAGCCTTTAAGAACTACGCAGGTATTAATAAATATAAATATACATATTAATATAAATATAAATATAAATATAAATATAAATATAAATATAAATATAAATATAAAATATATATCTACGTACACGTCTGGGCCTGAAAACAAGCAGAACTGCAAAAGCTGGCGGCTGCAGCAGCAGCAAAAAGAGAAATAAAATCGACAGAAAAAAGATTTTTAGGTCTTTTAAATTCTGAAAGGCTGCAGCAAATAATAAATAAAGATGTGGGATTTCAGAAGCTCCAAAAAACAAAAAGAATAATTGCTTCTTCTGCAAAGTTTCTAAAATTTCCCCAGCCCTTGGTAGCTGCGCAGCAGCGCAGCAGCGCAGCAGAGCAGCAGCAGCCAGGGGCTGCTGCAGCTGCTGCAGCAGCAGGCCTATTTTAGGGCTTTTCAGAAAGAAAAAAGAGACAGGAGACTGTCTCCGCAGCAGGTATCATTTCAATAAATAAATAGATGAAGAAGAGAAATAAAAGAAAATGGAGAAGAGCAAGAAAATGGTGAAGCGGGGCTCCTAGGGCAGCTCCTAACTCGCTCTCAATTCTTTTATTATTCTTTCTTTTTAATTTTAATTAATTAAATCAATTAATTAATTTATCATTCTGATCGCCGGCTGCAGACAGCAAGGAGCAGCAGGGCCGCAGGCCAGCACCAGCAGCAGCAGCAGCAGCAGCAGCTGCTGCTGCTGCTGCTGCTACCTCGCCTCACAGCGCCGGCCTCGTGTGGTTACCGCCGGCCAGCAGCAGCAGCATCAGCAACAGCAGTAGCAGCAACAGCAGCAGGATAAAGTGCGCAGCTGTAAACAAAAGACAAAAACCCGTTTCTGGTGCTGCAGCTGTCGGTGCTGCTGCAGGCGTCAGTGTGCTGCACTTGCCCATTTAAATTATTTCATTTTAGATAGTTAGCCAATATTTGTAAACTTTACTTAATTCCAAATTATACTGCGCAGCAGCAGCAGCAGCAGCAGCAGAATGTGCTGCTGCCCCCCAGACGCGCTTTACCAACATGAAAGCGACTCTATTTCTGCTGCATAGACAAAATGGAATATGATTTTTTTGTTTCTTAAAAGCCAAAGAGGTGTAGAGAAAGGGCTGCTGCAGCTTCCTGCTGCAGAAAAGATTGCTAACAGAAAGCCTGAGGCCAGAAACAGAAACAAAAAGCAGCAATTCCTCCCCAGCCGCAGCCACTCAGCCTGAGCTGCAGCAGCAGCAGCCCTAAGAAGACAGCAGCAGCAGCAGCAGCTCGAAGCAGACAGCGGCCGCAGCGGCAGCCAGATCGCCGCAGCTAAGCATTGAGGGGCCCCTGGGGGGCCCCCAGGGGTCCCCGGGGGCCCCAGGGAGCCCCCAGGGGCCGCCAGCGTATAGACCGTTACCCGCAAACGTGTGTAGTGCTGTAGTGGGACTTTGCTGTAGCTCCATGGTGCTCGCCTCTATACGGTGATTGCCTGGGAAGTTCTCATCTCTGAGCAATAAAAGGAGTAAAACATTAAAATAAAGCTCATTTTGGATTGAAACAATAAAATAAAACTCATTAGGGATTGAAATATTCGAAGAAAACACCCTGCACTCCTATGGATGCACTGGTGGGCGTCTACAGTAGGATGCTGCAGGCGCCGGGGGTTGCTGCAGCGAATGTTTGCGCAACCAGCTCTAAATCTCTTTTTATCTTTCGAATTTATTCCTATTTTAATTTCAACTGTTTTTCAATAAAGCATTTGACTTCCGAAGGCTGTTTCTCTGCAGCTCTGGAGCACCGCGTCCTCCAGCAGCTGCTCTGCTCGCCGCTACTGCTGTTGCGGGTGCTGCTGCAGTTGCTGTTGTTGCTGCTGCACTGCCTAAGGAAAGTGTGTTCCTTCCAAGCTGGGAAGAATAGAAATAAATTTATTTTTTAAAATTAAAGAGCAAAACAGAAAGGGCAGAGATCTCACAGAAGAGGAAGTCCAGCCGCATGCAAGAAGAGCAGCAACAGCAGCCCCGGAAGCAGCAGTAGCAGCCGCCTCCCAAATTGCTGCAGCAGCAGCAGCGACAGCGGAGACAGCCGCAGCAGCAAAGTTGCAGTGTTGTGTCTTTAGCCTAATTGAGGCCGACGCAGCAGAAAGCACAGGGCGTAGGAGCGCAGCCAGAGGACGCGGAGGAGGAGGGGAAGCAGCATCGGCAGCAGGAGCAGCAGCAGCAACAACAGCAGCAGCAGCAGCGGCTGTACAAACGTCAGCAAGATGGCGCCCCCGGAGTCGGCTGCCTCCCCCAGGGAGAACGACGAGGCGAGGCAGCAAGTCGAAAGGGAGGCAGCAGCAGCAGCAGCAGCAGGAGGCGAAGCAGAAGCAGCAGCGGGAGCAGCATCCGAAACAGCAGCACCAGCAGCAGCAGCAAATGGAAAGAGTCCACTACATGACTTGTGGAAAAAGAACGAGGCGAAGGCGAAGCGCGTGGTGAAGCTGCTGCGCCGGAAACGGCAGAAGCAGCAGAAGCGGCAGCAGCAGCAGCAGCAGCAGCCGGAGGACGAGGGCGCAGCAGCAGGCAGGCAGAAGGCGGAGCTTCTTGCTGCAGTGCCGCTGCGCAGCAAACAGCGCGATCTGCTGCTGCCAGTGGGCCGCAACAAAAAGCTGAAGAAGAAGCTCGAGTTGCTGCTGCAGGTAAACCCTCAAGATGCAGAAACGGAAAGCGAAGAAGAAGACGGCGAGGAAGACACCGACAGCGACGAGGAGCAGCAGCAGCAGCAGCAGCAAGATGTAGAAATTGAATTTGTTCCTGCGAAGGAAGCAGAAGGTGCCGAAGGGCTCATTGCGCAACTGGCTGAAGCCTTCTCGGATGTTTTCGAGAAGTTCAGTTCGCAGCTGCAGCCGGAGGAGCAGGTAACTTTTAATTAATTTAATTTATTTGTTTAATTTAATTAATTTAAAACAATAAGAAATGAATCAAGTTTTGATTTAATTCGCGCTTTATTCGGTTCCTCTCCGCGCCTTTGTTCCGTTGGCGGCCCCAGCAGCAGCAACTGCAGCTGCCGCTGCTGCTGCTGCTGCAGCTGCTGCTGCAGTGGCTCTAGTAAGGAGGAATGCACACAACGGCAGCAGCAACTGTAGCAGCAAGTTTTGATTTAATTCGCGCTTTATTCGGTTCCTCTCCGCGCCTTTGTTCCGTTGGCGGCCCCAGCAGCAGCAACAGAACTGGTTTATGTTGGCTTTAATTGATGAATTAGTATCAACCAATTTGTTTTGAATTTGTTTTAATTTGTTTTAAAAGTGTGTATAAATTTTAATCCATTCCAATCCATTTAAACCCATTTTAATCCATTTAAATCCATTTAAACCCATTTTAATCCATTTAAATCCATTTAAATCCACTTATCTGAATTAAAATCCACTTCAATTCACTTAAGTTGACATGAATTTATTTGAATTAAATTAAATGCACTTAAATTCACTGGACTCCATTCAAATCGCTTTGAATCCACTTTAATTCATTTGAACCCGCTTAAACCCAGTTGAATTTATTTTTCTCCACTTGCATCCATATAAGTTTTTTGAACTAATTCAAATCCACTTGAATTCATTTAAATATGTTTTAATTCATTTAAATGGATTCAAATGAATTCGAATTATTTGGAATTCAGAGCCATTTTCTGTCGAATTGGGAGGAAAGTTTCGGAGCGTTTTGAATTGAATTAAAAAAGAACAAGCTGAATGAAAATTAATTGAAACTAAATTGAAATTAAAAGGAATTCAATAAAATGAATTCACTAAAATGAATGGAAACGAATTGAAACTAAAGTTGAAGTGAATTGAAGTGCAACTCGAAGTGGACCTGAATTCAAGTTAGAATTGAGTTCAAATCGAAGCAAAATGCAGCGAAAATAAATTGAAATGAATAAATATGAATGAAAAGTATTAGAAATGAATTTAAAAGGATAGAATTGAATTGAATTATATCAAAATGGTCGGAGTTGAGTCGGAGTGAATCGGGTTGAGTCAAAATGAATGGAAGTGAATCGAAATGCACGAAACTGAATTGAAGTGAACGAAACTGAACAAATATAATTAAAATTGGATCGAAATGGAACAAAATGTGTCGAAATGAGTGAGATTGAATTAAAATAAGTGAAATTGAATTCAAATGAATGAAATTGAATTCAAATGAATAAGTTGAATCTGGTGAGTGGAATTGAACCGAACTGAATCGAAACCGAACCGAATTGCATCGAAACTGAGTCGAACTTGAATCGAAATGAATTGAACTGTCTGGAAATGAATATAAATGATTAAAAGGAGCGAAGCGAGCGGCAACAGGCCCTGAGAAGTTCGGAAAACGGGGGAGCTGTTGGGAAAAATTGAACTTGGATTCAAATGGATCTTTGCAGGCCGAGGCGGAGGAAGAAGAGGAAGAAGAGGGCGAGGCGGCGCGGGAAGAAGTGATGGGGTTCGAGTCGGGGTCTGAAGAAGAAGAAGAAAAGAAAGGAAAGCGGGAAACCCGGAAGAAGCTGCGGCAGCAGCAGCGGCCTTCAGTTTGCTGCCTCAAGCAGCAAACCGCCCGCCCAGACCGCATCGAAGTCTGGGACACCACTGGCGCCGACCCTTTCTTTTTGGCTTTTCTAAAAGGCCTCCGAAACGTCGTGCAAGTTCCGCAGCACTGGTCGCAGAAGAGGCGCTACTTGCAGTGGAAGCGGGGGTTTGAGAAGCCCCCCTTCAAGCTGCCGCGTGAGACCCAGGGTTTAGGGTTTAGGGTTTAGGGTTTGGCGTCTACGCAGGCGCCGAGTCGGGTCTACAGAGGCGCCTTTAGCGAGGGTTTAGGCGCTTCGCAGCGAGGGGTTGAGCCGAGGGTTTTAATTGGGGTTTAGGGTGAGGGTTCAGGGTTTACGGTGAGGGTTTAGCGCGAGGGTTTAGAGCGGGGGTTTAGGACGAGGGTTTGGGGCTTGAGGCAGAAAAATGTGAAACGCCTATCAAGCTGCCCCGCGGATTTGAGGGGTTTGAAATTGGTTTGAGCTAGGGTTTAGAGCGTGGGTTTGTGGCTAGGGTTTACGCCAAGAGCTGATCACTAGGGTTTTAACTAGGGTTTGGTGCGGGAGTCTTTGTCGCTGCTCTGCCGCTGCTGCTGCTGCTGCAGCTGCTGCAGCTGCGTGGCTTACCGCTGCAGGACCTGTGCTACCGCTTGCGCCACTGCTGCCGCTGCTGCTGCTGCTGCTGCTGCTGCTGTTTTTGGTCGAAATTGAGTGGTTTTTTAGCTAAATGAATTGCTTTTTTTGCGCATGCAGCCCACATTGAAGCCACGAAGATTTCAGAAGTCCGAGCAGCTCTAGTGGAAGCTGAAAAACAAAAAACTATGAGGCAGCGCATGCGCGAAAAAGTCCGGCCCAAGGCCAACCGCCTCACAATTGACTATCAGGTAATTTCCATTTTTTCGACTTTTCCCCCGTACCCTTTTTTCGCCCGCATTTTAGTGCCAACTTTTCGATCCATTTGTGCCAATTTATTGGTCTTTTAATGCCAACTTTTTGATCCATTTGTGTCAATTTATTGGTCTTTTAATGCCAACATTTTGATCCATTTGTGCCAATTTATTGTTAATGCCAATTTGTTGGTCTTTTAATGCAATTTTCGTGGTCCATTAGTGCCAAATTTTGGGGGTTTTGGGCTGTTTTCTGAGTTTTCAAAGCCTTTTTAGGGTTTATAAACCCTCGTTCTACCTTAGGTTCAAGACGGGCGTTTGGGCGTCATTTTTCTGGCGGTCGGGGAAACCCTAATTTAGGGTTTAGGGTTTAGGGTTTGGGGTTTTGGCTGCAGGTGCTGCACGACTGTTTCTTCAAGCACGCTGTGAAGCCCCCCCTGACTAAAATGGGGGATTTGTATTATGAAGGAAAAGAGTTTATGCAAACAAAAAGAAATATAAAACCCGGAAAGCTTTCCGACAGACTCAAGGAGGCCCTCGGCATGGGGCCCCTCTCGCCGCCCCCCTGGCTGCTCAACATGCAGAGGTCAGCCTTTAGGGTTTAGGGTTTAGGGTTTGAGGGCTTTAGTGGCCAGGGGGCGGCTGCCGGCGGGGCCGGGGCCCGGGGTTTGGGGGTTGAGGGGTCGCGGTGTGGGAAGGGTTTAGGGTTTAGGGTTTAGGGTTTAGGGTTTGGCAGGGTGGCACGTGGGCGTGTGCGTATTGGTCCCCGTTTTGGGAGCTTAGCGGCTCGCGGGGTTGGTGCCTGTGGACCGCTTCGCATGCCGCAGCGTGTAGGGTTTAGGGTTTAGGGTTTAGGGTTTAGGGTTTGCGCAGGTACGGGCCACCGCCGGCGTACCCGCGTTTGCGGCTTCCGGGGCTGAACGCGCCCATCCCCGCGGGGTGTACGTACGGCTACCAGCCCGGGGGGTGGGGAAGACCTCCTGTCGATGAAAATGGATCATTATTATTTAAATTAGAAGAAGATTTGGAAGAAGGAGAAGCAGAAAACGAAGACCTCGAGGCCTCCGAGAGCCTGTGGGGAGAGCTGCCCCCCGACGCGGAGGCGCCCCCCGAAGAGGAGGAGCCCGGTACAAACCCTAAACCCTAAACCCTAAACCCTAAGCCCTGGGCCCTCTTCCCGCGCTGCCCGCAAACCCTAAACCCTAGCAGCGGGACCTGAAGACCTCGGAAACCCTAGGGCGATTCCCTGGACGCAAGACACGCACCCTCAGTGCTACTTGACTCCTAAACCCTAAACCCTAAACCCTCATTTTGGGCTGTGCTGCTGTCCTGTTGCTGCAGAGACAGAAGGCTCAGCAGAGGGGCAGCAGGTCAGAGGTTTTCTTTTTAGAGTTTCTTTTTTATTTTTATTTTTATTTATTTTCTTTTTATTTTCTTTTTTGGTTTCTTTTTGTCTTTATATCCTTTTAGTTTTCCTTTTCCCTTTTTACGTCCTTCTGTACTTTTTCTTTTTACTTTTTTTTCCTTTTTATCATCTTTCTCTCTCTCTTTTTGGAACTGCATCAACGGCGATTATTGAATTTAATTTAAATTCATTTCAAGTTTTTTAATTTATTCTTTTTGATTTACTTTATACTTTTACACTTTTGGTCAAAGGCCTTAACACGCAGCCAAGCAGCAAAACCCGCTTAAAAAGTACAATTCACAACTCCCGCTGCTGCTGCTGCTGCTGCTGCTGCTGCTGCAGCAGCCGACAGCAGAGACGCCGTTTGGGGGCACGTCGAGCGTGGGCCTGACGAGCATGGGCCTGGAGTCTCCTGCTTCTCTGGAGCTGCAGCAGCTGCAGCAGCAGCAGCGGGGAGGTGTCTCCTCTGTTGCTTCTTCGGGCCCGAAGGCCTACACTGTACTGACACCTGAGGAGACACAAGTGCAGCAGGGGCAGCTCTTCGGAGTCCGCCACACCTACAGGATTCCCGCGGGGGCTTTGGCGGGGCAGCAGCAGCAGCAGCAGCAGCAGCTGCTGCAGCAGGGAGGCGCCTCAGGTGTACAGACACCCGCGGGCATCGCCACGCCCAGACTCCTCAGCGGCAGGGCCTCCCCTTTTGTTGCAGGGCTTAGGAGTCCCTTTGCTCCTGCTGCTGCTGCTGCAGCAGCAGCAGCAAGTGGCGCCAACACGCCCCTCATGGCCCAGCGGGGAGGAGCAGCAACTCCTGCTGGAGTCACTGTCTCCCTCAACCCCAACGAAATGGGTAAGGCCCCGTGCTGCTGCTGCACGCGCTGCTGCTGCTGCTGCACGCGCTGCTGGTGCTGCTGCACGCGCTGCTGCTGCTGCTGCACGCGCTGCTGCTGCTGCTGCACGCGCTGCTGCTGCTGCACCTGCTGCTGCTGCTGCTGCTGAGCTTCCTGATGCAGCTGTTGCTGTTGCTGCAGTTGCTTTCAGCAGCACAGTTGGCTGCTTCTTAAAACCCAGATTCAGTTAATTAATTTATTTATTTTAAATTTATTTTTTATTTTCAGAGCAAGAGGGAGCCTTCACTGCTGACGTGATTCGCCAGCAGCTGCGGCAGCACGAGGAAGCAGCAGCAAGAGCAAAAGCAGCAGCAGGACAGATAGACCCAGCAGACCGTGAGCTGCTGCTGCTGCTTCTGCTGCTGCATCTGTTGCTGTTTCTGCTGCTGCCGGTTCGCAGCTCTTTGTGTTGTGGGTCTTGTTGTTTTCTCATTTCTCCCTCCCCGTGGTTTTAGGGTTTAGGGTTTAGGGTTTAGGGTTTGTGGTTTCAGAGCGCAAGAGGAAAGGAGACGAGCTGCGGGGAGTATCGGCAGCTGCAGCGAAATCGAAGAGGAAGAAGCAGTTCAAGTTTTAAGGTCTTTATTTATGTATTTATTCATTGTTTATTTGTTTGTTTGTTTGTGGTATAAACGGGGAACAAATGCTGAATAAAAAGGAGTAAAAAAGCCAAAAAAAAGAAAAGTAAACTGAAAATTCAGAACAGGAAAAACTTGATCGGGGTTCAGGTGTACGTACAGACACCCGGGGAGGCTGCCGGCGGCGAATCTTTTGAGTTTCTTTCTTATCTTTTGTCCTTTTCTCTTTTGTTTGTCCTCAATGGGGAATTCTAGGGACTCTAGAGCCCAGACAGAAGTGCATTTGACGCGAATCGGCGAAGAAATCGCCGAAAATGGTCTTTTTATTCTGCCGATGGGTGGCTCCGTGGCCGCAGAACCGCGGAAAGTGGCATGTTTAAGGGCAATTGGGAGAAACTGCAGACGAACAAATCTATTTAACTCAAATAAACAAAAAGAGGAACTCGAGAGACGCAAAAAGATGCAAAAAAGCTGCACAAACCCTAAACCCTAGAGCGCAAACCCTAGACGCTGCGGCCGCGGAGTCTTCGACTGCTGCTTCCTTCGTTTGTCTGGTAATCTATTTACTCATTTTATTTATTCATTTTATTTAGTTTATTTATTTATTTACTTAATCTATTTGTTTATTTATTTTGGATTTATCTCTTTTCGAGTCAATTCGTGGGCGCGCTAGACGGTCAGCTTTGCTGCTGCCTGTCCTGAGGCTAGACCCTCCCAAACCCTAAACCCTAAACCCTAGCGAGAGGGCCTCCTCTTTGGCTCTTTGGCTCCTTTTTAAATTAAATTAAATTAATTAATTTATTTTTATTTCCAAACATTTGAGACTTGCACAGCAGGTACAGGAAAGCCCCATTGCCCGGCGGCGACACACACCAACCCCACCAAAACCCTAAACCCTAAACCCTAGGCCCTAAACCCTAAACCCTTAGCCCTGACGCTTCCAAGCCCTTGGCTCTTCATTTTTTTGTCATTATACTCTAAAACATTGGCGGCATCGGCAGAATTCGGCGGCTGAGACGCCAGCCCTAAACCCTAAACCCTAAACCCTAAACCTTAAACCCTCGTTCTAGATTGCTTATAGAGGATGAGGGTCACTTAGAGGCTCCTTCAAATCCAGCTGTAACGCCCAGCGTGCCCCGAGCTCTACGCGCTAAACCCTAAACCCTAAACCCTAAACCCTAACAATGGTGCTAGTAAGGAGCCCCAAACGCCCAGTGCCGTCTGGCAGCGGCAGCAGCAACGAGACGCAGCAGCAGCAGCAGCAGCACCCTAACAAAATTCCTGCTGCTTCCTCATACGTCCGCAGCCGCACAGCCTCAGCAGCAGCAGCAGCAGCAGCAGCAACAGCAGCAGCTGCAGAAGCCCGCAGCAGGGCCGGAAACGCTTCTACTCGACAGCAGCAGCAGCAGCAACACCATCAGCAGCAGCACCACCACCATCACCAGCAGCACCACCTGAAGCAGCAGCAGCAGCAGCAGCAGCATCAAATCGCCCCCAGTATTATTTCACCGTTACCGGCGCACCCAGGTTCTGCCTCTTCTGCCCCTAAAGATTCTGCTGCTGCTGCTGTTGCAGCTCCAGCAGCAGCAGCATCAGCAGCAAGTGACGCATCAGAGCCACAACAGCAGCAAGAGCCTCTCAAGCGTTTGTCTGCTCAGGATGAATTGCTGCAGCCGTACCTGCAGTTGCAGCAGCAGCAGCAGCAGGAAGAGGAGCAGCAGCAGCAGCAGCAGCAGGAAGAACAACAGGAAGAAGAGCACCAGGAGCAGCAGCAGCAGCAGGAAGAAGAGCAGCAGCAGCAGCAGCAGCAGGAAGAAGAGCAGCAGCGGCAGCAGCAGCAGCAGCAAGAAGAACAGGAACACCAACAACAACTGCTGCAGCAGCAACTGCAGCAGCAGCAAGAGGAATATGAGGATGAAGTCGTGGATGGCGTCCCGAGAAGTGCTGCTGCTTTCCGCCACCAGTGGCAGCAGCAGCTGCAGCAGCTGCAGCAGCAGCTCGGGTGTATGGACAGCGAGCAGCAGCAGCTGCAGCAAACCGTGGCCTTGGAGCAGCGCTCAACAGCAGCCATTCGGAGCGCGGCCGCGCTGCTGCAGCAGCAGCAGCAGCAGCGGCAGCAGCAGCTGCAGCTGCAGCAGCAGCAGCAGCAGCGCGCGCAGCAGGAGCACGAGGCCTCAGAGAGCCGCTTTGTCTCTATCCACACTGAAGCAGCAGCAGCAGCAGGGGGGACTGAGCTGCTGCAGCGGCGGCTGCAGCAAACTCAGGAAAAGAAGCAGCAGCTGCAGCAGCAGCAGCAGCAGAAGCACGAGCTGCTCTTCGCCCTCAGCAAAACAGAGTACAAGGCGCGGCAGCTGCAGCAGCTGCTGCAGCAGCTCAAGCAGCAGCAGCAGCAGCACCTAGACGAGCTGCATCAGCAAGAGCTGCTGCTGTCTCTTGCTACTCGCTTCAAGATAACAAAAATCAGCAGCAGCAGCATCACAGGCTTAACAGTGCCAGACCAGCGGCCTGCTGCTGCTGCTGCTGCTGCTGACAGAGCAGCAGGCCTCAATGCTGCAGCAGCAGCAGCAGCTGACCGCAGCAGCCTGGAAGGGGACCTCACAGAATGCGCGTCCATTGTGCAGCTGGAGTTGCCGCAGCAGCAGCAGCCGCAGCAGCAGCAGCAGTCCGCAGCAGCAGCAGCAGAGCCCTCGGAAGCAGCAGAGCTGCTGTGGCAAGAGCTGCTGCAGCGCTCTCTTGCTGAAGATAGACACGCAGCTTTTGTGCTGCAGCAGATACGAGAGGCTTGCCTCTCCTAAACCCTAAACCCTAAACCCTAAACCCTGAGCCGTCATAAACCCTAAACCCTAGGCACCTCTGTCTAGCTAGACACAGAGGCGCTGCAGGTGCCAGCTAGCCACGGACCTCGCCAGCTCCACCGCTACAGCTGCTGCTGCTGCTGCTTCTGCTGCTGCTGCTTCTGCTCCTGCTGCTGCTGATTCTATGGCGCTCTACGCTGACAGGCTGGCTAACTAGCTAGCTAGCCAGCTAGCTACCCTGCCGGATAGCCAGTTAGCCAGCTAGCCAGCTAAGTAGCTAGCTAGCTGGCTAGCTAAATAGCTAGCTAGTTAGCCAGCTAGCCAGATGAATAGCTAGCTAGCTAGCTAGCCAGCTGAATAGCTAGCTAGCTAGCTAGCTAGCCAGATGAATAGCTAGCTAGCTAGCCGGCCAGCTGAATAGCCAGCTAGCTAGCTAGCTAGCCAGATGAATAGCTAGCTAGCCGGCCAGCTGAATAGCTAGCTAGCTAGCTAGCTAGCCAGATGAATAGCTAGCTAGCTAGCTAGCCAGTTGAATAGCTAGCTAGCTAGCTAGACGAATTGCTATGGCCACGAATGTACAGGGCGTCTATGTTAATTGAGTTTAAAACGGCTGCTGCTAAACGGCCGCAGCAGCTGCTGCTGTTGCAGCAGCAGCAGCAGCTGCTGCTGCTTTTGTAGTAGCAGCGACACAGCTAATCGGCCTCGCGCTTGAAGCTCTCCTCGATCACGCAGGAGCTGCTGCTGCTGCTGTTTTTGCTGCGGCTGCTGCTGCTGCTGCTGCTGCTGGGCACGACAATGACAGGCTTGGCTGACTGCGGGCTTTTGGAAGCAGCAGCAAGTGAAGTGCTGCCGCAGGAGTCCAAGGCTCGGGCTGCCTCTGCAGCAGCAGCAGCAGCAGCAGCAGTCAGTGTGTATGCAACGGCAGCAGCACGTGTGTGTGCGGAGAAGCAGTAGCAGCGGAAGCAGCAGCAGCGGAAGCAGCAGCAGCAGCGGAAGCAGCAGCAGCAACAGCAGCAGCAGAAGGCCTCACGTTGCGCCTCTTCCCTCATCTTTTTAATCTGCTGCAGCTGCCGCAGCATGCTGCAGCGCTGCTGCAGCGCCTGCTGCAGCTGCTGCCGCTGCTGCAGCAGCTCTTCCCAGTGGTAATAAGCAGCAGAAGCAACAAACCCCAGCTTGCGCACAACCAGCTCGGCCTTGACCGCTGCAGCCACAAACCCTAAACCCTAAACCCTAAATCGTTAGTTGGCGCGCCGTGGCGCTTGCCAGTCCGGGGCCCTTCACAGCTTGTATTCAGGGTTTAGGGTTTAGGGTTTAGGGTTTGCTCGAACCTAGCTTTGCCAGTTGTTTGTTGCTGGGCGCCTGTGGGCTGTCATTATCTTGCTGCTCTCCCTCTTGCTGCTGCCGCTCCCCCTGCTGCTGCTGCTGCTGCTTGCCTTGCTGCTGCTGCTGCTGCTGCAGCATAAGTTCCTTGAACCTGTCTATTAGTGCAGCAGCAGCTGCTGCTGCCTTAGCAGCAAACTCCTTTACCCCCAGCAGCTTTGCAGCATCAGTTAGACACACTTCGGAGAACTCGGCGTCTGTACACCCCAGCGGGGGCTGCAAACCCTAAACCCTAAACCCTAAACCCTAAACCCTGCCTTGCACCCAAACCCCACCCCAGCGGGGGCTGCAAACCCGAAACCCTAAACCCTAGCCTTGCGCCCAAACCCGCCACCGCTACAAACACTGCTGCAGCGACAATCGCAAAATGCTCTGCCTCCAAACCTCTAGGGTTTGCTGTCTAGGGTTTAGGGTTTAGGGTTTACCTGTGCAGCCCACTCCAGCGCTTGGTCAACAGCGGAGACGGCGGACGCCGGCGGAGGGTCACGCGACTCCAAACCCTAAACCACAAGCCCTAAACCACAAACCCTAAACCCTAAACCCCAAACCACCATTTCAAACCCTACTTACTTTTGCAGCCGCAGCGCTGCATCTTCATCCCTAAACCCTAAACCCTAAATCCTACTGACTCTGTGCAGCCGCTGAAAGGTGACCTGCAGCTCCAACCCTAAACCCTAAACCCTAAACCCTAAACCCTACTGACTTTTGCAACCGCCAAAAGGTGTCCTGCAGCTTCTGGGACATCTGCGTCTTCGGTGGCTCCGTTGAAGGTCCTCATACAATGAGCGTATCCAAACCTATTCACAAACCCTAAACCCTAAACCCTAAACCCTAGATCTCCACAGGCCACAACCCCTCCGGTGCAAGGGTTTAACACAGGCAGGAGGGGAGGCTAGTAATTCGCGGGCAGACCCAGCTAGCTGCCTAGGGCTGCTAGTCTAGGGTTTAGGGTTTAGGTTTTAGGGTTTAGGGTTTGGGCGTACAGCACTTGCGCCAGAGTCATCGCCAGCCGAGGATCTGGGCGAGTTGGGCGGCAGCAGATGTGCGCCGGCGGCTCCATTGTAGGCAGCTCGATCTGCAGCAAACCCTAAACCCTAAACCCTAAACCCTAAATCCTAATTCCTGAACGCGAGGCGCGAAACCCCAAACCCTAAACTCTAAGCCGTGCAGCTTGCTTAATGGGGCTCCAACCGGGCTCAGGGGGTTCCCCGTAGGCACTGTCGGACCCCTCATACCCTAAACCCTAAACCCTAAACCCTAAACCCTAGACGCACTGAGAGCCACCAGGGTTTCCAGGGTTCGAGGTACTTGGCTAGCTCCCCTCTTTTGAGGGCAGAAAAGAAAGCAGCAGATTCAGCAGCAGTGAGGTGCTGCAGCTGCAGCTCGTTTGCTGCTGCTAGCTGCTGCAGCTGCTGCAGCCGCTCCTCCCCTATCTGCTGCTGCTGCTGCTGCTGCTGCTGGGAGGCCCCATCGGTGTCTGTGTCCGTGTCGCCCTCGTCGCT